CCTAATTCAGAATTACGTAAAGCAAAGAGAATCAAGTTAACGATCTTATACGGTTAAGTGACGGGCGCATTCACAGATGGTTATCGCCAAGTGCTTTTTTCTTTCTGATTTCAAAAAAAAAAAAAGAGGGACGGAGGGAGGGGAGTAAAAAAAATCAAGAAGGAATTGTAAAGAACTTGATCTATCGTCAGGTAAGTTCAATACGTCGGATTTGGTTGAAGGATCAAAGGGATGAATCGAAGGAGAAACATCGCCGCATTGAAGGTCGCTCTCCATCGATTCCATGAGTCTCTGCCGATTAACTCTGATCGCGTTCATTCGCACGCTTTATTAAGCGATTCGGATCATTAACCGGATGTAGTCGTATATATCAGAGAGAGAAAGAAAGAGAGGAGTGTTTATGTCTATTTAAACAGAATTTAATTCAGAAATCGTGATACTTAATTCCGAACGGGACGCGGAGACAATATATCTCACCGAAAGAAACAAAAAAAAAAAGGAAATAAAAAACAAAAACAATGAAAATTCGATTAGGGGTAATGTATTGCTTAATTATATTCGTGATTGTGAGCGTAAATCTAGTAGCTTACCGAAATAAAGGATTTAATAAAAATTCAATGGAAATTTTGACAAAATGTGCAAATTAATATAAATATAAACAAATAAGAGTAACTGTAAACAAATATAAGAGAATGTAAACAAATAAAAGTAAATATAAACAAATAAAACAAAAAAATTTTTAATTTAAAAATAATTGAATTTTATGAACAAATTCTTTCAATTTTTTAAAATAACAATAGTGATTCTTAAAAATTGAAATTAAACATTTAATTATTAAATTTTATTAAAATTTTAGAAAGTAATTGAATTCTTTTGAAAAATTTTATAAAGAAGTAAAAAAAATTGAATTCTTTCGTCGAATTTTATAACTTGCAAATTTCTTTTTGCAAAGAATTTTACTAATTAAAAATATAATTGAATTGTTTCGAAGGATTTATTAATATTTTAGAAAATATAATTGAATTTTTTCGAAAAATATTATTAAACATTTTTTTAAAATTGAATTCTTTCGTGAAATTTTTTTGAAAATAATTGAATTCTTTTGACAAATCTTATAACAAATTAAAAAAAAATGGAATTCTTTCGTGAAATTTTCTTGATAATAATTGAATTTTTGCAAAGATTTTACTATTTAAAATAATAATTGAATTGTTTTGAAGGATTTATTAAAATTTTAGATAATAATTGAATTTTTTCGAAAAATATTAAAAAATTTTTTAACATTGAATTCTTCCGTGAAATTGTTTTTATAATTGAATTTTACTATTTTTATTTCGATTATTTCGAAGAATTTATTAAAAATTTTAGAAAATAATTGAATTTTTTTGAAAAAATTTTTAAAAATTGAATTCTTTCATGAAATGTTTAATAAAATTGTATTAAAACTAATTGAATTTTTGCTAAAAATTTTACTATTTATAAATAAAATTGAATTGTTTCGAAATATTTATAAAAATTTTAGAAAATAATTGAATTCTTGTGAAATATTTTTTAACGAATTAATGAAAATTAAATTCTTTCGTGAAATTTTATTGAAAATAATTGAATTTTTTTGGCAAATTTTATAACAAATTAAAAAAAATTGAATTCTTTCGTGAAAACTTTCTTATTGAAAATAATTGAATTTTCCCAAAGATTTTACTATTTAAATGAATAATTGAATTGTTTCCAAGGATTTATTAAAATTTTAGAAAATAATTGTATTCGTTCTTGAAATTTTATTAAAATTTTGTTTAAAAATAATTGAAGTTTTGCAAAAAAATTTACTATTTTTAAAAGTAATTGAATTCTTACGAAGAATGTTATTATTTATGAAAAGAATGGAATTCTCGTGAAAAATTTTACTAAAATTTTTGAAATTAGTAAACAACAATAATTAATTAGTAAATTTGTTGATAATTGAATTTTTTTAAAATTTGAATCTGAAATTATTCAAAAATTCATATTTGAAAATAAAAAAATTTGTAATTTGCATATAATAATAATAAATTGAATATCACGTTCTGCGCTCGTAAGATTTTGTAGTTTATAATAATTAATAAGAATATTATTGACTTAATATTGATGAGTAAAATTCGCAAATATTATCATAAAAATATTGGCGCAATGTTTGCAATATTACTATGAAATATTGGCGCAATATTGTTGCCATTTTATTTTGCTATTTGTATTTAAAAAAATATTGAGAAGGACAGTATTGAATTTAGTGATCAGGAAATTGTCCTTCATCCTAGCTAATGATACAATTGCAGGACGTGATCACGTTTCTGGTCACGAGGATGACATGGACATGTTCGATCTTCGACAGGGGTGGTCGATTCATACAAGTTTCATAAATCATGAATCTATTTCACTTCGATGAACGTTGTTTCGTGGATTATTCACTCAGTAAACACTACGTTAAATATTCTTTGAAAAAAAATTTGCAAAAAAAACAAAAAAAAATATTTATAGATTACATCAAAACTGAAATATAAAATAATTACAAAACTGTTGATTAATATTTGGCTATGAACTGTTCATTAGATTATTCACAGAATTGTTAAAAAATATTATAATTTATAAATTTATAAATTTTTCGATTGTGAGCAAAATTAACCTTCTTGCCATTTATCGGACAGCTATTAAATATAATATTGGGGCGAAATTCAAATTAAAGGAGTCATTCGTCCAGTGTATAAATTATACATTACACAAATAATTCTAAACTACAATTTGTAAATAATTATAAATTAATAAACTTAGTTTAGAAAATTAACAAGTTTAGAAAAAAGTTGACCGATTATTCCGAAAAGCAACCTCGAGATTAGAGTCTATATAATTAAACCTAGACCTAATTAAAACCATATAAATAATTGATACTAGAAAAGTGGAAATATAAAGAAAGAAGTAAGAAAAATCCGAAAAAAAATTTCTCAAAAAGGAAGTATTTCAAGCCGGAAGTACCGGCTTTCTATATTAATTTAAAGGAATCAAATATAGATCGCGAATCATCGATGAGTGTAAATGAGACCTGATTTTGCAAACTCCCCCATGGCGAGAAAGGCTCTTTCTCTTATTTAAAGTATATACTGAAATATTTTTTCCATTTTTTTTCCATAAAAGAGATCAATTTCCCGACTTCGTTGAAGCGTAATATACAATCTATTTTACTGATAATTTGCTATTTATAAAGAAAACAAAAGAAGTTGATTTTATGGATGCTCCAATTTCACGCAGAGTTACTACTGTGGCAAATAATGAGAGAATGTTATAACCGCACATCATGAGGAAGTATAGAAAGAGTAGACAATTGGTGTAAATTTCTTTTTCAACAAACGATACTTTACAACCCACAACCATATAAAGATATAAAACTGGATCATTGCGAAATTTCTTTCTCTCGTATTTACCACTCATATCAGTGTCTTGTCTCTGCTTTGTACAATACTCCAGTGTGCAGTAATTATGTGTAATTAAAAAAATTAAGTATTTTTAGCCTTGTATGTATTTGTTTAGTATTTTTTTTGCCTTGTTTAGTATTTTTAGTCTTGTTCTAAATGTTAAATATTGTTTGTTTATTTTTCTCTAAATTTCTGTTCTCCATTTGCTTACATTTCTTTGTATTTGTTTATATTTCCTTGTATTTGTTTTTCATCGTTTATTTTTATTTCTAAATTACTTTTCGCTCTCTTTTTGAATAAAAATGTTGACTAAAATTCATGCAAAAATGCAGAATAATTGTCTTCATTCTACAATGATTTCGTTTGTGAGAGAACTTTCATGCCATCTAGGCGACAATTTAACTATTTTGGCGCGAAATTCAAACAGAAGAATAGAAACGAAATATTCACAACGGGAGCAAAATTCATAGAGAGATTAATTAAATTAAACATTCGCAATATTTTTTTTTACCATTTACGTATAAATACAGTTTATTTTCAGAAAAATACTCCTCTCTTAATTAAATTTTAATTAAAAATTCACTCGCGGGAATAAAAGAAAGAATTCTTTCTCTAATAGAATGTGTGAACAGTTCTGTGATGCAAGCAACCGAGCGTCGTCCCTTGTGTCTGGTTTATTCGATTTTTAATTGACGTTTTGCAATTGTTACGAGAGAAAAAAAAGGTTTCTGCTTTTTTTTTATTCTTAGAGAGATCTCGCATCTGGACGCATAAATTCACTATCCTGAATCGTCTCCCCCCCCCCCCTCTTTCTCTCGATCTCTGAGCTTCTTTATAAGCCATGTTTCTTCAGTGTACTATTATATAGTATCGACCACAAAGTACCGTTTTAACAGGGCTCTATTATACGTGTTAATCGAAATTTTATTCATGCAAAGTATCATGAATCGTGTTCTGGTTAAAATTTAAGTTTGTCATATATTAAAAAAAATGCTTTCGTTAAAAAAAATTATTATATTTTATATGCGAAACCTGATCAAGATGTTATGTTCTTTTTCCCAAAAAATGCCTCCATTCAAATATGGACCGCATTTTTCCAAATGTCATATTGGCTATAATTTGGCGTTGATTCGTTATTATTTATTATAATTTTATTATTTTTCTAAATCTATATTTGTTAAAAATAACTAATTAAAAAATTAAGTAATTAAAAATAACTAAAAATAACTAAAATTAGTAAAAATTATTTACCTATTGATTTCTTTAATTTTACATCCGGATAGAAATTCTTTTTTAATTTGCCTAATAGGAGAAAATGGCTCGAATTTTTTTTTCATTCTATCCTTCAATTTGTAGAATTTCTCTTGTTATATTTTAATATTGACTTGTGTCACAAACTCGCAAAACATAAATGAAGTTGATAAGAAAGTTGTTGCGAACAATTTAATTAGTTATCGATATTTATTTACCCTGCGCGCTACGCCTGCGGTGAAAATTGATAAATAATTTATAGAAAAAGAAAGTAATGGTTAATAATAAAAAAAATTGTTTTTTCAGTCTGGGATAACTGCACTGCAAAGGGGAGCTGCGGAAGGTCATCAGGAAATCGTGGAACTTTTAATCAAACACTCGGCTGAAATTGGCCATCAAGACACTGTCGTAAGTAAATTAAGTCTATTTTTCAATCACTTTTCTCGAAAGTTTCGAGTCTTTTTTTAAAACCTTTGTCACTATTGCATTAGTTGCCAACTAAACTAAGTGCCATTGGTGTTATTTTCCAATTTTTTTGTTTTTTAGTTCGATTTCTGTATTACCGACAATTTTTTTTTTTTTTCTAAGGGACTTTTAGTAAATTTGCTTCAGAAACAATTTATATAAGAGAAAACAGTTTAGTAACATAATATAATGCTTATCGAAAAGAAGACCCTTAAGTCCCTTTTTTTAAAATTCCGGTTCTTTTGTTAAATAAGATGCCTTGAATTTTTTTTCACACGGATCTTCGGATTACCTCTAGAGATTATAAAGTTGTCGACTGAAATGAAGTTTCTCAAGTGCATAAAAAAAGATATCGCATAACAGTATATATAATTCAGGGGAATGTAAATTTTTTTAAAATTTTTGTTCTACTTTTTATAATTTTTCTTGAAAAAAGAAAAAAAAATTTCAATATTTCGTTGGGTAATGATATGTAATAAGAGTGAGGAAAAGTGCACGCGAGTTGAACACGCTACAAACGCATAAAAGGCATTTTTCGCATACTTTATGGTACCCTTTTTATTGGGTCAATGTGAAAAATATCTACCACAAGAAATGTGCGTGTCTTCTTTGTAAAAGTCGCTAATAGAATATTTGCAGAAAATAAATTACCATAAAGAAAAGAAATTAGTAGGTAAACATTTTTAGTAATCTTTATAGTTTTCTTTCAATTGTTTTTCCATTTTAATTTCGATTTTAATTATTTATTATAATGGAGAATATGTTTGACTCAAGTAGAAATTTATTATAACAAATGGAATTTATTATAACAAATGAAATTTATTATAATAAATAAAATTTATTTGAATCAAATAAAATTCATCATTAATGAAAAAATTCCTCTCCTCCACCTACTGTGTGACATTTTTAGAATAGAAAAAATTCCTCATCGCTCGTTAAATAAACTTCGTCACTAATAAACTTGAGTAAAATGACTTTCTAAATTTTTATGCGTTTTCTCCCGTTTTCTAAACTAGTGCCAGACTTATAATGCCCTTTTGAAAAATATAAATACTCGTCAACTGAAATTTGTCCAAACGAACTTGTTTGAAAGACGGCTGAAAGCCTGATTTACAAATTCCGCTTCATATGGAGTGTATCAAATGTGAACTTTCACTCAAACTGATTAGATTTCAAAAAAAAAATCGTGCATCGATGCCTTCGCAATTAAACCCAAGAAACTTTCGTCTTCACGAATACTATATGTATATATAAATACATTCAAGAAATACAAACTTTCTCTTTTCATATAAAAGAAACCCACTCGAGTGCATATTCGCACTGTAATTCAAATTTTAACTCTAGATATATATAAATGCTAATATCTCCTAACGAATAGTTTTTAATTGAAAACATTTCTTTTTAACTTCAATTTTTTTCTACAAAAAAAATTATTTTCCCATAATTAATGATTAATTTAGGATTAATAATCCTAAAACTAATTATTTGCTCTATTTAATCTAAACTAATCAAATACTCTATATTTATCATCCTAAATTAATTATTTATCCTAATTAGTCAATTATTCCTGCAATTAAGCAGAAATCGATATTCCATAGAACAATTAGAATTAATTTAAAAAATAAGACACATTTTCCCTTCTATATTAAAAGTAACAACGCAAAAGCCAGGATTTAACAAGGAATTGAAAGCTTATTGCATAGAATATCATCATGATGTTAAATTGTTAATCACCGTATCATTTTTGAAGCCATGCGAAGAAAATTGTTAAGAGTACACTCCATATGGATATGATATATAGTTGAAAAAAAGGCTTTTGGCAGATCATCAGAAACCGGTTTTTCTCATCAATACATTTACCAACTTTCAAGACTCTGTAATTTCCTCTCTCACATATGTGTACTGCAAAGACATTAGAGACGCAAAAAAAAAAAAAACAAAAACAAAAAGAAAAAATATCCCACAACATTAAGAAAATAAATTTTCACTTCCTCGGGAAAAATGTGAAAAATTCACCGACTTTTGATCAACAAATGATTATAAATTTAAAGAAATTTAGAGACAAAAGTTTGATGGTTTTTGGACGCATTGTATTATACTCTGATGAACGATATAGAAGAATACCTTCAATAGTGATTGATAATTATTAAGTTTAAGGCGATAATGCTGTATCAGATCATCCTCTCATTTAATGAGTCTGCGAGATGAAAATTGAAGACATTTTATACAGTGTCATCATTATTGGCTGAATATTCATAGTCACCATTAAGGAAGGTCTAATTGTTACTCATCTTGGCTATTAAAATCATTAAAAGAAAAGAAGATTATTGCCTATTTCAATAGGCAATAATGGTTCGTGTTTCTTTTTCTCAAGCAGAAAAAATTAATAATGAACAAGTGTTCTTTTCCATAATTGATAATAAATGAATAGAATGAGGAAAAAAATGGAATTTTCTTCCGCTTCACAACAAAGTATGTGATTATTTTATATCCCTTTTTTGGGTTTCTTTTGAGTTTTTTTCTTGTTTTATTACATTTAAGTTTTTTGCTCCTGCATATTCTTGTTTGTTTTTTCATCTTTATCAAGTTTTAACGATCATTTTGCATGGGAAAAATTTGTTGATGCTTGGGAATTGCGGATGAATAGTTTTCTATTAGGGAACATCATTAGGCATTTATAGTACAATCACTTTGGTTTAAAAAAACGGGTAGTACTGCTGTTTTTAATTTATTTTGTATTTTTATTAAAATAGTATAGATATATATAATATTAAAAATTTTTGTGAAAATAATTGAATTTTTGCTACTAAATTACGGACTTTAGGGATCTTTTTTTAAAAATAATCGGACCTTTATGGATTTGAAGCAAATTTACGGACCTTTATGGGATTTACGGACCTAGTTCGAGCCCTGATATCTCTAAGTTTACTGTAATATTGAAAAGTTTTTTATTTATAGAATAATTGCTCGAAAAGAATTTGAAAAATACGAGAAAAAAAATGATATGGTACAATTAAAGTGGTTTAAACTTTAAAATTAGGAGTAAGATGAAATCGTCGCTGCGGTTCTTTTGCCCGCACGTATATGAGAAGTATATCTCGTAATAATAAATTCATAAAAGTAAAAATTACCCAATGACCACACACGCCAAAGATGGGCTTTTAATGTCCATTACCACCGTCTCAAAAACGCACTATGTTGACGGGCAAGGTGAAAAAATGCAGCATCGCACGCGATAAGTATCGTCCAGGATATATTATGTGTAATGAAGAAGTGGAAGAAGAAGAAGGAGAAGAAGAAGATTAGCAGTGACGCAAATTTACTTTTCGTTTCATATTAACCGGGTCCCAACACAAAAATAAAAGGCATTTAAAAACCATTGCTTTTCTTCTGCCTGCTAATATAATAGATTTCATTCACGTACAACGTCCATAAAATGTTGTAAATGTGACAAATGAGTCGGGAGCTACTTTTTTTTTCTCTTCATCTTCTTTTCTTTCCTCTCCCATATTCAATACCGTACACTCCTAGAAATCTGTTTAAGTTTCTTTAGTTATTATTATTTAATCCCTATCTCGATATAGAAAAATTGCATGTCCATAGAGAGCAAGAATTTGTATTTTCTGTTTTTTTCCTCTCTTCATTTTGTACCAGCAATTGTCCTTTCTGAATGAACAATTATAGTTGGTTTTTATTTTTCGTTACTGAAATAGAGCTCTTAATACGATAGAGGATTACATACCAGAGAAGACAGTTGGATATATGTACCTTGTCGAATAAATAAATACCGCCGTCAGGCAAGAAACGCACACGACTCAAGCAGCAAATTCTGATGTTGTATTAAAGGAACTCCGACTAGTTTCTTTTTATTTGTTCGGTCACAACTTTCTTTGTGACAAATGAGGCGTTGTTTTCCTCTTTTCTTTCTTTTTTTTCTTTGCTCTTCACTTTAAACATTATTGCGCACCCTATGACACTTCACTCTGGTATGTTACCCGAGTGTATTGAAAGTTATTATCACTCACTTGGAGGAGGGAAAAAAAAGTTTTCAGAAAAATGTCACTTGTAGTCCACAAAGATCTTTTCTTAAAGTATTTAACAAACTCATCCTTAACAACAGTCACATTAATAATAACAAGAATTATTTTTCTACTTTTTTAAAATTAATTATACGAAGCCTTTAAATTTTGATATCATTTAATAAAACTAAAAATTATTATCTTTTTAGAGGAATTTGTATTTTCTCATACGATTTGTAAACGTATAGAAAACGATAGTATCTGGGTAAATTCTCTGGCATTGAATACGTAGTAATCCGTATGCATCTTTTGACATTTGCATTTTGAGAGAGAAAGAAGTTTTATGCAAGATGCGAAATAGCGAGATAGTGAGGCATCAGTCGATGGGATAAGATCATGAGTGTATCAAGACCCGGTGATCCCGGAGAAAACCCGTAGGGCACATGCTGATGTGTACTATCAACGCGGGTCGTAGAAAGAGTAGGAAACTGTTTTCAGAAAAAAAAAAAAAAACGGGGAAAGAAAATAAATGCGTTACGCTCTTTTGAATTCTTATTGGCCTTAAGGGCCTGTTATTCCGTTTTGTGTGCACGCGGTAAGAGCTAAAATCGTCTGGCATCATCTTTTTATCACCAAAAGTGGAACAATAGTCTCGCTTATCCTCTCTGCGCTTTTCTCCCTCCGGATAGATTTCAAATCTCTAAAATTGTAGCAATATTAATAATTTCCCCAATGCCCCTCGAATAATCTAAAAAAATGGGTAAAGTATTTTCGAAGAGCCTAAAAATAATCTTCATGTTTAATAGTTATGACAAATTTAATTTGTATATAGTTTTAAGTCAAATCTTCATAATTTTTCTTTTTTAGTTCGTAAAGTCCGTATTTTTAAATACTTTCACTGGTTCCATACCTAAGATATTAATAAGCTTAAATTAACACCCAAAAAAGTGTATTAAATCGAAAAAATTTGCAAATTCGCGAATATATCAATACTCTCTCCCAAAAAAAAAGATCATCCGGTACGACAATCACTATAAAGAGTGCAAAACCGTAAGTTGAAAATTGCCTATCGCGAGAGAGTATGTACAAGGCCTGAAATTACTAGATCGTAAAATTTAGCTTCGAGGTGAACCACACCAGCTGCCTATTATTGTCTGTTTGTGTATGTGTGTGTGTGTGTGTGTGTGCGGTATATAAAAGCTCTAAATTCACTTAAGACGTTACTGCGCTTCCTCAATCGTCAATATGCTGTACGTGCCAGATTTTATTATTACATATTGTTAACGCGAAATGCAAATTTTCAATGAGTTGCTTAGCGCGACGACCTACAAGAAACAAATTGTCGAGTGTATATATATAGAAAAAAAAACTTACCTGGAATTTCCTTCATAAAGCATCAATTAGGTTTAGTCTGTAATATCCTCCCATCGCCGGTGCATTTTGTACATCCGCAAATTGGAGTTTAAAAAGTCACCTGAAACAGAAATTAAAAATATTTTTTTAAATTTAATTTATAAGTAGAATTATTATTTAAATAATAATAGAATCTATTATTTAATTTATAATAGAAAATAAATAATATTTTACACATTACTAAAATAATGTAACAATAGAACAACAATAAGTAGATTTATAAAATGTTTTGGATAAACAAAACAAGTATATAATCTCCAATAGAAAATCTAGCTTCTGGAAACATTCTTTAGATATAAGAGATTTGATCCACACCTGCAGAGGAGGATATGTGATTTTTATCTTAAATTTCTCTCATCGTGACTTTAGACCAAGAGGCGAGTTTTGTAGACCAGAAGCATAATGGTATCATATCACCATATTATATATAATACCCTTCACATATTTCTAAAATTAATTATATATTTTTAATTCTTTGGCACTATTATCACAACAATTATTTTTAGCATAATTATGATTAATGCACCCAGAGAAAAATTTTATTTAAATTTTAAACCAAACCTAATTTATAATACTATTAGTAATTAATTAACCTTTAGAGGACCAAGGTGGCCACTAGTGCCCAGCATTTATTTTGACGAATCTTTTTATCGAATTGACTCTTTATTCATAATTTTTTTTAAAATAAAAAACTACTAAAATTTGTGCAAATTTACCGGCCCTTTAAAGGTTAATTATTATTTCTCATCATCGTTTTATTATTATTATTTAATTATTATTATAATTAGCATAATTAGTTTTAGCATAATTAGCATAACTAGTCCGAAAAGAATGAACCGTTCATTTACTACTATTTGAACTTTTTTTCTCAGACAAAATATCTTTTTTTTGTTTACTTACTTTATTTGTTTCATTCTTATAAAATATTAGTTAAAATGGAGAGAAAAATGTTGCGCGCACTTAAGAAAAGGAAATACGCATAGGCAATAAGGAAATACCATTAGCGTACAATATTAATTGAAATTTGCATTCGCGAAGTGAATTACTGGAGACTTGGCGTGTTTGGCGCACTTTATAAATGCTCGGAAAATATTTAACAATTATTGCATTTTCATACGCAATCTTTCACGCACTGCGGTTTATTTATAATTTATGTTGGATAAAAATCGCATTCAGATTCAGAGTGTGAGAGCACGTATTTTTAAATTATAATTCACTACAATTATGTTAATTAAAAAAAAACCAGCTGAGTAAAAAAATAAAAAATTCACTAAAATTTTAAAAACTTTAGTTAAAAAATCAAAACAACCGAAACATCATAAATACAATTGGTTAAAAAAATTAATAAAATTATTATTATTATTATAAATATTCACTAAAAAGTAAAAACTCGGTTCAGAAAATAAAAAACTAAGTTAAAAAAGGAGAAATTCAGTAAATATTTGTAAAAATTGGGTAGAAAATAAAAAATTAGGTTAAAGATGGAAAAGAAACATAGATATATTGTACAAAAAAAAGAAATAGCTAAAGAAAATAAATTAACAACTTAGAATTTATCCTGATGATTTAATATAACTTTGACATAAAATTACAACCTCTGAATAAATAAAATTTCACTTATTTAAATTTATAACTCGCTTTCTTATATTTAATATATGTCTTATGATCGGAATGTTTAAAATGAGAGGCTACGGGTATGGAAAAGAGGATAGTCACGACATTCGACACATCAAAATGGATTCGAAGAATACAGAGAGAAAGGATAATAAGGGCTAGAAGGTACATTGTTATAGCTTCGTTACCATTTTCCTGAGGTCAATATTGTCACACGAGTCAAAAATTTTCAATTCGAAAATTAGATAAGAATTTACGATAATATTCTACCTATTATAACACTGTTGATATAAATAATGCCGAATAAATAATAAATACCATATTTATTATTTATATATTAAATACCTTTAAAGAAGAATTCTATTTTTATTCTATTTAAATTGTTTTATTATTATTCTATTTTATTTTATTCTACAATTTTACATAATTACAAAAAATTGTTTCTTTCACTTTGACATAGTAAATTTTCAATTTACGCTTTAATTAACTTTCTCAAGTCCTTTATTTTTACTGCTGTACACTTTTGCATTTCATTAACAAAGTTACACTCATCCGTTATGGCTTTGGCTGTAAATAAAAATTTATTTCTTTTAAGAAAAATTAAATAAATTTAATAAAATAAATTTTAAATATAAATAAATTAGATGTTAATGAAAATCGGGATGAAAATTAATTTCTTTTCGTAATGAAATTTTTTTTTTATAGAATTAATTTTGAAATCTTACATTGTTCAGCGCACTCTTGTCTTGCTTGTACAACCTTATCAGTATTGTCTTTGAAATACTTCACTGAATTTTCTCTCACTTTGTCCCAATTCATTTTATTACCCGCTTCAAGCTGAAAAATATTTGTTTTTTGTTTAAAATATTTATTTTTATTTCTCTTCATCTTACAATATAAGTAAAATTAAATTTATAAAGCTTTGGCATTACTTACTTCACCTTTCTTTTTCATCAGACACGCGCCTAAGCATCGTAGTTCGGGTATATTGGTAGCTTTTTTACGACCCTCCGCAAGCTTATCTAAAACAAATTTTATTTAAAAGTAAAGTTTTGCTAATATTTTCCAGTAGATTCATGCTATAGCACTGCTTGGATTGGCTTAAAATTGGTGAATTCTGAGAAATGGAGCGCAAGCGCAGGAGTGGGGGCAATGAGAGCGAGAGAGAAGCTTCGGGACTTCTCTCTCGCACTCACTGCCCCCACTCCTGCGCTTGCGCTCCGTTTCTCAGAATTCTCGAATTTTAAACCGCTCGGCTCTCAAATTGTCAATGTATATTCGCTCCATATTTATTTCGCACAACGTACGCATATTAAACTATGCAATGTAATAAAAATACAAAACAATAATAATAATAAGGTAATTAAGCAGAATCTTTACTTTTTCCAATTTTTAAGATAAACGGTTAATTCTTTTTGGAATGGTATTCATTTAACTAATTATGATAATTGAAATAATAACTGATAATAATAAAATTAAAATAATAATTAAATAATAATAAATAATAAAATGTTGATAATAAGTAGTATTTAATTAATTACCAATAATGATAAAAAAAATATTAGTAGTAGTTCTGGAAGTAATACTTATGCTAATAGTAATTAAAAATACAAAAAATACTAATAATAAAAAATGGTAGAATATAAAATACTAATAGTAATGAGAAATACAAATATTAAAAAATAGTAATAGTAAAAAAATACTAATAATAAACATAGTAACAATATAAAATACTAATAGTAATAAAAAATACAAATAATACAAAATAGTAACAATAAAAATCATAATAATAATAAGCGATATTTTATGTACCTTCTGGTATTCCAAGTTCCTTCACACATTCTCGAAACTGTGCCTTACTGCCATATGCACTGCTAATCTACATACAAAAAAATTAAATTAAGAAAAGTAATAAAATACCTAATTATTATTTAAAAATTAAAAAATTTAATTACACTTCTATAGAAATGTTTACAAATTATTTAATTAAGAAATATTCGATTGTATAGTTTAAAGAATATACTTACCATTTGAAACAGCACAACTACCGCGAAACATAGCATAAACTTCATGATTTATGATAAAAAAGAAACAAAACTTTTTCTTCACTTTAAATATTTCTAGTTGACAGATGAAACTCTCAGAAATGAATAAATAAATCGTTTCTGCTCCCTTTTTTTATATACCTTGAAAGAATTTTTTTTCTTCAAAAATAATTACTAAAATTTGAAAAGAATCATATTTTTATAGCAGGATATGAGATACAGTCATAATTTTTGCTATTTTTTTTCTTGCAATTCTTGCTGTGTTTTTTTTAAATTGGTCACTTATTTTCTAGTATATGACTTTTTCAAGTTCGCATAGCCAAAAAAAAAGACAATGGTAGTAATAATAATGAAACACGTTGTAAAAATATAATTTAATGAAAGTAATTATTTACATAATGTCACGTAGATGGTTACGTATTTCTTAAAAAAAATTTAAGAGATAGAGAGAGAGGGAGAAAATTATTTTTGATAAATTGTGAAGAAAAAATGTCGGTGAAGTTCACAAAGTTTTGTAATTGATGCTCAATAAAAAAAAAAATTTCTACGCGAAACGGAAATTTTTATTTTTATTAACAAAAAAATTTATAGGAAAAAAATTGTGAAAAGACAAAGAAAAAAAATTGAAACGAAATATAAAGAATTAAAACTAACTAAAAAATCGAATAGAAGTAAAAAAAATTGAGACAAATTAAAAATTGAGTATGGAAATAAAAAAAAAATTTTAAATGAAATAAAAAAATTAAAACGAACTAAAAATTAAAAAATTAATTATTAATTAATTATTAATTTACGAAACAAAAAGAATAATTAAAATCGAAAGAAAAAGAAAAAAATTGTTTGTCAAATAAAATGATAGGAAAGAAACATATAGTCCAGGAAGCGATTTATGTTTTATCGAGAGGTCATTGATCGTGGCAAGGGAACTCGTGCGTACTACGTTTATGCAAGTTTTATAAACGCTATGCGATAATGTAAAGCCATTGCATTAGTGTGAAAGAGTTTCTTTAATCGATGACATTCAACCTTCTTCCCACCAGTTTGAATGACGATTTACACAAACACACACACACACACACAAACACATTCGTTCGACGTAATATGTAAAACATATTTCAACTGTGACAAATTAAAGTTATTAAACCACTATTTTTTCGTGAATAAATTCCCTACGCGAATAAAATCTTCTAATAACCATACATATATATTCAGTCCATTTAATTAAGTGCAAATTTAAAATCATATAATTATCCCCCTGTGCACTTGAAATTTATGCGTCAACATTAAATTTCATAATTTATCAATAAATAATTTAGAAAAGTATAATAATTCCTTACAGTATATAGAGAATATTTCGATTTCATTATTGAAATTTTATTACTGACTTGTATTATTAATAAGAGAGATAATAAATATTAATATAATAACAAATATAACAAATATTAAGACAATAAATCATAAAATTACTATATAAATAAAAAAATTAGCAAAAGTAATAAAAAAATACTAATAAAAAACATTCAAACTAAAACAAATAAAATAAATAATGATAAATAATAATACCTAATAATAATAATAATAATAATAATAATAATAATAAATAAAAATTAAAATAAAAATTAAAATAAAATCTCATGTGATTATAATGTAAAAATTTAATTAAGAGCAATTGAATAAATAAAATAATATCATTAAAATAGTGTAAATGTTAAGTACGAGAAGTAATTAATTAGAAAAAAAATAAAAGAGAAAAGAAAAAAAAATTTGTCAGAAGTGGGATTCGAACCCACGCCCTCAAAGAGGACCAGAATGCCCGATCAACCGCTCTTCGAACGGTAAGGTGAAACCTTGAGTCTGGCGCCTTAGACCGCTCGGCCATCCTGACATTGGAGAATTTTCCCAAAATTCTCAATGCAATTTTTCATGAATTGATTAAATTCTTAAAGATTCGCAAATTCAATGGAAATTTAATAAAGTAGGATAAATTACATTTAATAAATATGTAAATAAAATTTTTTTGCAAATGAATATTGCGTCGTTGAGACAAATTTAGCTGTAGAAGGAGGGCAATGCGTCTGACCATGCTCGACTTTTTCTACTAATCTCGCCTCGTTTGACGTCTTCAACTACTTTAATGTGAGAATTTTGCTATTCTTTCTATATATAGAAATTCAAATTATTCCCTTAACGAAAATAAAAAATTATAAACAATGTCTGACCGAGACTGACTTGTACTACTTATTTTAAATTTAAATTCACAGAATATACGTACATTTCGACTAATTTTTAGCAATATTATAAACAAATCGACGTCTGACTAAAACTGATTTTTACTACTGACATGAAAAAAATTATAAACAATGTCTGATCGTAACTGACTTAAACTACTGATTTAAATTAAAAAATAGTCAAAATAAATTTTGACTGCTTTGTATCACTAATGTAAACAAATACACCTACCGTCTGACCAAATCTGGTTTTTACTACTGAATTTTAGTTAATTTTACCACTAGTTCAAAAAATAATAAATGTCTGACCAAAATTGACTCATACTACTGATTTTAAATTCATTTTAATTTTAATTGCAATTTTGTCACTAATAATATAAACGAATACAACTAACGTCTGACCAAGGATGGTTTTTACTGCTAAAGCAAAAACAATTATTAACGGTGTCTGACCAAAATTGACTTGTACTACTGATTCTAAATATAAAATAGTCAAAATAAATTTTTAATTGGTTTCTATTACTAATATAAACAAATAAAACTGATATGTGACCAAAGATTGTTTTTACTACTGAATTTTACTACTTGGTTCATAAAATAATAAATAATGTCTGACCGAACTTGACTTGTACTACTGATTTTAAAAATACATCTATAAACAATTTTAATTGGATTTTGTCACTAATATTATAAACAAATACAAGTGACGTCTGACTAAAGCTGGTTTTTACTACTGACGCAAAAACAAATTATGAATAATGTCTGGCCAAAAATGACTTGTACTACTTATTTATAAATAAAAAAATAGTCAAAAAAATTTTTGATTGGTTTCTATCACTAATATAAACAAATAAAACCGAAGTCTGACTAAATCAGGTTTTTACTACTGACAAAAAATTATTAGCAATGTCTGACCTAAAATTTACTTGTACTACTGATTTTAACTTAACCTTTATTAAATTTTATCCTGTAAATTTTGCCTTTTAGATAAACAAATACAACGAAAGTCTCACCAAAGTTATATTTTACTACTTTTTTATTTTTTTTTACTAAATTTTACTACTATTTCAAAAAGAATAATTATTAATAATTAAATTAAAATTAAATTAATATAATAATAATTTAATATGACATAAATATAATAAATTTTGACTTATTCACTAATTTAAAAAAAAAATACAATGAACGTATGATTAAAATTAAAACTAGTTTTTACTACTGGCAGAAAAAAAACTACGAACAATGTCTGACCGAAATTGACTTGTACTACTGATTTTTAATATTTTGATTTACTTTTGTCACTAATATAAATAGATTACAATTGATGACTGATTAAAACAAGTTTCTACTACTAACACAAAAAAATATGAACAATGTCTGACCAAAACTCACTTATACTACTATAACGCTAAAAAGATAAATACGTAACTAAGAAAAATGAAAAAAAATCAACTACTCATTGAAGCTTAAAATTATTTTAAATCTGTCTGAAACTAATTAGTTTTACATTGAGAAAAGTTTGTCACTAATTTAAATTATTTATTTACTAATTTTAATTAGTAAAAATTGTTAAAAATTTAAATTTAGAAATTCAGATTTAGAAATCGGAATGAATTACATAAAAATAACTAATTATTAGTAAAATCATGGCAGACTTTTTCCTCCAGCAATTAGTTAAAAGTAGCTAATTATTACTAGATAATTATAGTAATTAATTAGAGTAGTTAATAATAAATAAATAATAATAAGTAAAAAGTACCTAATTATTACTAGATAATTAGTATTTAATTAGAGTAATTAATTAGTATTTAATAATTATTTAGTAATTAATTAGTAATTAATAATTGAATTAGTTACCAAAATTTGAGTTATTTTTACATAACCTAAAAGTGAATTTAACTAACAATTAGTTACTGTTAATTATTTCATTAGCAAAATATTACTATTTCAATCAGTGGCAAATATTTTACTATCAAATTAATTATTTTCAACTAATTCAAATTTAGAGAGTATATTTAATTATTAATTCAAACCTTTGGTTTCTCAGTGTAAATAAATACAAATAAATAAGAAAATAAAATAAAAGCAAATAAATAATAAAATAAATACAAATAAACAGAAAAATTATAAAATTAAATTCCATAATCGAATCAATTATTTACACTGAAGGTATGCATATAATATAGAAAAAAGCTGCTTTGAAAAATTTGAAAAAAAAGAATTAACGAAGGACGAAAGCGGATGTAGCACTCGAAACTTGAATATTCGTGAAGGCAAGAAGGCATTTTGAACAACCGGGTAGGTGAATTATCGTGTTCCAACTTGGCGGACAAGGGATTCGGTTCTTTCAGTCTTATATACCCGGGTTTCTTATCTTATACCACCGTCAGTAAGAAGACCATAAAATGGAAGAGAAAGAGAAATAAATGAAGAATAACAAGAAGAAACACACAAAAGATTTTGTACGTGTATATATGCAAGTAAAAAAAGAAAATAAAAAAGAAGAGAGAAGAGACTAAATCTCTCATATAACTGCGATGAAAAAGAAACGTAAACCAACAAATTTCTCCTTTTGTCAAGGGTCATTTTTTCATTTTTTAAATTATTTTCTTTTTTACAAAAAGAAAACAATACTTTTTCCGATACAATAATAATTTTGGTACCGAATAATTTTTGTTTCGTTACCAAAATAATTTAATTTGGTACCAAATGGATCTAAATTTGGAACCGAATTGATTCAATCTGGTACCAAATTGAACCAATGTAATACAAAATTAATCCACTCTGGTACCAAATTGAACCGCATTTTTCTATCAACTTGATCCAATGTTATACCAAATTGATCCAATCTGGTAACAAATTTTTTGCTACCGTCCTTCATGTCTTCAAGAAGACAGTGAAAAGAAAAGAAAATTCTCAAGAAAGGAAGTCGCTCCAACGGTTATTATAATTATAATATTTAAATTGTCATTTTAAATGCACATAAAGGAGGACAATCTTTCTGAAAAGGGATGCGAGGTGGGTACCACCATTGATATTCATTTCTGGAGACAAGTCGCGCCACATTTTCAAATCGAAAACGACACTTAACCACCCACAATTCTGCATATATATATATATATACATGACAACAAAATTGCTTTCGTATTTCACGCGTGGGTGTGAAAAACCTATTGGTTTTGAGATTCGTTCCGGAATTTATATATATATATATATATATATATATATATATATATATATATGATGATGATTACTACAATACTCGAAAAATATTTACCAAAAAAATTTATTCTTATCCGCTTAAGAATTTTTTTTTACCAAATATAATTTATTCCTTATATCCGATAACAAAATCAGGACCTCTAACATTTTTTTATACGCGTTATTATAGTCTGACTGAATATGGACATTAAAAAACTGATTTTATATTCTTGTCCCCATGTAGAAGCAGGGGAATCAGTTAAAAAATGAATAAATTTAACCTTCTGCTTCTGGAATTAGTGGAAATATACTTATTTTTAGTAAAAATAATGACTGACTATTATTTTTTTCTATATAAAATTAATCAGTAGGAATATAACTATTTGAATCGTCGAATGACTCCTCTTTTTACTTCAACTACTTTTTACCTCTTTTTTCTGATACAAATTTTTGAGAAAAAATTTTTTGGAAATTTTTTGGCTTAGTTATTTTTGTTAATTATTAACTTAAAGTTAAATTTCTTACTCTCTAAATTTGAATTAGTGACTGACACAGCATTCGGTTTGTTTCTTTTTATAAAAAACGTTCTTTGAATAAAAGTTTGTCAATTTTTATTCAAAGAATGTTTTTTATTAAAAGAAATTCGGTTTGTTTCTGTAAATATTTTAAAAAACGTTCTTTGTATGAAAATTAACATTCGGTTTGTTTCTTTCATTAAAAAACGTTCTTTGTATAAAAATTAACATTCGGTTATCGTTTCTTCTATTAAAAACCGTCCTCTAAATAAAAATTGACACTCTGTTTATTTCTCCACTTTTTATATTCAGTTTTAACAATGTGAATGATTATTCTTGTTGAGAGGTTGAAGCAAAGGAGTGGATTTTGTCTTTTAAAGAAAAGGAGAAAGAGAGTTAAAAGGATATATACGAAATAACAACTCGGCATATACTATATCTCGTTGTTTGTAAAAATAGGATATACTGGTATCTCATCGACCCACCGGTTCGTTGAGATCGTTTGAGAGAATATACAATAAGAAGATGAAAAAAAAATAGGAATGATGATGAGAAACAAGAAGCAGTAGTAATACCAACTCGCCTATGGAAATTTGCAATTGAATCCTCCTGCACGAAGGGATCAATTTAAGAAGTTCCGTGACAAGCAACATAACCGAATAAGATGTATCCATTGGAAAACTCTTCCAGCGACAAATTTCACCATTCTGACTTTCAATATCGAAACAAATCTTTTTTAAAATTTGATTTTGAAACTCTTTCTTCTTTTTCTTTCTGTAAAAAAAACGTTAAAATGAAACTTAAACAGTTTTTTTTAACCTTTTTTTGGTGGTTTGAACGAAAATTAGTTTTAAAGAAAAAACGAATAGTAGGAATAGTAATAAGTAACTATTAAGTAATAGTAAGTATGAAATGTATGAAATGTATGAATAGTAAAATTTTATGAAGTCGGAAGAGTGCGTGAAGAGATACACCTTATAAAGACACCTCGATATTGCGCCTGAGGTCAAACTTTATTGTTTTATATGCGATATCAATAGCCAGCAACTGTTGTTACGCGCTCAGTGGATGAAGAGAGTGAGAGAGAACCGGTTTTATTTCATCTAAAGGTCTTATTACTATACGAGAGACTATTTTTCCATGCTATTCAATAAAATTAATAACCGAGCCGCTATAAAATCGTGTTAGTTCTCATTATGTTGATTGCCCTTTATGTAAATCGAGAGAAGGAACAAAAGAAAACGGGCGAGCGCCATGTAATCATTAGTCGGAAGTCGGTGACTTAATTAGGAAGACATTACGATTAATATAAACCACATAAGTCATATTTATTCAACTGATATATTTGAAATATTTTAAAACTATAATTTATTACCTAATTGCCACCCAAAACATTAAAAGAACATTAAAGAGAATTTGGGAAAAAGATTTGTATATGAAATGTTTGGACATTTCAATGTTCAAACATTTCATAAACAAATCTTTTTCCCAAATTCTCTTATATCAACACATTTGTGTTCGATATTAATGTGTTTTATATATAAATAAATGTGTTTATAACGGGAAGGACAAGTCATTAGATTGCGGCTATACGGTTGACGATATTTACCGCAGCATCAAGTAATACACAAACGATATAGCGTTGACCATACGGAGTAAAACGTGCTAAAAGTCCACTTAGTGGTTTATACAGCATGCGATGTGAATGCTTCTTTGTACTTCGTTTTAGCACGTATCTCTCATTTTGCAACAAGAAAACTTTACTTTACTATGTGTGTGTCTGCAATCCTTATTCTTTTCGCCAGCAGCCGCTGCTTTCTGCAAAAGATGCAAGCAATACACTGGAAAGTGTTACTGGAAATAGATGTTTAATAGCTGATCTGCCCCGCCTCTATTCATGTTGCCGCCAATGCCATAAGAAGGAAATGCCTTCGCTTTAAAATCACTAACCAAGTTCCGCTTTTTTTCATACAAAATGAGAATGTAAAAAGAAATTAATCTGACAATTTTTCAATTGGAATTGTGAAATGCTGATATTTTTATTTTACATACTACAGAATAGGAATAAAAAAACGAAATGAAGATCGTTGGCAATCGGAATTTTAATGAAGTGGACACGTGCCTAAGGTCAACCATAACGATATGCTAATGCTAATAATATTTTTATTTTTTTGACCTGGGATCCGAAAATTGGTGAGGTGTTGCTTATTGTCACATTAAAGTATTCGATTACTTTATACTTGCGGCTAAAGAGCCCGTGTCATGGCTAACGGTATTTACGATCCGAATCGTACCATAAATTCTTGGTCGAATGTCAAAGACGAGAAAAAAAAGAATTCACGATTTTTCATAAATCAACTATTATAGTTATTCGTGTATCGTTAGTGAATTTTGTCATATAAAATTTTTAATCTCAAAATTACGGAAGGGAGCCTTTCTTTCCTTCTTGACAGTTTTGGAAATAATTAGAAGATAATAAGAAAATAAAGTATAGATGCATTTTATATTCTAAATTATGGTTAGTTTTTTACCGGCGACTATATATTTATCGTCTACAAAGTCAAGTACCTTACGGCATAAAATATCGTTCCGTTCCGTCTCATAAGTTCATGGACTTTATGGAAGTTGAACGATTTTCCGCGCTCCCTTAGAGCTATTTTAATGGCGCCCCTTTGCCATTTAGACCTCGACGAAGAAACATCCGGAACCATAGTTTGCGGGACATTGTATAAACTCCTCGAGACAGAGACTCTCACTTTGCAAAGCGAATGCTCTAATGCGTAGGCGATACTTAAGAGAGCAATTATTGTGGAATTGCAATGAGCCGAGCGCCCTTTAATGATGATTTTAATTACAACAACAACAGTAGCGTTAAAATAACTATGACAGAAAATCACTTACTCGGGATTAGTTTCAAAATCGCACAAGTGGATCACTTCCAATATCGCAGGTGACACTAATTTTTAAAAAAAACCATCTATCAGGGGACAAACTGGGTCATTTCTGAGTCCCCCTTGTCTAGGAGTGGCATTTATCAATCGGTATTCAATTATATTAGGGACATAACAGTAAAAATGGTATGTGTTCTTACTTGTGTCATGTTGAGTGGATGGAGAATGGATCCGCATATCAAGTTGGCAGTCGATGAAGCCGATCTCGTTAGATGAACATTACCACCACCATCCGTCAAAGTGTACTTCCTTGAAGGCAAAATAGACTCCGATGCGGACAACTCGGTACTTGCAGTCAGTGCCGTTCGCAGGGAACGTTATCCGGTAGCTTGGCACTCGGCGTCCTGTCATGACTTGCATTTCGAACCTGACAGTGACACAGTTATTTTAAAAAAAGAACCCCTTTCTTCAATAGAATAAATCCCGCATATCGCACTTTTATTTTATTTCCATTCCGTTTTGCACCTTTTCCCCAACTTTCGAATTTTGAAGCTCTAGAAAATTGAGTCAGAAACCAAAGCTAATGAATAAATTCGAAATTCGACGAGGTCCTAACGAAGAAAGAACATACCTTGGGGAATTTCAATCCTCTTGATTAGCGAACTTCTGAAGGGCGTTCCTACTTAGTTCCTTGGTCTTTTTCTACTTTTCTCGTCTCCTTTTTGTTTTCTCGTTGTCTTTTTTCTTTTTCTTCTTCTTCTTCGTTTTCTCTTCTTCTAGTAGCATTCTCGTTCCTAAAGCCACGCGTATTTCGCTTGACGCGCTTGGACATCCGATACCATTAGCTTCCATCTAGTTCGTTATACGCCGCTTCTTCCTTTGGGACGGGTGTCATCTCGTGGAAGAGTCGCGCCTTTAACAGAAGTTCCGTCGACTTTCAAAGCCACACAGAGCTGACAAGAAATTCTTCCATGAAATCGCGTTGCTAATAGGTTAGGCGACAATTCTTCATACACCGCGCCTGAAAATAATCCAACGAACAATCAAACAAGTTGAAGTGCATGAAAATTATCTCGTTAAATTTGTCATTCCTTTCATTCGCCGCATGATTGGATAAATAACGCAATCAATCATTTCAAAGAATTCCGTAATTGCAAATTTCTTCTCAATAACGATAAATTCTTAAAATTATATTCTTGAAATTCTATTCTTAAAATTCTATTTTTAAAAAAAATTTTCCCTTTGAAAATTAGTAGCTATTTGTTAAATGAATGTCATTTTAATTTAAGGTTCTCTGGACAAAACAAAAAATGTTCAAATACGAATTCTTCTTTCCGTTTTTACGCTGACATGTGAATGTACCTTTAGGTTTATTGTTACTAGACTTCTAGGGACTTTTGGTTTGAAGCGAAAGGCGCATGCGCGGCCTATCAGCTGACGCGTCTATAGACACTTCAGGCGCGTCAGAAAACAGTTTGCTCGCTCCTCACACGGAGACAATCAGTTAAGTTTCAAAAGTTTAGATGAACTTTAGTTCATTTTAGTTATAATAGTGTTGTTCAGTGAAAAAAATGGTTTTTAATAAAGATAAATCGTAAAACTGAAAAAAAAACCTTCTCCACTTGGTCTAGTGGAGAATTTTACCTTACCGAACATAACCCCTTTTAATTTCACAACTCAATCTCTATTAACGGAACAAAAGTTTTGCCCCATTTCCCTTTTTCAATTCCCCGACAAAAATTTCACTTTCCCACACGTATTCAGACGGTAAAAAACTAAAATTCAAAGAATGTAATTAAAATTGAAATTAAACATTTTCGCCGCGAGAAAAAGTGAAATGGCTATTAAAGAGTCTCAAAAATAGAAGAGAGATATTTTAAAACTGAGACTCAAATGGTAAGGGGAAGTTTTGTTTTATGGTCTTGACATTACGCGGGTTGACTGTGTAAACGACGAGAGAAAATACCCGCACGATCGACTGCGGTTTCTTGTCAACTTTGTATTGCCTGACTTTTACTCTCTTCCCTATTCTCCACTAATGTATTCTCATTAGTAAAGTATTGTTTCCGTAAAATAAAAAGAAAAGAAAAATCCCTCGCTACTATTAAGTTCAGTTATTTTAATTACATTCCTAAATTGCCCGGAATGTAAAAGTCTTTATTTTCTCAATTTTCTCTACAAGATCCTAATAATCGAAAAAAATTATATTTTTAAAAATTAACACTTTTCTATTACATATTAGATATCATTTCCTGCGTATTTAAATTTAGTCGCGGTTTCGTAAAATTATAGAGATTCAAAAAGAAGGAGAATAATTATGCAATGAGATACCATTTACTAGGCATAATTTTCCGATAATTCATTCACATCCTAGGGCTGGAAAATAAATGAGAACTTGTTTCATCGGGGCGAGAACATTACGTATATATAATCGCCACCGATTTCTTTTCATCCATAAAAAACCAGCTACCGTTCTTTTAAGAGAAAAAATTTTATTTTCGTCCACTCAAATCAAGTCTAACTTGTTCTATTTAATTTCCAAAAAAAGAAACCAAAAAAATGTAAAAACTAATTATAATTATATCCACAAATTGTAAACATGGGGGAAATTATAATTAGAAGGGAAATTACAAGCTTGTAATGAATTTTAAAGTCTCTTTTGAACGTATAGGAAAAAAATTGTATAAGTCCGCCTCGCGCACTACACCTCAACCCCTTTTACAATTTTATCGTTTATGATCTGCACAAGGCAATTCTCAATCCACTTCTCGCACGAGAAATTACCCTCTCACTTTACGATTCCCAAGTATATGTTTATTATTTAATCACTTAATATCTAGTCCTAAATTGAATCGCTTTATGATTTTACACAGTTGCTTGCATTTCTTGAATGTCATTTAATTGCTACAATGAACCATAATTTAAACCCGTGGATATGCAGGGATCATTAGAGCGCAAGAAATTCTCTCGTTATAAAATGTATAATTGAATTTGTTCAGCGAGACTTTGTTTTCAAGTTTGTAAAAAAATTATATTCTCTGAGACGAGAATTTAAAACTTATTTTATTTATTTGTTATAAAGTAATAAAAAGAAAATATTAATATTGTAATAAAATCTCTCACCTGAGTTGCAACATTTTTTCCGTCACGGCGCCACTGTAGCTGAAAACAATCCAAAGAAGAAAATATCGTCATTAATTTTCTAGTTTTTCTATTTCTATGATAAAAAATCTAATAATCCGGTGGTCAAAATAATAAAAAAAATAAATAAAAAAAATATTCTAATAAAATAGTAAAATATTATAAGACCGCAAGAGACGTAAAGAAAAATATGTAGCGCATCAAGAAGTAAATTCTATTCTGGTAGTAAAATACTATTTAGAATAAAATCAAAAAAAAAAATAAATAAAAATAAAAAAATTCGGAAAATTTTCCGAAAAATATAAATAGAGTGATAAATAAAGTTTATGGCGCGGAGAGAGAGAACTAGTTATGCAGAAGTTGCATTTACACACTGACGGCGAACAAAATCGCAACGTGAAACGTATTGGAAGGGTGTGAACCAGACTTGAAGGGACCATAACCCAAGTCAGGGTCCCGGTTCAAGGTTTGTACTATAACATTCCTTATACTTGGCTGTTCTCTCGCAAAACTTACAGCTGATATGTTTCTCCCTTTGGAACACAAATAAAAAAAAAAGAAAGAAAGCGCCGAACGATCATAAAAAAGTTAATTTTTCACAGCCTCCTTCTAAATTATTTTTTTTAATTTTACTGTCAAAATTTGAAAAAAACAGCCCACCTGACAAAAGAATATTCGAAGCAGTTAAAAAAGGGGTAATAAAATATAAAAAAAGAAATAAAAATAGAAAAAGAAATAAAATAAATAGAAAAACAATAAAATGAGTAGAAAAAGTATTATAAAAACAAATTAAATTAAACTCTGAAGAATATTTTTTGCTTTTTCTTAGTAATAAAAAGGTTTTTTAGGGATAAAAGCGGTGGTTTAATTTCTCCACTTGAGAACGCCAAGGTCACCACCAGATGGCAGTAAAAATTCCAGGAAGGAACTGAACTGCCATCTACCGGTGACCTTGACGTTCGCAGGTGGAGTAATTTTAATTTTTACGATTAAAGAAGTTTAGAAAATACCTGCAAGACCGTAAAAGTAATTTTTTCTCATTTTCAAACTCAATACAAAAATTGTTGTCGATAGTCCGTTATAAATTCTTCAGCAACTCGCCTCGAGTTCACATACATCATCTTCTTTATCGTCTTCGAACGAAAAGGATTAATTTTGCCGGAACACAAGGAACTAAAAATCCGACAAGATGAGCTAAAACAGAAAAAAATAGAAAAAATATTAAGAAGAAGAATAATAAAAAATAATGAGAAAATAGAAATAAAGAAACCAAATAATTGTAATCATATAGAATAATTGTTAAGAAATAAAAATCTAGTTCCCCTTTTGACCTGCGAGACTTACATTACGAACGATAGAAATCTAGTGTTATATTGTTTGAAAATTTTTTTTTTTTTTTTTTGAAAAAAGTCGGAAATTCAAATGATATTCTTTAGCACCATCGCAGACCATTGTGTTTATCATTGCAACATGCACAGCTTCTCCGGTTTCTTTGAGTAAACGTTCCCTCTTTTCACATCTAAGTATCATCCATCTGCAATTGTATAGATATTACTTGTACCTTCGCAGCTTCTTATTGTTTGCTTATTCCACATTTGATCACGTGACTCAAGATTTGTACAAATATCCATTTTTTTTTCTTCGAGAACTTTTATTTTCATTATTTTCATCATTTTTAGTTTCACTTTTACTTAAACAGATTGAAAACGCACATTTACTCCAATCAATCCAAAAAAGTAATAATTATGACAATTCTCAGTTAAATCCAATAACTGAAGTATAATCGAATTAAAATTCGAATAAATAATATTATTATAATCATATTATTATTAATAATCGAATATTAATAATAATAGTCGAATATTATTAATAATAACGGGAAAAAATAATCGACGAATAATATTGAATATAGTATTAATAACAATTGAATAATAACCGAATATTATTAACAATCGAATAATAATAGTCAACGATTAATAATATCGAATAGTATTAATAACAATTGACTAATAATCAAATATTATTAACAATCGAATAATAATAATCAAATAATAATAATAATCGACGAATAATATTTATAACAATTGACTAATAATAATCGAAGATTAATAGTAATCGAATAATAATTATCGACGAATAATAATAATAATAATACTCAAATATCGTTGTGAATAAAAAATTTTTAAATCTAGATATTTTGTACCATGTGTGTCAAAAAAAAATACTATCACTTATTGAATAACACATTCTTGATTGTCTTTTTCCCTCGACTTTTCCTTTTGACGAGAATCGTGATTCTGTGGCTTATTAATTTGTTCCGATTTATTTTGATGACTGGCAGTCGTCTCTTCTGATTCTTGCGATAAATTTGGATACAATGAATTGTATGTAGGTGGAAATTCCTCAAATGTTAAATCCATTAATGGTAAAATTGGGGCTGATGGTTTTACGTCAGAATTCTTTGCTTCAGAATTTTTCTTTTTTCGATGAGAAAATGCTTTCTTCCCATCACTCTTGCTGCTGTTGGAAAATTTATTCTCCATTTTCTTCTGATTTTTCAATTCGATAATCTCGAATTCTTGATTTTTTATCTTTTCCCCTTCTTCGGTCAGATTCTGCAAAAAAAAAGAGAAAAAAAACTATAGAAATTTTTTTCGTATTTCAATATTTTATTTTCTAAAAACTTGATTTTTAAGACAGCAAAAGAATTTTGTTTCACAAAATTTAATTATTTAATTACTTGTATTTTATTTAATTCTTTAATTAATTTCTATAAATAATTCTTTACAATTTGTAATTACTATAAGTAATTTTTCATAATTAATTACTGTAAATAATTCTCTTCAGTCAATCTCTATGAGTAATTTTTTACTTAATTACTTACAGTAATTTTCTACAGTTAATTACTATGAGTAATTTTTTTATTACTGTCAGTAATATTTTATAGTTAATTGATATAAGTAATTTGTTAGTATTTAATTACTGTAAGTTAATTTTTTTACTGTTAATTACAGTGAGTAAATTTTTTACTGTTAATTACTATGACTAATTTTTTTTGTAATTACTATAAGTAATTTTTTACATTTAATCACCATAAGCAATTAATTAAAGAATATTAAAAAGAATTTCAAAAAGTAATTAACGAATGAGAAAATAAATTATCGAAAATAAAATAAAAACGATTTCAGGGCATTCAGAAAAACACAATTTTTTCGAAACACACTATTTTTATTTTTCTACAAAAATGCTTATACATATTTGTCATGTACATAATTGCTTTATACACGTAAACGAAAATAATTGAAATTTGAAAATAACTGAAACGAAAATATTAGACTCTTTTTTGGAAAATATTTTAAGACATTCCTTGAATTTTTTCCAAGAAGCTTTAAAAGCTTTCAACTCAATACCAAAAAAATAAAATGTTTTTTACACGAAATTCAATGAAATTTTTTTCAATTTCTTCAATGAAATTCAGAAACAATGAAAAAAAGATAAAATATCTTTACACGAAAGTAAAAAAAAAGAGACGAATTTTTACACAAAAACGAGAATTGAAAATACACATAAGTATTTAAAAACAAAAAGAAAAGAAACGAAACAATTTAAAAAAGAAAGAAAAGAAGTCATTGTATTAAAAATACAAGAAAATTCCCCTTTTTAAAGGAGAATTTTCCTCGAAAAATAAATATTTTCTTTTTTGAGGGAGAGACTTATCATTCAGTATCGTTTACCTTAGGTGTAACTTTAACTTCTTCCAATTTAGCTATTGGACAGCAGTGCGAGAAATGATTTGGTCGATTACAATACACACATTGGGCTTTAAAAGCCGGACAACGTCCCAGTGGATGACATTTTCCACATTTCCAACATCCTTTTGTAAATTCTCTTTGAGAATCATTTCTAGACGACGATGGTTTTCTCGATGTTGATCGAGGTCTTCTTGACGCTGACTGAGGTCTTTTTGGCGCTGAAGAATTCAAAGATTTATTTTCACTTTCCGTTTTTTGTGACATTAATTCTTTTGATACTTGTTCGATTTTTTTCGAATTAATCTCGTAGGTTTTGATAATCATTTTTAATTTTTCCAAGTTTAAATCATTCTCGGAAAATATAAGTTCTCGTAGATGCTTTTCCTTTATATTCATAAGCACGACGTCGCGAATTAAATTCTCTTCTTGCTCCCCAAAGTTACAGTATTTCGCCATTTCCTACAAATTAAAATTTAATAAATTAATGAAATATGAAATAAATTAGTTAAACGTTAAACAAATTGATTAAATATTAAATAAATTGATTAAATGCTAAAGAAATTGATTAAATAGTAAATAAATATAAATAAACGTTAAATAAATTGATTAAATAGTAAATAAATAAAATAATCATTAAATAAATTAATTAAATGTTAAATAAATAAATTAAATGTTAAATAAATTGATTAAATATTGAAGAAATAAATAAAATAATTTTATAAATGGAATAAAATTTGAAATATCCAAAAAATTGGTTTACAAAAACTTGTTTTTTTAAAAATAAAAGAATGAAATGAAATAAAAATCAAATTAAAGCAAAAATTCTCACCATTAAATCACGAATGAATATGTCGATCGACTCGTTGCCTTTTTTTGATTTTGAAAAAAATTTGTACCTCTCTTCAATCTCATTTTTTGTAGGACTGAAAAATATATCCAATTTTTCAAGAACAATTGTTAATTTTTTTTCATCCTCAGGATCATTGAAGACAATTTTTTCCAGGGCTTTTAATCCAACTGGCCCAATGAAATTCAATAGCCACGCAACTTGTATATCTTCGGATTTTTCAAAGCCATTAGTAATTTTCATGTAAATCTCGAAGTCTTTTTTAAAACGATTCCAACCATTTGGATTTGCCAATTTTTGCGGTGGTCTTGCGTCGCTTTCCATTGTAATTTTTTACTATAGAGTTCAACCTGGAAAGTAAAAAAAACAATTAATTAATCTATCACAAATTATACTCAAATGTTTTCTATAGATTATTATTATTATTTAACAATTATAATCTTTTTTCTTTTGGTTCTTTTCTTCTGGCGAGAAGCAAACATAACCTTAAAAAGTGTTTTTCGATTCTACGAAACAATTTAGTACAAAAAAATAATGAATAATAATAAAAATAAAAGATGATAATAATATTAATAATAATAATACATAATAATGATTGCTTCTGTTGCTTTTCTTTGTTTTTTACGTTCTACACCTGAAATAATGTGAAAGAATCCGGGGATTCCTAACGAATAACGAAACATTATACCCAACATGCATTGCATATCGAAAATTACTTGTTTTTTTTACAAAAGAATATTAAATTATTGTCGATAAAAATAGTATGTAAAGACTACTTACTCTATAAATTTCGATTTTTGCTTGAGATCAGAATTTTATCAATTCTCTGATACAGTGAAATGTAAGCGAAGCCAAAACAAAAGAACTAATGACGCCTGACGCATCTGTAGTTTACACACACGAATACAATTTCACACACATGTATTTACAATTTTGGCGTATATTGTAGAAGTACCGTTAAGAAAAGAATTTTCGATATAATATGAGTAACACTCACACAAACTTGAATAAAAATCTAAACAATGAACCCTGAATAAGATAATATGTCATACCTACCGAGAAGATAAGAATTTTCAATCTCAATACTCAATGTTTACTTTTCAATTAAAATTCTACAATTAAATTGATTTTTTTATATTATTTTATGTTTATTTTATTGTATATTAATCAATACTGCTCGAAACCAATGTATTATAAAATTTATATTCTGTTTTTGTTGAATAATTCCTACATTTTTGTTATTTATTAACAATTTCTACAATTTATTAACAATAGCCTATCAATTTAAATATTATGAAGAAAAATTAAAAAGAAAAATAATAGTATACTAGAAATACTGAAGAAAAAATTTATTTGATTCAAATAACCATTTAATTGACTCAAATAAAATTTATTTAATTCAATTAAATATTTAATTAACTCAAATAAAATGTATTTAATTCAATTAAATATTTAATTGACCCAAATCAAATTTATTAAATTCAATTAAATATTTAATTGATAATAGTCGTTTAATCGGTTATTTGAATCAAATAAATTTTTATTTTTCAGTGAAGAATAAGAATAGTAAAAAAATATCTGCATTTTGTAATTTTTATAGCAATATTCATTAGAAAAAATACAAGTTTAATCAATTTCACTCTTTCGGAAAACAATATTTAGTCGAGTAAAAAATTGTCATATTTTTAATTTCTCTAAATATGAATTAGTAAAAAATTCGAAATTGGGGTTCAGATCAAAGAACCGGTTATAATTTCTTGAAAAATTCTTCCCTTCTGTATATTAAAAGAGAATTTACAATAATAATTTCTTATAAGCATTTCGATTTTGCACAAAGTTTACAAAAATTTTCTTCCAAAAATTGTGATTTGAAACTTTTTAATTTTTCACTGAAAAAAAAAATTTATTTGATTAAAGTAACCGATTACTTGTTTATTATCAAATAAATATTCACTTGAATAATTTTTGTTTCAAATAATTTTTAATTCAAATATTTTTTATTCAAAATAATTTTTAATTCAAATAATTTTTATTCCAAATAATTTTTATATAAATGAAATAAATTGTTTATTTGAACCAATAATTTCAGTATTTGATGCAAACGTAATTTAATTGATTCAAGTAAATATTTTCTTGAAATGCATTTGTTTATTTGATCTTGACAAGTAGATAATCGGTTATTCGTATCAAATAATGTTTTCTTCAATTTTGATTTACTGGACAATTTCCAATGATTTTTAGTTTAGAAAAAAAATTATAAGCAGTTCCTTGATCGAGACCTTCAATTAGTGGTCGACTTTTTACTATAATTCGAATTTAAAGAGAAGAAATTAGAAAAAAATTTCTTTTTTAATTCGCCCAATGAAATATAATCAGTGTCTCCACAAACCAAGCAATTATTGTCTTTAAAATAAGTCGTGTCGATTAAATTCAATAATAAAAATTGTTTTATTATTGAATTGTGCAATCGGTGTCGTTTTTCGATTTTGGCTTTTCTCGATAACGTGGATTTACATTTGAATTTACAGAATCAGTAGTATGGCCATAATCGAAACGGGGATGATGTAGTGCATTTTGACGTGGAGCAGGTGCAGGTGCAGGTGGTGCTCGGGGTGGTAAATCTGGGTACAAAGAATTGTACGTAGGAGGAATTATATTAATCTCATCCGTTTGTGCAGGAGGTTCTATTGTCGCTTTTCTCACTGGTGGCTGTGTTCTCAATTCATTTTGAGGTCGATCCAATGATGTTGATGCTCTAATATTGGTTGCAGATGAAATTTGTTGATCATTTTTCTGTGTATTAATAGGTGTAGTCTTTATTATCTCAGTATTTTCTTTTCTCACTGGTGGCTGTGTTCTCCATTCATTTTGAGGTCGATCCAATGATGTTGATGCTCTAATATTAGTTGAAGATGAAATTTGTTGATCATTTATCTGTGTATTAATAGGTGTAGTCTTTATCGTCACAAATTTTCGAACTGGATTCTGCGTATGAAAAAAAATTATTAAATTTATAATTAAATTAATAATTGTACTAAAAACTGTTTATCATGAAAAATTGCCAAATAAAAAAATTATTTTCGAAATTTTAATGCAATTCTTCGCAAGAATTCAATTATTTTCTAAATTTCAATAAAACTCTTGGAAAGTATTTAATTATTTTCAAAATTTTAATCAAATATTCATCCAAACAATTAAATTATTTCCAAAAAGTTTAATAAAATTCTTGTCAAGAATTCAATTTTTTTGAAAAATTAATAAAATTCCTTAAAATATTTCAATTATTTTCAAAAATACTAATAAATTATCGCGATTTTCCTGAAAATCGATTGTGCCACAAAAAATTATAATTTTAATAAAATTAAATAAATTTCTCACGTTTGCATTCATTAATGGATTAATCGTTTCTTGCTGTCTTTGATTTTTAGCTTCCACCGAAGATGATACAGACGCTGAAGCTTTTATCTCAATTTTTGGATTCATTAACGGTGAAATAGTTTCGCGCTGCCTTTGAAATTTAACATCTACAGAAGATGAAACAGGCGCTGAAGCTTTTATCCCACTTTTTGTCGATGCCTCAGTTTTCGTTTCATTTTTATCAAAAATTGTTGATTTTGATTTTTTCAAATCATTCCAACCTCCACTTCTATTATCAAAATTCTGCTTAATTTTCGATTCGACAATCTTCTCACACTCAAATATATTATTCTGAAACAAAAAATCGATAAAGGAATTAAATAATTAAAATTATTACCATTTTTCCCCCTATTTTATATTTTTAGGGAATATTGTTCCAAAAAAAATTACCTCTTACCGTTTTATTGTTGGAATTGCCTCGAATTTTATCCACTTTCAAAACAGGACAAAATTGAGCAAAATGATTTGCATGCTTGCAATAGTGACAAATTTTTCCGAATGCTGGACAATTTTTAAAAGCATGTCGCTGTCCACATTTTGAGCATTCTTTTTTGAAAAATTCCGTCTTTCTAAATGTCATCGACGACTCAATTTTATTCTCAGTTTCTTGTTTCCCTAATTCATAAGTTTTGTAAATATTTTTCAATTTATTTAACGTTAAATCTGGTTCCTCGAATAAAAGATTACGAAGTTTTTCATCCTTGATATTCAAAATAATTGCATCGAGAATTATAAGTTTCGACTGGTCACCGAAATTGCAAGACTTTGCCATTTCCTGTTTAAAATAAAAATTTCGCAAATTAAAAACACGTGAGGTAATAATAAAAGTAATGTTAATATTGAAACAATAATTATGACAATAATGATACTAATGATAAATAAATGATAAAATAAATTATTAAATTTTAATTGAATTTCTTAAAATAAAAAATAATATTAAAATAAATAATAAAATACAAAAATTGATAAAAGAAATAAAAAAAATAAGAAAGTGATAAAAGAAATTAAAAAAAAATAAGAAAGTGATAAAAGAAATAAAAAAATAATTAATAAATAATAAAATATATATGACTGACCAGTAAATCTTTGGCGTATTCGTCAATTGATTCGTTATCTTCCTTCACTTTCGAAAGAAATTTATATCGTTGTACTTTTTGATTTTTCGTGTAGAGAAAAAATTGATTTAATTTCTCCATAACAATAAACATATTTTCCTCGTCCCTTGGATTGTCGAAGGATATTTGTTCAAACGCCTTTAATCCAACAGGTCCAATAAAATTCTTCAACCATGCCACTTGTTCGTCTTCGGGTTTTTTAAATCCCTTTGTTATTTTCATGTACGTTTGAAATTCCTTTTTCCATAAATTCCAATTCGCAGCCAAATTTCCCGAATCCGACAATTCGTTCGGTCGTTTTGCGTCTCCTTCCATTTTTTTTGTCTCGATAAATCTAAAAAGTAAACAAAATTAAATTGTAGTTTTAAACAAAATTTCTTTTTTGAAAATTTTTTTAACCTTTTCTTTGTTTTATTATCTCAAAACAAGTAAAGAATTTGGGGATTCCCGATAAAAATAAACATACGTGACTAAATAATAATTCCTTTTCTCATTCTATTTTTCAAAATTAAATATGTAAAAACACTTTGGAAAATAGAATAAAAAAATATAAACGTGGAATAAATTTTAAATATTACTTACTAATTATTATTTTTGCTTACGATGGATTTTGTTATCAATTCCTGTATTTAAAGATTGAAACGTACAAAGAAACTGCGTTCACACTTATTTTTCACATTCACGCACATTGAACAGAAAAAAAGAGTGAAAATAAGAACTTAATTTCCAAATTGTAAATAAAGAAAATGCATGGAAATAATTTTCTTCGACAATTAAATAAGAAACATTTTTTTATGCAGAAAAAAACTGTAAGAGCATACTTCTTTCTAAAAACTAGCAGTATGTATAATCTTTACTCTCTTAAGACTGTTGTAAAAGGTAAGCGTTTGCCAATGGCAAAGATTTTATGATACCAATCAAGTATATGTGTGACAAATACTTATACAACGCAAGTCCAGTGAGAAATATACATTTAAAGAGAGAAACACTGGGCAGATGTGTATATACAATTTATACGTGACAACACAGTCGTAAAAAAAATTTCAATTTCGATAAGATAGCGAAGAGCGAACAATAAAGTAGCAATTAAAAAAAGAAAATTATCAATTTTGTATATGATTTTTCATTTTTTTTTTGACATTTTGACAGAATAAGTTTAACTAATAATAACAATAATACAAAAAGAATTTTAAATTCTGCGCACGCATATTTTTTAGACTCGCGCCTTAATTTAAAAGTAATTGCTTAATTTAATTTTTCTAATTAAAAATTAATTAAAATTAATTCTAATTAAAAAAAAAAAGTTTTAATAAAATTCGACAAATTGCAATCATTATCCAAAATTTTGACAAAATTCTTTAAAAGAATTGAATTATTTTCAATAGAATTCAAATTACAATTTTCATGAGTAAAATTAGTTTACAAATTTTAATGGAATTTTTCTAAAGGATTTTATTAGTTTTACTAGAAGTAATTAAATTATTTACAAATAATTTTAAATAAAATTGTATTAAAAATAATATTAATTTGAAATTTATCACTCGGTGGTATTTAATAATATTGATGACTTTATCGATCACTCCAAATCAATTTAATTATTGAATAAAATTACATTGTATTAAAAATAATTGAATTCTTTACAAAAAATTGTTATCATTCTTGTAAAGAATTATAAGATTAAAACTTTTGAAAATAATTGAAAAATTGTATTATTTATGAAGATTATTTAATTTTCCCATATCTTTTATTTTTTTATACTAAATCGAATTTTTCTAAACAATTAAATTGTTTAAAAGCAATTTTATGAAAATTTTTGAGAATAATCGATTTTTTTCAAGAAATTTTATTAAAATTGTTCTGCGAAGAATTTGATTGAATTCTCGAATTTCTTTTATAGCAATTTTATTTTATTAGAAATTCCATTAGAAATTTTCGAAAATATAATTGAATCACATAGCTACTTCGAAGAATTGAATTAAAAATTTTGAAAATAATTGAATTCTTTCGGGAAATTTTATTAAAATTATTATAAAAATAGTTAAATATCTTCGAAAATTTTTTTTATTTATAAAAATTATATCATTTTTGCGATGAAATTAGGTTACAATTTTTGAAAATTATTAATTTTGTTTCGAAGAATTTTATAAACATTTTTAAAACAGTGAAATTATTTCGAGAAATTTGAATAAAATTGTTTTGAAAATAATAAAATTGTTTAAATAAAGAATTAACTAATAATTTCTATAGCAATATTGCTTGGAAAAATACAAATTTCATCAATTTCACTCTTTCGGAAAACAATATTTAAAACAAGTAAAAACTTAGCCTTTTTTTAAAACTTCTCTAAATATGAATCAGGAAAAAATTCGATCACTAATTCAAAGCAATTGAAATTTACACTAATTTCTACAAAGTAAAATTTTCTTATTAATTAAATTAGTTTTTAAAAATATTTTACTGAAATTTGAGTGAAAAGTTATACTGAGAATTGGTAGAGAAATTGTTACTAATTAAAATTTGTGTTCAGGTCAAAGAACCGATTATAATTTCTTTAAAAATTCTACCTTTCTGTATTAAAAGACAATTCAAATTGTCCATTTCATCAATTTCAAATTCAAAATTTCAATTTCTTATAAGCATTTCGATTTTGCACAAAGTTTACAATAATTTTCTTCCAAAAACTGTAATTTGAAAGTTTTTAATTTTTCATTGAAAAAAAATTTATTTGATTCAGTGTTTCCATAAATCAAACAATTATTGACTTTTAAAATAAGTCGAGCTGATTAAATTCAATAATAAAGAATATTTTATTATTGAATTGTGCAATCGGCGTCGTCTTGTGATTTTTGCTTTTCTCGATAACGTGGTTTTACATTTGAATTTTTAGAATCAACGTAGACATATTCATAACGGGCAACATGTTGTCTATTTTTTCGTGGAGCAGGTGCAGGTGGTGCTCGGGGTGATGAATCTGGATACAAAGAATTGTACGAAGGAGGAATTGTATTATTCTTCGTTTGTGCCGAAGGTTTTTCTGTCGATTTCCTCACTGGTGGTTGTGTTCTAAATTCATTTTGAGATCGATCCAATGATGTTGATGCTCTAATATTGGTAGAAGATGAAAATTGTTCATCATTATTCTGTGTATTAATAGGTGTATGAATTGTTTCTTGCTTAGCTTTCAAAACAGGACAAAATGGAGTAAAATGATTTGCTTGCTTGCAATAGTGACAATTTTTTCCGAATGCTGGACAATTTTTAAAAGCATGTCGTTGTCCACATTTCGAGCATTCTTTTTTAAAAAATGTCGTCGACGATTCATTTTTATTCGCAGTTTCTTGTTTCCCTGATACATAAGTTTTGTAAATATTTTTCAATTTATTTAACGTCAAATCTGGTTCCTCGAACAAAAGATTACGAAGTTTTTCATCTTTGATGCTCAAAATAATTGCATCCAAAATTAACAGTTTCGATTGGTCACCAAAATTGCAAGACTTTGCCATTTCCTGTTTAAAATAAAAGTTTCGTAAATTAAAAACACGTGAGGTAATAATAAAAGTAATGTTAATATTGAAAAATATGACAATAATTACACTAATGATAAATAAATGATAAAATAAATTATTAAATTTTAATTGAATTTCATAATAAAATAAAAAATAAGAAAATAAATAATATAATACATAAATTGATAAAAGAATTAAAAAAAATAATGAATAAATAATAAAATATAAACAACTCACTTGTAGATCTTTGGCATATTCATCAATTGATTCGTTATCTTTCCTCACTTTTGAAAAAAATTTGTATCGTTGTACTTTTTGATTTTTCGTGTAGAGAAAAAATTGATTTAATTTCTCCATAACAATAATCATATTTTCCTCGTCCCTTGGATTGTCGAAGGATAATTGTTCAAACGCCTTTAATCCAACAGGTCCAATAAAATTCTTCAACCATGCCACTTGTTCGTCTTCGGGTTTTTTAACACCTTTTGTTATTTTCATGTACGTTTGAAACTCCTTTTTCCATAAATTCCAATTCGTAGCCAAATTTCCCGAATCCGACAATTCCGTCGGTCGTTTTGCGTCTCCTTCCATTTTTTTGTCTCGATAAATCTAAAAAGTAAAAAAATTATTGTAGTTTTAAACCAAATAACTTTGGAAAATAGAATAAAAAATTATAAAAGTGGAATAAATTTTAAATATTACTTACTAATTATTGTGTTCGCTTACGACGAATTTTTGTTATCAATTCCTGTATTGAAACGTACTAAGAAACTGCTTTCACAATTATTTTTCACATTCACGCACATTGAACAGAAAAAAAGAGTAAAAAAAACTTAATTTTTAAATTGTAAATAAAAAAAATGTGAAAACAATTTTTTTCGACAATTAAATAAGAAACAATTTTTACGTAGAAAAAAATTGTAAGAGCAAAAATTTTTTTTAAAAACGAACAGTATGAATAAATTTTACTTTGTTAATAAGACTGTTGTAAAAGGTAAGCATTTGCCAATAGCAAAGATACCAGAAATGTATATTATGTGTAACACACTTATACAACGTAAGTCCAGTGAATAAAACATCTAAACAGCGAAACACCTGACAGATGTGTATATAAAATTTATACGTGAGAACAGAATCGTAAAAAAATTTCAATTTCGATAAGATAGCGAAGAGCGAACAATAAAGTAGCAAGAAAAAAAATTATCAATTTTATGTATGTCTATGATTTTCAATTTTTTTTTTGTCAGAAAGTTAAAGTAATCATATAATAATAATAATTTAAAAAGTATTTTAAATTCTGCGCAACAAGATTTTTTAATTTTAGACTCCCGCCTTAATTTAAAATTAATTGACTAATTTAATTTCTAATTTTTAATTGTTTTTAATTTTTGTAGAAAAAGAAAAAAATAGAAATTAAAAGAAATTGTAGAATTTCGTTCTAATAATCTAGTTCGAATTAAAGAAATTATTAAATAAAAATTTTACATCGATTCAGAGCAGAATTTCTTAAAGGTGAGAAAATTGGTCAGAAAAAACCACCTGTTGATTCTAGAATAATTTTTATAATCGACTAATTTAGTGGAAAATTTTAATTTTCACAAAAAAAGTGAAAATTGGTAATAAAAATTGTCAGATAAAGTGAAAATTTGTGAAAAATTTTACAAAAAGAGGAAAGAATGGAAAAAGTATTTCTCACCACTCTTCATAGCAGGTCTTTGTTTCCGTGTATTTGTACCAGACACCAGGCAAATTAGGCACGAATTTATTCCAAGAGGCGGTTAGTGCTGCTAATTTTCGAGACTTCCATGAATCCTCGACAAACTCCAAACTGCAAAAATAAATTTTATTAGGAACTTGATCACAAAACATTTTCACTAGTTTCGAAATTAATTTTAGTATTAAAAAAATATTACTATTTACTTAAAATTAATGTTATTTTTAATTAAAAACCCGTTATTTATTATTAATTACTACAATAATAAATAATAATAATAAAATTCTTTGCGAGAATTCAATTATTTTCAAAATACAATTTTTAAAAAATTGATCGGAAAATATCAATCACTTCTAAATATTTTGGTAAAATTCCTCAAAGGAATTCAATTATTATCAATATAATTTTAATTAAATTCTTCGAGAGAATTCTATTATTAAAAAAAAATTGTAATGAAAGTTTTCTAAACGATTTAATTATTTTTAATACAATTTTAATTAAATTACTCGAAAAAATTTAATTGTTTTGACAATTTTAATAAAATAATTTGAAACAATTAAATTATTTCCAAAACTTTTAATAAAATTGTAATGAAACATTTTTAATTGAATTCTTGCGAAGAATTTAATAAAATTCTTGGAAATATTTCAATTATTTTCGAAAATTGTAATAAAATTCTAAAAAAAAATTTCTGAATCAATACAAGAATATATTTTTCTCTCCAGTCAATTTTGTAATAATTATCCAATTAAAATTTTTTAATAATAATAGTGATAAAAAATTAATTTTGTAATAATAGACAATAAATTTTGTAATAATAATAATACAAAATCTATTTTGTAAATAAAAAAACGAAAATTACCGATTCGATTCAGCCTATAAAATAAAGAACACTTGATAAACTTCCGTTAGTTGAAAAAAAAAAAATTCCCGTCGTTAAAAAAAAAATTATTGTATAGACAAGAATAACCCTATGAGTACAGCGATAGAAAGAAATCGAACCTCTCGTGTTCTCAAAAGAGATTAGACTCGCATTAAAAGGACATGTAAGTCATCAATCACTTTCTTCGTTATATGGGCAAAACTCAATATTTCAACGGATCAGCTTCATTCAGGAAATATACATAATATCTTTAGAGTTACACTCTCGAAGCGTTTCTAATTCACGAATCGTTCTCGGATTCACCAAATCCGTTAATTGACAAATAGAATAAGCGGATTAAGTCCATTATGTAAAATCTTACGTAAAAAATTGCGATATCTATTTTATTGAGAGAGAGACTCGAAATTATTCAAGAAAAACACGCATTCATGATTTTGCTATACGATTAGAAATGGTTCACAACTAGAAATGTGTCGCGCATTAAATGAAGAACTATAGAAAATTATCTAGAAGACGATTTCAATTTTGAATAATGAAGAAATATCGAAGATTATTTAGAAGAAAATTTATAGCGATGAAGAATTATTGAGGATTATTTAGAAGACCATTCAAATAGCGAAGAATTATCGAAGATTATTCGAAAGGTCAATAATTAATTTAATTATCAATCGAAATTCAATAAATTAAAAATTGCTTTTCGAGGAAGTAAACAAAATTAAGTAATTTTGTTAACAAAATTACTTAATTTTGTTTACTTTCTCGAAAAGCAATTTTCGTCGAGAAAATTTTCTCTCTTGTTACTTATTATTGTAATTTCCAATTTAATGAAATAATTTTTAAGTTTGGAAAAGAGAATTCAAAAAAAAATTCCAGAGAATAATGGAACTCTTTCGAGTATAACATTAACATTGAATAGAAGCTATATATTGAAGAAGAGTTTGTGGTTCACATAACAATTCTATTCTCAAGTTCTTGTAAATCCAAGCATCATCATCAAGATGAAAAGGAATAACTCCTCGAGTTTTTGACGGCGAAAATGTCGACAGTAACAATGCCAGCACTTGGTCATGATTTAGAACCGGAAAAGTTCTTTATACGAGTAATATACATACATAAAGTACATAAGTCCAAGCTATACATTCGTCCTTTTGAGAATACGTACATTTATATATTGAGGAACTAACCACAGGCAAAGTGGTTATAGGCGTGGTTGCCTCCCGCTATTACCACACTCTTCGCGAGGCTCAGAAAAAAATATTTCCACCTCGTCGATGATCCATGATCCTTATGCCCATTGTGTAGGCAAATGAGAAAGTTCAACTAGTCCATTTAACTCCCTGCGTAGATTATCCTTTGTTCCCAACATTTCTCCTGTTGAAAAAAAATAAAAAATAAATTTTTTTGCATTTAAAAATTTACCAAAAGACTAAAAATTATTTTTTTTACAACTCTTTGGCCGAAAAATTAATTTGAAATTAATTTTTTGTGGCAATCTTGAAATAATTTAGATTCTTATTATTAAATAGTTAAATATTTTTAATCTTTGTTACAGTTTTAATTGAGAATCGATAACAAAACTTACAGAAGTCAATTAATAAAAAAAAAAATTAAATATCAGACTCGCTTGGTAATTGAATAAAGAAATAATTATTGCTACTGAATGAATAGTCAAGATGATAAGTACCAACTGGAAATATTCGAAAAAGAATTGCAATTCAATTTAAAGAGAGAGAAAAGTGCAAGGTCATGTTTAAAATAAGAAGATTTATAGATGAATCTTAGAAACAGCGAAAGAAAAAGAAAAGAAGAATGAAACTAAAATAGTTTTCTATAAATCCTGGCACTTGGAAGGATATGTCTCGTTGTATTTTGCTCGTGTGTTGTAAAGTTTTCCTGTCCATCTAATCGAGTAGTAAAACCGGCTTGAACGCAAGGAGAAATCGAACAACCAGAGAGAATATATTGAAAAAGCAGAAGAGCCAACGAGGTGAGGTGGAAGATCCGAGGAAGATATTTCTTAACAAAAAACCAGAAAATTCGTCGAATTCGATGCACTATCTATGAGTATGGAATAATTTTTCCTTTTTTTTCTGTTTTGTGTGTTCAATGTCGGAACATGTGTGTAACTCCATTGCTGAACATATCGATTAGTTTACTTTTTTAAATTCTCCTCTTTAATTACTTTGTACTTATCAAGAATGAGGATCATTTTTTTCTCTGTCTCTCTCTCTCTCGAGACTGAAACATTTTCATCAAGTATTTAATTTACATCCTTCGGAAAAAATTATGACAAATTATCTTTTTATTTATTTTCAATCTTTCGGAATTTTAATTATTTCAGGGTTGCAACGAAAAATTAATTTTGAAAATTCTTCACTAAAATTCAAATATTTTCAAAATCTACTATTTGAATAAAATTTCTCAAAAGAATTCAATTATTAAAAAAATAAAATAGTAAAATTCTAATTATAGTTTTTAAATAATCAAAAATATCGAATAGTTTCAAAATAGAAATTAAATTAGAAATTAGAGAGCCCTGCTTTTGGTGCCATTGCCTCTAGAGAAATAATCCGACACTGGAATAGTTTATTCAAATGGTCAAATACGATCAGCGTGAATGCAATATACCTCGACTACAGAAGGCTGAGTGTTCAACTGCGATTGCAGATAATTTCCACGGGTCGATCGATATCAATTCGCTTTGATATCTTGTACACTTTGCCTTTGCTTTGCCCTCAACCACAATGTTGATCTCCAGGCGTGAAAATGCTATAATCAGCTCGACACGTTCAAAGCGGAATTATAAGGCGGATACCTCAAGAATTAACTGGATAACATCTATGGCGTCGAATTTACGAATTGAAATAAGTCTTCTATTAAAATAAAAAAAAATACAATATTAAAATAAATTCATTTCACGACAATAAAAGAAAAATTTCTTAAATTCATACCAAAAATTCTTTTACTCGTGTTCCAAAATTTCGAAGAAAAGCAATTGTTCTTCAATTTTTCTCCGGAACTCCAATTTTTCGTTCCGGCTAATAAAAGAAATTGGTTCAAATTAGTTCAAAATTCCTTCAAATCCATTTGATGATTTTTTCTTCATTTTCCCCCAAAGTATTGGAATTGTCATCAGTCTCGAATTCCGATTCTGGGGAAAAATTAAAAATTAATTAAAGTAGTTAAAATAAGTAGCAAAAAGAAGCTTTATTAAATTTTACGAATTTAATTGAATACTATTTTTGCTAGTAAAAAATAAAAACAAATCAAAAAATGGAAAAATTAAAATATTCTTTATCATAATTTCGGATGAACGGAACTTACAATAATTCTTTTTTCTTCTGGGAAACTGGTTCCTTATAGTTGACGGTAAAACTCTATCCGGTGCATGTAACACATACAATGTCGTGGAATACACTTTGAATTCTACCGAGCCATACGATATATATCTGCAGTCTATTCTCACTTTAACGATTTCCTTGCGGTCTCTTCTGCATCCCGACGGCGGCATCCGGCCTGTGTCTTCAGCTCCTGCAACCTTACGCACAACAGAATTCGCTATCAGCTCCGCTCGACTCCACAATGACACATCGAAATAAACCAATTTCATTGAAATTAATCTTTTCCTCCTCCTGATTGAAAAAATCTCCTCGAAGATTGAAATTTTCCAATTGGAACCTGAAAAAGAACGTCCCATTAATAAAATGTCTCTGAACTTTCAATTATACGAACTCTGCTTATTTTTCTTTGAACTTTAATTGTAAAATAATATATTCTCGTCGAGTATTAAAAAAATAAATATCACTTTTTAATTTAGATTATAGATTTCTATTTCAAAGAGTAATTTTTAATCGTCGAGTATTAAAAAATAAATTTCAAACTGTTTAATATAGATTATAGATTTCTATTTCAGTGAGTAATTTTTAATATTTAGAAAACAAATTTCATTAGAACGTTCAGACTTTTTTACAACATGAAAATTGCTTGGTAAAAAAATACAATTTCCAGTTCTCGTAAATTGTGTCTGTATAAATTCTCTATTGAGTGATTCTCATTATATGTATTAAAATCTATAATCGAGATATGAAAATCTGCTTTGGATATTAAAATCTACTTTGGATATTATAAAATCTTCTCTGATGCGGATATTAAATCTTAATTGTTGTGCATTAAAAGTATTCGCATTTTCCTCGTTATTGGAAATGAAATACTTGCGGGTACAAATAGCATCCTGTTTATATCAGAGAGAAACTAGTAAAATGTGGTGTGACTCTTTGGTTTAACATACGAGCGTCCGCGCTAAAGGATAGTCAACTGGCGAGATAAGATCACCCTCGCGTTCCTGATTACAAAACCTATTCACGAAGAAGTCTCTCCCCCATCTGCGTGCCTTCCTTCGATGTTTCCTTCCTCGTCTCCTGCAACAAACAATAATTGTTACCATTTGACCTTTTATTCAAAAATTGTTATTTCGAATTTGTTTATTAAAATTTTTGAAAATAATTGAATTTTGAAGAATTTTATTTACTCTTGAAAATAATTGAATTTCTACAATCATTTGGAATTTCTATAAAATTCTCCAAATTATATCGAACAATTTACGAATTCTTTTGAAAAATTTTATTAAAATAGAAGATATTAAAAATCATTGAATTGAGGAACATTTTTGAAAATAATTCAAATTTTGACAAAAAGTTTATTAAAACTTTTGAAAATAATTGAATTTTAGAGAACAATTTAATTATTTCCAAAAATAATTACAATTTGGATGAATTGAAATTTCGATATTCAATAAAATAAAATTTTAAATAAATAAAATAATACAAAAAAAAATTAACATTAAAAAATTTCAACAATTCAACATTGAATTCAAATCGAGAAAATTCTCTTTCTATCGAAGTAAAGGAAAAATTTGTAGAATATTTAGAAACTGTAGTTCTTGAAGAGATAGAATTACCTCCAAAGGTATTGGTGACTTGGGAACAGAAAGCCTATAGGCAAACGTGCCGATCCTCAGGAAAGGATCGTGATCGCACCTTCTTAGTCAATGATGAGGGAAAAAAATCCCGAGAAGAATGCAACACATATGAGACAGCTAAAAATAGAGAATCGGAAATCATCCACGTCACTGCTTTGGAACTGATACTCAATTCGCTCCTTTATCCTCACGTTGTTGTCTTCTGTGCGCCCCGCAAGATATCGTTGGCAAATTGCGGTGACCGTTTGATGACCCATCTCACATGAACCGATTATCTGCGAAAAATATAATTTTAATTATTCTCTGCAAATTTTTATATAATATTTATTTTATTTTATTTATTATTTATTCTCTGAATTTTTAATTTTTGCAGTTTGGAAATTTTTAATTCATTCAAGAGTTGGGTAATTTAACTAATTGACAAATATTTTTGATTGGAAATAATAATATTTGTAAATGAAAATATTTTAACTAACAATATTTTTTATGGAAAATAATAATTATAACTGTAAATATTTTTAAGTAATAAATATTGAAACTAAAAATATTTTGGAGTAAAAATATTGTAACTAAAAATATTTTTGAGTAAAAATATTTTAACTAAAAATATTGTAAGTAAAAGTATTTTAACTAAAAATATTTTATTTTTGAAAAGAATATTTTTTACTGAAAATATTTTAACTAAAAACATTTTTTACTGAAAAAATATTCCACTGAAAATATTTTCCACTATCAATATTTCCTACTGAAAATATTTTTCACTGACAATATTTCCTACTGAAAAAATTTCCCACTCAAAATATTTCCTAACGACAATATTTCCTACTGAAAATATTTTCCTCTAAAAATATTTCCCACTGACAATATTTCCTACTGAAAATACTCCCCACTGAAAATTTTTTTTGCTGAAAATATTCCCCACTGAAAATATTGTTTGCTGAAAATATTTTCCACTGAAAATATTTTTTGCTGAAAATATTTTCCACTGAAAATATTTTCTAAAGGAGAAGAAAGTGCAGATGCTTCACAAATCAACATACGCCGAAGAAACAGCTGACTAATATCGTGTACACGATGTCCGTGTATATACATGAACTTAATAGTTTGACCAGAGGCGAAAATACTGTAGAGAATTGGAGCTAAGTGTGCACGCTAGATCTTAAAATAATGCCGAAGATTATCTCCTTATAATATTTTCTTACGATCGAGGCACTTAAACTGCCTAAAGCCTTGATAAACTTATGATTAACGACCGATGATTGGAATAATCTCGATTGACAAGTTATTTTTTCTTCTATCAAAAAAAAAAAAGAAAAAGAATTTGTCATCGTGTAGGAAGAAAATAATTTCTCAAGTCATCCAGGAAGAAATTTGTCCGGCCCTTTTATCCGCAAACAAAAATTTAATCCTAGTGAAAAAATGTTCTCTAAAATCCTGACTTTTTTCTCAAAGAACAAACGGAAAATTATTAAAAATAGATTATTATCAGAATTTTTGAAAATAAATTTTTTTGAAAGAATTTGATTAAAAATTTTGAAAATAATTGAAATGAATTTGATTGTAATTTGCGAAGCGATTTATATGTGAGAAACTCATCAAAGTAATTGGAAATTTGTTACTAATTGTTCAATTAGTTGCGTGTGAGAATTATCAATCGTGTGAATTTATTAAAAGTCAGGTCAACCGGTCTTGAATATCGCGTGGCTTCTTTCACGCGATCAACTGCAGAAGCTGTAAATGGATGTTTTATACGAAAATGCAACATGGCAGTTTCTTGGTGCTGGTTATCGGTGGTAGCATATCGGTAACTCTGTTAAACCAACGTTCAAACTGCAACGGCATTAATGACGTTTGTAGCCGTTATCAAAGAGAGAGTGTCTCTCTCTCTCTTTTTTTTCTGTATAGTATCTTAAACCCGGTTCCTGTATACAGACAGTAATTTATCACCCACTGGAGGAACCAATAGTTTGAATCTTCGAACCGGTTGTTGTGCAGCTAACCTGGAATCAATCGTTTGCAACTTGAACACGTATTCGAAGAAACCCGATCTAGTGATATGGATAAAGTGTCTTTAAAAAAAACTATTGACAAGAAAATGATCATTGGTAATAGAGACGTGGATTCGACCTTGATCATGTCACAAGACGTGGGGAATAGAAATCATTCGATTTTCCCAAAAAAGAAAGAGAGAAAAGGGAAAAAGAAGTCCAATTTCTTCTTCATTCGAGAAATTCATTTCTGATGAATTTTAGAAAAATTTTCTTCTCGGATTTTAGAGAAACAATTTTACATTTCTTCCTGAATTTTAGAGACAATTTCTTCCTGAATTTGAGGGAAAGATTTCTGTCTGGCTTTTAGGGACAATTTTTTCCTGAATTTTGAAGAAAAACTTTCTGTTCGGATTTTAGTGGAAAATTTATTTCTGGACTTTAGAAGAAAATTACTTTGTGAATTGAAACGAAAATTTTCTTAACGAATTTTAGAGAGAATTTTATTATGTATTTTAAGAAATATTTCTTTCTGCATTTTAGGGAAAATTTTTTCCTAGATTTTAAAAAAAAAATATTGTATATCAATTTAAGAGAAAATTTCTGTCTTAGTTGATTTCTTAAATTTCATTTAAATTCTTTAAAATCCAAATTTTTAAGAATTTAAATTACAAATTTTGAAAATAATTTAATCTTGAAAAAGATTTTAATGAAAAATTTTCAAATTGTATTAAAATATTTTATAAAATAATAAATTGTCAGCGTTTTTTCGTTACAATTTTTTTAAATTCAATTATTTTCAATATTTTAAAAATATATAATTAAGAAACTGTTAAATAAATTAAATATTGTACAATTTTATTTAAAATAATTGAATTTTTAAAACTAGTTCAGAAATATTTTTAAAAATACAAATTTTGAAGAATTTTAATTAAATTTTTGAAAATAATTGAATTCTTAAAATATTGAGTGATTGAATATTGAAATATTCAAATGAAAATTTTATGAAAAGTATTTTCAAAAAATTATATTAAAATATTTTTAAAAATACAATGATGAAGAATTTGAATTAAATTTTTGAAAATAATTGAATTCTCAAAAGTTTTGATAAAAAATCTTTAATTTTTGTTTAAATTTGAATTAAAGGAAATTTCAATTGAAGATTTTGAAAATAATTGAATTACGTTTTCAAAAATATTTTAATACACTTCTTTTCAAGCTAATTTTAATTAATTTTTATTTTTGATATTTTGAAAATAATTGAATTTAGAATATTATAATTAAAAAATTCGAAAAAATTACGTTATTAGGAATATTGTAATACAATTGTATTACAATATTTTTGATAACGTAATTTTTTCGAATTTTTGAAGCTAATTGTCATTAAGTTTTATTTGAAGAAAAGAAAAGTGAAGTCACCTTTTTTTAAAATAGATCCAAAAATCTCGCCTTTTTTTGCAAATAGTCGGAAAAAAGTCCAACAAGTCCCTACTATCCGAGGCCTGTATTTACATTTTTCCTTTAGTTTTCTTCTTCTTCGTTTCTTCCCTCTGCTATTTCCTTCTCTTTTCTCTCCTTTTTTTCCAAAGACAGGCGGCGGTAAGAAAATTTTAATTAACATTTAGTTTTGGTTTAGCGGTATAGAGAAGAAGATAAAGTAAGAATGTAGAATGGAAATAAGCCTGGCTACATGAGCAATGAAGTGATTCAATGTCGATTTGTATGCATGTTTCAGCATGGGAACTCGGCGTTACATGAGGCTTCATGGCGAGGTTATAGTCGAACTGTTGCTGTATTGGCGAAGGCCCTTGGGACACAGCGTGCACCATTGCACGCGAGAAATCTCGCTGGATTTGCGCCACTTCACTTGGCCTGCCAAAACGGACACAACCAAAGCTGTCGGGAACTTCTCTTGGCTGGATGTAATCCCGACCTTCAGAATAATGTACGTTGAACCAATGTATAAATACACAGGTGTATAGACGCGTAACAGCGAAAAATTTTTTTTCTTTTTTTCCTCTTCTTCTTTTTTTCTTTTTTCTCTTCTTTTTGAACCAAAAAAAACCGGTATATATATCTTCGCGTAACATTTCAGAAACTCACTGAACGTAACCATAAATAATTAACACTTTCGTACTGCCGGTACAAAAGCAGTAAAATTTTAAAACCTGTTGATCCACAGCCCCTTTCAGAAAAATACGTTTCGGTGAGTTTAAACACGCGAGAAGTCTGAAATGCAAAAAACGAATTATTAATTTCATGCTAATTTTTATTCTAATTTAATTTAAATTTATGTAGAAAAATTAAATTTTGATTGTTTATTAGACTTACGTGTTTTTATTCCGATTGTAATAATTCTTGATTAACTCTTTATTGGTGAAGAATGATCTGCGACTCGCTCCGAATAAATGGACCTGAAAAGCAAAAAATTTTTAGTCTTTGTCGATTCAAAGTAGGAAAAAAGTAATTTATTTCAATCTGATTTCCAGAGAATTTTTTTACGCTTTTCTTTAATATTTTCCTTTATTTTATTTTATATTTTACTATTACTCTTTTTCATTATTTCAAAAAATAACTTTAACTCGATAAATTTTTTGTAGATATTTGAATTTTTGTTTTAATTGAAAATATGGAAAATCGAATTTAGATTTAAAACGAAATTATATAATTATTTTTTGTAGATTTTTGAATTTTCTTTTTTAATGGAAAATATTGGAAAACCATTGATTTTTAAATAATTTTAATAAAAAAATTTTGAGAATTACTTTTTGAACAAATATTTATTCTTTAGCTAATTTTAATTAATTTTTATTTTTCAAGATCTGAGTTTAATTTTAAGATTTGGAGTAAAAATTTAGAAAGATGATTAATTGAAATGTTTTCTTTTTCAGTATGGCGACACACCGCTTCACACTTCAGCACGCTATGGTCACGCGGGCGTCACTAGAATACTAATTTCCGCTCTCTGTCGAGTATCGGAGCAAAATAAAGTAGGTCCAGAAAAAAAACAATTTTCTTCAAATTAATCAAATTAAAATTATTTTTCAATTTTTAGGACCTAAAATTAAATATAATTTCCTAAATTTTTACAGAATGGAGACACGGCGCTACACATTGCAGCGGCTATGGGTCGGCGAAAATTAACAAGAATTCTCCTCGAGGCAGGATGTGATCGTTCCTTACGAAACAAGCAGAGCGAAACCGCCAAGGATATAGCGAAGAGAAAAAATCTTTCCGAAATTTTGGAAATAATTAATAAATCACGTAGCAAGAGTCGAGCACGTAGCAAGAGTCGCGAGGAGGAGGCGGTGGCAGCGACGGCGACTGTCGACAAAGTTGACGGCAAAACGAATGGAAAAGGTGAGAAGAAGCGTGAAAAAAATGGAAGCGGTACCAGTGGCAGTAGAGACAGTGGTTCGAAGAAGGAAAAAAAGAAGCTCAAGAACGGAAAGCAGCATAAGGTGCATTTCGAAAAGACAATGATGGGTCGTGAATGGTCACCGTACGGTTGTCACTATTATCCCGATCCAGAAGCATTTCCCCAACCACGTCTTGATTCTTTACCGCCCGATCCACTTGCTCGTGGCGAACAATATTATCTCGATCTCGCTGGTAACATAAGAAAAGGACCAGTGGGTGTTGGTTACACCTGCTATTGTGCACCATTCTTTCGACACATGGAGGCGAAGCTCGAGAGGGACAAAGCTGAATTGAAGGCGCACATCGATCAGGCTCATGAGAGACTCGATCTCAAGGTCGCCAATTTGGAGAAACGAACCCGGGGACAGATATCAGAGTTAACAAGATGCGTCGCTGTCGAGCGTTCCAAGTGTGACGAGAGGCACTGTCACATTCAACAGAAATTGCTGCGAGGCGCTAAGGGCAGACACAGTGAGCGACCAATAAGGCAGATTATTGTCGACGAACAAAATCCACCAGCGCGTGCGAGATCGTTGGAGGATTTGTTGGATGAGAGACCGCACGATCGGAGTTTTGAGATACCGGGCGAAACTCATATTCATCGGGGTAGTCTCGATGATCTGGATATACCGGCGATACCGAGGTTGAGTAAGTCTATGAAGGATCTGCATTCACTGGGTAACTCGAGGCCAATTCTTCGAGTACTGGATATTCCCGCGAGGCTTAATGAGACATTCGATGGTGTCATCAGACGGGGGGATCGTTCATCACCTCTGGGAGCTGCCTCGTCGCCTACCGTTAGTCTTCGCCAGCAGGTTTTGCAACATCAGGTTAATTATTTTATACTCTCGCTTCCTTCTTGCAAAATTATTTGATTCTCGTCAGGATTAATGGAAAGATTTTCTTTTCTTTTCTCCTGATTTCCAGAAAGAATTTTTACTCTTTCCCTGATTCTGATTTTTACTCTGAAAAATAATTAGATACGCAAAGAAATATTTTTTATTTATGAATATCTTGTTAGCGATCTCAAATGTGTCTTTTCTCGCGAATTAATTTTATTAACAAAAAATAATTTGATGAAGCTTTCAATCTTTAATTGTAAAATTATTCGAATCAATAATTTTGTTGAAAAACTATTTAAATTGTATTTTACCTAGTTTTCTACGAGAATTAAAATTTTCTAAATTTTTATTCCAAACTTTCTGATATTTAATTATTTCTCAAAATTACAACAGTATTTCTTTCAAAATATAATTATCTTTCAGAATTTTTAATTAAACTTCTTTTCCAAACAAATTATAAAATCCAATTTCTAAAAATTATTTTAATAAATTTTCAATATTCGTTCAAGAGAACAATTATTTTAAAAGAAGAATTCAATTTTTTAATAGATTTAATGAATTTCCAAAAATTCTTCAAGAATTCAATTATTGAACAAGAAAAAATCAAATTTTAAAAATTATTTTAGTAATTTTCCAAAAATTCTTGAAATTCAATTATTCACCAGAAAACTCTAATTTCTAAAAATAATTTTCATAAATTATCAATATTGGTTCAAGAAAACAATTAATTTAAAAGAAAAATTCAATTTTTAAATAGATTTAATGAATTTTCAAAATTTCTTCAAGAATTCAATTACTTAACAGAAAAATTCAATTTTTAAAAATTATTTCAATTATTTTCTGAAAATTCTTCCAAAAATTAAAATAGTTAACAGAAAAATTCAATTTTTAAAATTAAGGTGAATAATTTTGTAAAAATTCTTTAAAAAAATCAATTATTGAACAGAAAAATTCAATTTTTAAAAATTATTTTAATAATTTTACAAAAATTCTTCAAAAATTCAATTATTTGACAGAAAAATTCAAATTTTAAAATTAATTTTAATAATTCTGCAAAAATTCTTTAAAAATTCAATTATTAAACAAAAAAATTTAATTTTTAAGTTATTTTAAAATTTTTTTCCAAGAATTCTTCAAGAATTCAATTATTTTACAGAAAAACTCAATATATCAATTTTATTTAATTTTCTAAAATTTCCATTTAAAATTAAAAATTAAAAAAATTATACTTTCGAAAAGTTTTATTTTAAATTCTGAAAAATTATTTTTTCAAAATATTCCAATTCTGTTTTTCAATCATAATTGAATTTATATAAATAACTAATGGAAAATTGTTGAATTAATTGGAATTTTCTTATTTTTAGAGTATAGTTTCCTCAAACTTTCAATTCAAATTTTTAATTCTAAAATTACCTTTTTTTTATAATTTAACTCCCTTTGAATTTTTCTGTAGGAATAAGGGAGAAAGTCAAAATTCTGTCTGGAAATAGAGAAAAATCAGGGAAAAACAAAATCAAATTTTTGGGGCAATTCTGAAAAATAATTATTTCTGTGGAATCTAATATTCACTAGATTAGCAATAATAGACCATATAATTCAAATTTCGAAGAAGAAGAAGATGAAGAAGAAGATTTTAATGACAATTTTGTTTCAGATTTCTATGTCGAATGATCACAGTTCGAGTCCCTGTCTGGATGAATTCACCCCGGTTTATCGAACTAAAGACGAAAATTGGAAATCTTCATCTAAACGTCGTAGTGTCCACGAGATGATCAAACGATTTCAACAAGTCTCCGGTATGCATAATGGCCGAAAAAGTCAACGGGACTTGACTGAAAGTGAACCGCCCAGTCCAAATAATCATTCACCGAGAATGCCACCCCAAGGTGGAATTACCAATGGTTGGCATCGGGAAAACGGTGGTAAATATTTTAATCCTCAAACTCTCTTTTTGAAGGAAAAATGTATTTTTCCTTCAATTAATTATTATTTTTCGGAAATCCTTCCTCAATGAGGAAGGGAAAAATAATAAAGTAGAATTGGAAATGAAAGTAAGATTGATTGAAACGATAGGTAACGATAGTGAGAGCAGTGAAGCCGATGATGACGAGGAACAACCGGGACCAATGAACGGAGTTATACCAGGTAAAGGTATCATGTCCGAGAATGTCCCCTACGACACGATAGCCCAGATGCCATACAGATCGCGCAATGCCGTATACAGTCCCACTCCTCCTTTGCACGACGCGCATAATGATTCTGGCTACAGTACACGGATGTATGGCTCCAGTAAAGGAGCATCTCCTTCTTTGTCAGGTGAGATTTCTTCGGCAAATTTATTCCCAAGGTCATTGCTTAATAATTCCGTTTGGATTTTTCAAAAAGAAAAAAATTCTCTCAACTTCAATTTTAAAAAAAAAACAAAAAATAAGGATAAAATATAAATAAGAAAATAAGAATTAAAAATAACTAAAAAAATAAATAAACTAAATTTCTGAAAATAGAAATAACTTTCTCACCTTCTAACGATTTTTTCCTGTCGAAAAACGATACTCTTGAGGGAAAATGCCTAACTCTCCTTTTGCGTTCATCAACTTATTCGATTGTGTAAATAATACTGAGTTGTAATTTTCTAAATTCTCCTCTTCTTCTTCTACTTTGTTTCTAGAAAAACAAAAAAACAAAAATTGTAAATTAATAATGAAAAAAATTGTATATTGCAGGTCAGTTAGAATGCGATGTAATACTACCACAAGGATCGTTCCCCAGTGGAGAGCAACTTGCTGCCTTACTCGAACAGCCAAGAGGTCACGACTTGACAGTTTATGAACGAGGAGTTGACAATGTTGTTATTAACATAGGCACTGCGAGTTTAGTCTAACATGTTATTTTTTTTCTAATTGTCCCTCTGAGTTTTCCAAAGACAACAACAATTGTATAGCAGAGATTTTGTAACATTACTGATATATGTAAAAATAAAATAAACTCTTTTTTTGTATATTTTCATCATTTCGATAAAATTATTCATCATCCATCTTCTTCATTCACCAAATTCACTAAATTCTTCCTGTAACTTTACAACTTTAAAAATTTTATTTTCAAAACAAAGTTATTAATTTTCATGTACAGTGTAATATTTTTAAAAATGTAATATTTTCATTGAAAATTATAATAAAATTATTTCATGTTAAATTAATTTTATTACCTTCAAGGCAATGTCATCTAGTTTGATAAATAAATTCTCGAATTTAATGTACCTTATTTACAATAGCGATGAATTATTTATTTCTCTTTAACTAAGCAAAAGCCTTATTGTATGTTTGCTCCGTTGATGATGTGAACTCGGCGATTGATGATAAATAAAGAGGAACGCCCCTGAGAGTTTGTGATGTTGCGTTGACAATTTGTACCGCTACATAATCACCAGGAACCACTTGTCTTGAACTGGAGGAATTTCTATTTTCTTCCACCGGAGAATTGGGAATAATTACACGTATATTGCCGTCATTTCGTCCGATAAGTTGGTTTGCATTCTTTTTACTCGTCTAAAGAAAAAATTTCGATCAATTATCACATTTTTATCACATGATGATATTCATGTTATTAAATTAAATAAATTTTTAAACAAAATGCTAAATTTGAATTAAAAATTTTTTAAACATTAAATTTTAAATTTAAACTTACTCCTTCGATTAAAACAAGTTGTTGTTGACCAATTTGTGCTTCGTTCAATTTTTTCACCTCATTTCGATAAACGTCGGTCATTCTGATCAAACGCAATCTTTTTACTTCCTCATTAACATCGTCCTCGAAACGCCGATGTGCAGGAGTTTTCTAAATAATGTAAATTTTTTTTAAGCATTAATTAAAATATTAAAATTGCAAAAGTCAAATAGAAAATAGAAAAAGAAAGAAATGAATAGAAAAAGAAATTTTAAGAAAGGAATGAAAATTATTTAGTTAGTTAACTAACCTCTCGCATACTGTATGCAAACAGAAAAGCTTGATTATATTTCACTAATTCCATAATCGAAATCGTGTCCTCAAATTCCTCGTGAGTCTCGCCGCAAAATCCGGCAATAAAATCACTTGAAAGAGAAACATTTGGAATAATATTTCGAACGTTTTCAATTAATTCCAAATACGATTCCCTCGTGTAACCGCGTCTCATTCTCTGTAAAACTGACGAATTTCCACTTTGCACCGGTAAATGAAGACTTTTGCAAATATTCGGCCTTTCTGCAATTAATTGCAGCACCGAGTCGGGAAAGTCCTTCGGATGTGGAGACGTAAATCTGCAATAAATAAAAAAATATAAATACTAATTTATAAATATAAATCTGTAAATTTAATTTATTACCGTATTAATTAAATATTCGTAATTGACATTTTAATTAAATTTTTGCAAAAGTTTGAAAGAAAAAAAAAAGTTTGAAGAAAGCAATTGTACCTTATTCTCATTTCCGGATTGATTAACGATATTTTATCTAAAAGATCGCAAAATCTCAAACCACCTGTTTTATTTTTGTAAACTGTTCTAAAACCCTTTGCCAATTCAGTTTCGGAAGCAACAATCATCTCAGTCGCATAATCCAAATAACTATTAACATTCTGACCTAGGAGAATAATTTCCTTGACATTATTATCTGACAATTGTCTCACTTCGTCTTCGATACTTTTTAACGGTCTCGATCTTTCTCTACCACGTGTGAATGGAACTATACAATATGTACACATATTATCACAACCTCTCATAATAGTTCTGAAAAAATACAATAATTTTATCAATTTGCATTTAAAAAGAAAATCGATAACAATCAAACAATAAAAATAAATTAAAGAAACGTTATCTAATTAATACTACTTTCATTTCTAACTTATTTCCACTGGTTGGAAATTAATAAAAAATTGACAAAAATTAGAGAATATGATAATTAAAATAAATAAATAATTGGAGTCAATGAAAGGAATTAATTAGAAGAATGAATCGAAACTCACACAAAGGCGGAAATTGAATCAGGATGAAGTCTCACTGGTGTAATATCAGCGTATGTTTCGTCGGCTGATAAAATTACATTAATTGCAGTTTGATTATCATTAGCGATTGCTAATAATCTTGGTAGATCTTTGTAACTATCTGGACCTGCCACAATATCCACTAGACGATCTTTTACGAGAAGTTTATGTTTTAAACGTTCAGCCATACAACCTATAAATTTATCACTCTTAAAATGAAACACATTTCAAATAAAAGCAATTTAAATAATTATCTACATTTAAAATAAAAGCATTTTAAATAATTACATTTAAAATAAAAATACTAAAATAGAATATTTATAAAATACTACCTCCATGAGGAAGTAATTAATCCTAAACAGAAAGGGAATAAAGCAGTGAAGTTAAATTTACAATTTACCCAATAGTCCAATTTTCGGATGTTCGGAAATTCCCATAGCTCTCTTTTTATTCATTATATGCCTAAATTCTTTTAGCCTAACCCAAATTTTCCTCTCGGCATTCTCTCGTATTGCACACGTAAGAACCAGGATAATATCAGCATCATTTAAATTTTTCGTCAGTTTATAACCATTTTCTTTCAAAATTGATAATATTATTTCTCCGTCACTGACGTTCATCTGACATCCATAAACATCAAGAAATACTGTTCGAAAAATTATAAGAAAAACGTGGTAAATAAATATATATTAAAAAAATACACTTTACATTTTATTTATTTAATTAATTTAATTTTTATATTAAATTAAATTAATTTAATGTTTAAGTTAGTGTTTACTTATTATTTAATTAAATTGTTAGTATAGATTTTTTACCTTTTTTATTGTCCCCATGAATTCCTTTTAAATACGGAACCGATTCAGTCTTTAATATTGGTCTCTCTCTTTTAGGCATAAAATTTTCCAATTTAAATTTGTCATCAAAATGAATTTTTGGTTTTTGAATTTTTGAATCATTCGAAACAACAGTCTTCTCTAAAACTGACTCCGAATTAACAGACTCTTGTGTTTCGGTATAATGCAAATTTGTCTTGTGAAAATGTCGTAAAGGCGAATTTTGTATTTCCGATGATGTAAGTACAGAATTGGTCCATGTTGGTAATTTGTAAATAAATTTTCGCAAAATACCAATTCCCGAACGTGACGCAAATTCTATACTGTTCATTGTTCTTTTTTTTGCAAAATTCTTTAATATTCAAAAGCTGGAAATTAAAATACATGTTATTTCATGAAAAACCTGAATAGTAAATTTAAAGACTAAAAGATTTTTAAAAAAATTGGTAAACATTAGTATAAACGGTGTAAACTAAAAACTATATGAAAAGTACAAAAATAATTATATATTTATATGACAATGGTTAAAAACAAAATATTTGTTACAATTTATTAAAGAGAAAATACTTTATTAATTCACTTACCTAATTATTTTAATTTAGAACTTTGCAAAATCGAAGAAACATGTTAGCATGTAACACAAAGTATAATGAATTAATTTACATGATTTTTATAACAGTTTGCATCCACTTTACTCTACAAAATAGTGTAAATAGTTAATTACACTTTTATTTATAACAATAACAATTAAATATTAAAATATATTAATATAAAATCTTGACAAAATTGTTTTCAGAAACAGTCATTTATAGGTTAGGTTTAAACATAAACACCCGGGTTCGCAATACTGACAACTGCAGATTAGCCAACCGAAAATTTAAATCAAGATTTTAAACAATTTAACAATTAAAACATTTTAATTACAATACATTTTTGTTTAATATTTATAAAACTATTATTTTACGTCATTTAAATACAGAAACTAAAAAAATCGTTTTTTTAAAAGAATTATTATTAGAAATTAAAATTATGTCCAGTTTGGAATAGTTTTTCTTCGAGTTGGTAGAACTGTTTTCACAAGTTCGCATTGCGACGATCACTTCAGTTCACTTCAGTTGTCCACGTTGATTTATATCTCGCACGAAAAAATCTTTCTTATTTGTGAAGTCATTTATATTTTATTTGTAAAAAGGGGAAAAGAAATAAAAATGTCGAAGCAGAATTCAAGCGACTACAGAAAAGGTTCTATTCATATTATCTACTATAATATAATTTTACAAAACGAAAAAGGGCATATAACTTAACCTCTCACTGTAACATTCTTTTGCACTTTATATTTTCACTATTATTTTTATGATTATTGCCTTTCAATCAAATTTCGTAAAGTTTATTTATTTTATGACTCACGTTTTTTCATTTTTCTGAAATAAGTCGAATTTAGTAATAACTTGATGTTGATTTTTATTACATAAAAATCTTTACTATTGATTATAATAAATGCTTTTAATTCTTTAATTTTATCCATTTTATCAATTTTTTCAATCATTTTATCAATAATTATTTATTTATATGCATGACAGTGATTTTGATATGAATTTTACAAAAGAACATTCATCTTAAAGCAGAAAGACTACAATCTAAAACTTATTAACGGAACTATATTGACATGATATTTGACACGAATGTAATGTTTATTTATCTTATTTTTCTTGTAATTTCTTTCGATATTGAACAAAAAAAAATGTGAAGAAAATTAAATTTAAAATAAAGAAATAAAAGTTTCCGGTTAATAAGTCTGCTTTGTTTTAACTGTATCTGAACTTTGCCAGTGTTTGACGTTGTCAGGGTCAAGTGCCTACAAAGCAGAGGATGGGAGAAAAGACGAGAGAGTTCGGGATCGTTCTCCATTACGAATGGATGATCATCGACGGGAATCATCACACTACAGCCAAAATGATAGCAGGAAACAAAAGCTTGCCTTTGGATTTGGCAAAAAACCAACGTCAACAACCGATCAACGAAAAGGAATTCAAATCAAGTTCGGCGCACCTTCGGTAATTTTCATTTTTATTAACAAACAAAAAAAAGGATTCTTATTTAATTAAATTTTTTATTTCTATTAAAAAATTAAATTAATCTAAATACGATTTTTATTAAAATTACAATTTAAATAGACGAAAAATAAGCTGTAAATTGAATTTTTCAACAGAATCCAGTCGCAAAACCCTCGACAATACCAAAGCCAACAGTGGCGTCAGTTTTCAATGCCGACGACGACGACGATGAACCGGAGGAAATGCCAGCGGAAGCGAGAATGAGAATGCGAAATATTGGCCGTGAAACACCAACATCGGCGGGACCAAATTCCTTTGGTAAAACGAAGCAAGGTTTTTGCGATTCCAAGAAAATATTCGAGAAATCATTAAAGAAAGCAATGGAGGAGGCTAATAAATGATTAATCACAAATTCGCTTAATTTTACGAAAAAAAAAGAAATTGCAATTTTTTTTCTGTATTAATTTAATTTTTATCTAGTTGTGTTTAATTTTTTCATAAAAGAATCTTTTATTCTTTTGCGTGACAATTTTCTTTTTGTCCTTTGTAGATTAGAAATATTACCATTGAATTCAATATTAAAGAGAAAAAAAATGTGATATTGAAATAATTTCTTTTTTTGGACAATGCGTCTCCATTAAAACTTACATCTTGGTACAAATGTAAGATATATTGTAGCAAATTAGTTAAAAGCCGAATAGCAAAAAAAAAAATTGAAAAAATAAAAAGTATTTTTTAATTTAAAAAAAAAATGTTGCGGACCATAGATTTTTAATTATCAATTCAGGGCTCGAACCAGGGGAAGTATTTAAAAATACGGACTTTACGGAATAAAAATGAAAAATTACGGACCAATTATTGATAAAAATAGATTTTTTAACTAAATTTCTACTTTAGATCAATTATGTTTAATAATTTTCCAAAAAGTTCTTTGGCAATTTTCAAATCCATTTTTATACAATATTCAATTTCATAAAATTTCAATTATTCTTAAATTCTTTAAAATAAATTCACGTTATATTGCTCTTAATATTCAATTATAATCTAAAATTTTAACTACAATTCGGTTTTAAATCAATTTTTATTAGAAAATTCCACGAGAATTCCATAATTTAAATACAAAAGTAAATAATTTATTAATTTAATGTTTCTTAAAATTAAATTCTTTTAAAGAATTTTATGAATAAATTTATAAATAATTAAATTCTTTGGACGAATTTTAATAAATTTTTTAAGTATAATTACATTTTTCGAGGAATTCGATTAAAACTGCATTAAAAATAATCGAAATTTTGCATAAGAGGTTTATTATTTATGAAAATAATTGAATTCCTAAAAGAATTTTATTATTTACGAAAATAATTGAATCCCTGTAAAAATTTTATTATTTATGAAAATAATTGAATTATTGCGAAGAAATTTTTTTAAAAATTTGTAAATAATTGAATTTTAAAAAACAATTTTATTGCAATGATTGGAAATTATTGAAAATAAGTAAATTCCTACAAAGAATTATATTATTTATAAAAATAATTGAATTTTTTTATTTATAAAAAGAATTGAATCTTTTGCCAAGAATTTTATTATTTATAAAAATAATTTAATTTTTTGCCAAGAATTTTATTATTTATAATAATTGAATGATTGCGAAGAAATTTATAAAAAAACATTTGTAAATAATTGAATTCTTGTAAAAATTTTTATTATTTATGAAAATAATTGAATGTTTGCGTAGAATTTTATTCAAATTTTTGTTAAATAATGGAATTCTTTTGGAAAATTTTATTAAAATAGTAGATATTGAAAAATCATTGAAGTTAAGAAAACTTTTGGAAATAATTGAAATTTTGCCGAGAATTTGATAAAATTTTGGAAAATAATTGAATTTTTCTGCAATCATTATTTGTAATTTCTCCAAAAATTCTTCAAAATTATATCAAATAATTTACGAACTTTTCGTCTTTTTTCTATCGAATTACGGACCATTTTTTTTTCTTTTAAACTGACTTTTACGGACTTGAATCTTGAAGCAAATTTACGGACCTAGTTCGAGCCCTTTATAATGAAAAGAAAATTTTTGCAGTGAGACTCGATTCTATTGTGTTTATAAAATTATTGAATTAACATTTGAAGAAAGTTTAATAATGTAAAAATGACTCATTTAAGTTATATTAATTTCTAGCTAGTTTGTAAGTCAATAAAGTGTACAAGGAATTTTTAAAAATTTGCGAATTAATAAAAAAGAACTCAAATTCAGTAAAAATACAAGTGTAAAATTTTTTTTATTGTAATTTTTTTATACAATACAATATTAATTTACTTGCGATTCTGCTGTCCTTGACGCATATCCTGCAATAAAAGAGAAATTTATTATTTTTTCTTCCAATTTGAAACTTATTTTTTTTTAAATTAAATATTTTCACGTAAAGATTGTTTTAATTCAAGTTAAAAAAATTTAATTTAAAGCCGAAAACTTTAAATACAATTAAAAATTTAAATATCTTCAAATCAATGGAGTAAGAAAATTATCGAAAGTAAACTAAGGAAAAATGCAATTTTAAAAAACGGTTCTTTGTAATAATTTTTTTTAAGAAAGAGAGAAAATAATTCTTTGTAATAAATTATAACTACTTTTAATTTTTTTTAAATAAAGAGGAAAAAATTATAATTACCCTGGGGAAATTGCGAACGGGTGGTGTTCGAATACGACGATCAGCCTTCGACCTGTTGCGAACGACTTTGGAGTGAATAGCGCAGGAAACGCAGTAGTGCAACTTCGCGTACAATTTCGGAAGCTGATAGGATTGATACACGCTGGCTTCTGTGATATCTCTCACGGCAGCGGCTTCGACAATGTTCCTGATGACGAACTTTTTGATTGCCTTGTCTTTCGGCACACATCGGGCACAATTTGTGCACCTAACTGGATTGACATGGCCACGGCCATGCTTGGCACGTCCTCCGTTTCGACGTTTGCACGTCTAAAAAAAATTAAAAATCAAAATCACAATATTTCACCAAAAAACATCTTAAATAATATTCCAAAAAATTTGCTGCCCTAAAAATCTATTTAAGAAAAAAAAAGTTATTTTCTTGTTTACGAACTTCAAACAAAATTTTTTGCAAGTTTATAAAAAGTGAGGTTATGTTTTCAAGTCAACACTCAGGTCGAAAATTTACACACAATTTCATAGTTATCGGATTTGTAAACATTGTAAACTAATTTACATGTAAGAATAAAGTTAAAAAGAATGAAAAACGGATAAAAATTGGGAAATATTGATAAAAAAGAAAGAATCACAAACTAGTGGAAGGCACATGGTATGTGTCAATAATATTCTATGTTGAAAGTAATCTTTTAAAGGATATTAATAAAAAAAAATATTTGCAAAACTTCTCTCCGACTTATTAAATCACTAATAAACACTATTTACCATATTAGATGAATTAATTATTAACAAATAACAAAATTAATAAAGTAATATTAGAAACGTTACCATCTTCTCGCACCCAAGCAGAGAAAAGAAACCGGAACTTCCGTTTACATCGACTTCAGTTCTGTCATGCGCAGGGCATTCCAAAATGGCTGCCCTCAAGTCTACCACAATTGTAAAAATTCACCACTTCCGGTATTCAAATTATTATTTACTAAATAATAAATTTAATAATATTAATAGAGGTAATGAAATAATAAAGGTCTGTAAAATTAATTAAAGAATTCGGTTAGAATCCATAATATTACGTTTTCTTTTCAACTTTATTTGTTTTTTAAATAATACAACAGTTTTAATAATTTTTTCTCTATGATTTTGGACTACCAATCAAAATTGTCCAATTTGTTTATTTACTTTGTCCAATATACACAAAAGAAAAATAATTTCCCGCTTTTTTGCGTTTATTCTATGGTTGTATTTATACCGGAAAAAACAGTTTTTGTTATTGTTTGAAAAGTTTTGAAAGAAAGAAAATATAAAAAAAAAGTTGTTTAAAAGTGTTTTATGTGTTTACAAGTAGGTACACTATTAATTTAAGAAGGCAAGAGTGTATATTAAGTGTTGTGCTTGTGAATCAGAAAGAAAAAATTCTATTTATGTTTATTGCATTTAAACTCCGATTTTAAAAGGCAAAAGAATTTCATATTTTTTCGACAAAAAAAAGTTTACAAAGGAAACAAGGAGCTCAAGTTCGTTAATACTCTTCAAAAAGCGAATGATTGAGATTTTTTTTCCATAAAAGAAACATTGTCAACTGTTCTGGTAAATATTCAACGTTCTCTTTGTTTACCTAACCTAAAAATTTGCATTCCTGTTTGTTTTCAAACGATTATTTATTAATTATTGTTGAGTTTGTAAATATTATCGGTTCAATTTAAATATTGCATATAATTCAATTTAAAATTACATTTAATTATTATTACAAAAGCTCCCTAAGTAGAAAGATGAATCAAAATGTTAAAAATAAGAAAATTTATATATAATTACAATTAATGGAAGTAGAAGCATATATTTTTCGTGTAAAAAAATCATTTATTGGGAATCAGTATTTTTTGTGATAAATTTTAGATTATTTACATTATGATACGATTTGCTTAATAATTAACTATAATAGTAATAATAATATTAATAATAATCAATTATATTATTTAAAATCTAAAAATGAGGGGCTTAATGAATTTTTACGCAGTCCATTTTAAACATCTTGTGTCAAGATGCGTTCCAAGGCATCTTGTACAGCAATATCTTGCTCCACATGGAATGCAAGTATAATTACTTGGAAATCCACAAACAGCACAAAAATGTCTTTCGGGAAATTTTGACGCTGGTGCACGAGCAGTAGAGTAATTCGGTGCAGTTGGATTATAATTTAAATCCTCCTCAACTAATTGAGCAAAAGTTTTTCGAAATCTTTGTTTATAATAATCAGCCGATCGTGTTTTTTTCTTTCGACTCGAATTTCTACTCTCCAGTGTCTCTTGAAATTTAGGCGCTTTTTTACTCATCACTACAAAATGAGAAAAGAATTTAGTATTTACGAAAATTGTTCAATCATTTAATTTTCAATTTAGTTTTTGAATTTTGTTTTTTACCTAAATCAGCGTGAGGATCTTCGTGAAAATTATCCTGTTCCAATGCCTCGAGTGCTTTTTTCTGTCTTCGTTTACGAGACGCATCGTCAAGAATTCTTTTCTGATAAGAATCTTTAATTCTCCCAGATTCGCGAGCCGCCATTTTTTTCTTTTCTATTAAATGTTTTTCGAAATGCAAAAATAGAAATTTTATTTATCTCCTGAAGGCACAGAAATATCGCCGCCTAAATCCTCGACTTTTTTTCTCAATAAATCCAAAATATCGGCGGAAATAAATAAATGTCGTTCGTCTAAATCTTGAATGATAAATTTTCGTCCTAGCACATTTTTCTCGTCTAAATCCAGTAACAATTGTTTCATAGCTTCATCACTGTAACAAAACAAAAAAGAAATACAGAATTAATAATCAAGAAAATAGAATATTAAAATTTTATATTAAATTAAATATTAAAATTCTGAATAATTTATGTTTTGTTTTTAGTTCTACTTGTCTGAAAAATGTCAAAACGAAAAGGAGTGACTTTAGATGAGAAGAAATCGAGACTTCTGCAAATATTTTACGAGAAAAGAGAATTTTTTACTCTCAAAGAATTGGAGAAAATTGCACCAAAAGAAAAGGGAATTGTCGTTCAATCTGTTAAGGATGTATTGCAAAATTTAGTCGATGATGGTCTTGTTCACAGTGACAAAATTGGAACATCCATTTATTTCTGGGCATTTCCTGGGTAAGAATATCTTCCTATTTTTTTTATTTTTTACAATTACAATTCGTAATTTTTAATTTCAATTTTTAATTTCTAGAGAAAAAATAACTTCACTGGAAAATCGGATAGCAGAGGCAAAGAGAAGGATTGTCGAAGCTGAATTTAGAATAAGAAAATTGCAGGAAGAAATTGAAAAGGAAAAGGCAAGATACATTTTTTTAATCTTATTTTCATTGCATAAAGAGAAAATTTTAATATTAATAGTTTAATAAAAATTCAGGCTGGTAAAGAGGACAGCGAAGAGAAGCAAATTTTACTAACCGCAATTGAGGACCTAAAGAAAAAGGAAGATGATCTTCACGGTCATATTGCAAAATTCAATGACGTAAATCCCGAGGAAATTGCAAAATCAGCACGACAATCAGAGGTAAGAGAATAAAATTATTGTTTATTTCAAATCAAATGAAACTCAATCTGTCACTGACTTCATGCTTTAATTTACAAAAAAGTTAAAGGAACTTTTTTAAAAAAAACGTAGAAATCAGAATTTCTTCCGTTTTTTCTTTTTCTACAAAAATAGTACTATTTAAAAACGACACAATTTTCTCAATATTTTTCCCACGCTTATAGAAAACCATAGAATCAAAATCAAATCATTTAATCAAAATTATCATTAATCGAACATGAAAATATATTTTTCTAGCTGTACAAAGACGCAGCAAACACTTGGACAGATAATATTTACGCAATTCAAAGTTGGTGCAGAAATAAATTCAATATTGAGACCGAAGATCTCAATAAACAATTTAATATCCCCGAGGATTTAGAATACGTAGAGTAAAAATTAAAAAAAGAAACAAATTTTACGAAATTTAATTTCGTTTATTATTAATTCTTTTTTGTATAAAAATATCTTTATTATTGTTCATTATAGTTCGTAGCGCATTTGATAAAGAAATCTACTAATTTTTAATAAATTTTATTTTTTTTACGTATGAAAATATCATTATAGTTCGTAACAGTTCGTAACATTATAAAAAATCTAATTTTTAGTAAAGTTTATTTTTCCAAACAATCTGAATTTAGTAATTAACTTGAATACTTACCATTCGACTAATATTCCTTTCGTAACATTAACCATATCGTTTATTCATTGAATATCACCGTTTGTTTTGTACATGGAAAAAAATTTGCTAAAGTCCAAGTAAAATTACTTATTTTTTATAAATAAATAGTTTTGTTGCCGCGATCCAGGTAAAAATTACACCATAGAAAAACAATATTGAAGAAATGAAAACGATTTCCCGGAAGTTGGCCATCTAGTGATGAGAATTCTAGGTAATAAATTCAGTAAATTTTTATTTGATTCGTAATTTTGGTAGGCCTGACAATTTGGTTGCATTGGTAATTTTACAATTTTTGAAAAGAAAAGGATCCAGATTAATTTTTTGAATAAGAAAAAAATATTATTCTTTTGTTAATTTATCAAATTACGGGACGTGGTGGGGCGGAAAAATGTTAAGGGAGTAAAGAATTTAAATTTAATCTCGTCGCGAGTGAATTGTCAAGAAATTCCCTAGAGGAGATTTTTGAAGATTGCGTCAGCCAAAAGTCCTTGACATCGAGTTGATCAACGCCAAAGTTGCACGGGATTCTCCTCGGCATCGATCCGCTTATTCACCGTTGGACATTAGTCAGTCCACGTTCATTTAGAAACGAATTTCTACGAATTTTCACAAGTAAGTTTGAATTAAAAATCCTTTTTTCATTTCTCTTATAGAAAAAAAATCATTCATTTCATTCTAATGTCAATTTAGTTGTTTTTTTATCTCACAAAAATGAATTTTTGGTGAAAATGTCAAAAAAAATGGTTCTATAAAACTTTATCCCTTTGTCATGGAATAAAACGTGGTAACACGTGTTCCTTTCTTTGCCCATTCTCTTTTTGCAGTTTGCTCACATTTTTTTCATTTTCTTTTTTTATGAAATTAGAGAAGAATTTGTCTTTCTTATTATATAATGTCCTTCGGCCTTGAGCCAATGCCCTAGTGACTGAATTATGTTGTAAGAGATGTGTTAATGAAATTTTTTCAACCTTCCGATTATAACGTTAAGGTCACGATGTTATTTCCTAGACAAACGAGATCAGAGGTTAGATTGGACACTGTGGCATTTCGCCAGGAGTTCTTGGATCTCGTGATCCTCGTGATCGAGAGCTTTTTGTTTTTAGAGTTAAAAATAATCTGTTTTTGTAGTTGACGATTTTTTTACATATATATATATGCAGTTGAAAAGAGTTGAGGAAAAATATTCGAAAATTCTTCTTACGTAGGATTGGTTATAAATTGCGTAACGTCTAACTCTGTCCTCTAGTTATCAATTAGCAATTTTTTCGATTATTAATTAATATTAATATTAATTGTACTTGTACACTTATTGTTCTTTATTATATTTTCATTATTAATTTATTTACATTATATATTAATTATTTATTTATTAATATTAATATTTTACTATTAGTGATCAGGTCTCGATATTAAATTCAAAAATAGGATTTTTTTCTACTCCGAAACTCGTGATTCATATTCTTTTTCCTTGTCTTTCGTATTTCTCTATTTTATTTCATTTCGTATTGTCTTGAAATAATTTTTATTATCAGTTATTTTAATTTTTAAATGCATTCCTTTCACCTACATTTTTCTACTGATAAGATTTTAAATATCCATTCGGGGAAAAAACGTAAAGCGATCTTTTAAATTAATATCAGCATTTTTTGATTGTAGATCTAACTTATCAGAATGGGAGTCCCTGCAGGAGATGCCGAGAAAGGAAAAAAGGTAACAAATAATAAATTTACGAAGAATATTTATTTTATTTATTTAATTAATTTATTTATTTTAATATTAAAATATTTATCAGAAAATTCTTTTTTGGAATAATTGAATTTTTACTTTAGGGAATAATTTATTCTTGTGAATGTTATTTAGTTCTGTTTTTTCTTCAGTGCATAGAAAGTAATTTTAGATATTTTCATAATTTAATTTTATTTTCGTTTTTAGGTTTTCGTACAAAAATGCTCCCAATGTCATACCATCGAGGCTGGTGGCAAACACAAAGTAGGCCCAAATTTACACGGAATGGTTGGTAGAAAAACCGGACAAGCGCCTGGATTTTCCTACACGGAGGCCAACAAAGCAAAAGGTTTTTAATTTTCTATATTTTTGAATTTTTTTTTCGAATTAAATCAAATAACTTCTTTGGAGAAAATTCGAAATATTAATTATATTAATTTTTTCCAAGCAATTATTTTTACGCTTAATTATGCAATTTCCTATTGTGTAATAATTTTTTATTGTGTAAATAATAATAATAATTTCCTATTCAAAGAAAATGATAATTAGTAATTAAACATTTATCTAGAGGAAAATTGAAATAATTTCCCATTTTTTTTTTGTAATCGAAAAAAAGTTTCACAAATTTAATGATTTAACGATTTTCTCAGGCATCACTTGGAATAAGGACACGCTGTTCGAGTATCTCGAGAATCCAAAGAAATATATTCCCGGAACAAAAATGGTGTTCGCCGGAATTAAGAAACCACAAGAGAGGGCAGATCTCATCGCCTATTTAGAATCAGCCTCTAAGTAAATTTTCAATAATTTGACATTAAAAAAAAGAATAATTAATCTCAAGAAACGGTGCTGTTTTTTTGGTGAAAACGAGGAAACGAAAAATTAGGAAAATTATCATCTCAACGTTTATTCGGACCTCGGATTCACTCTCTCACAATTAAAAAAAAAACATCCAACTCAAAATATGCATTGTTTCAAGAAGGAGCATCTAGTAACGAATTGTTATTGTTAATAAGTAGGTAAACAAAAAAACACACAAATCATTGTAACTATGTAAATTTTTCTCTTTCAAATAATGAGCATGGACAAGAACCGGCTCTAGAATTTTACCAATATCGATGATCAATTCTGTTTTTGGAATTTTCTTTTGTTTTGGTTGAGCCTTGACAAAAAAGTGTATCATCGATTTTTATTTATTGTCATTACAATTTTTTTTCATTTTTTTTTCTTGTGATTTAAATAATGCCTCGTTTATTCGTCGACAGTATTTATTGGAAATACAAAAAAGAAATTAATTAAAACAAATGAATTGTTTTTTCTTTCATGCTCGGAAAAAAATGCACAAAATGGATTATTTTAACAAAACTTTATTGCTATTTTAAAGAGTAAAAGGAACAATATAATTATACATAAATTATTATAATTATAATAAATTATATCTATAATTATTATAATTATAATGATAATAATTATAATTATAAACAATTATATTATAATATTTTTTTATAATTATATTGTTTTTAGTTAATTAAATTATTAACGAGAATTCTAACCATATCTTCAAAAAATAGTTTTTTGCATTTTCTTCCAAATCCCAATTACCTTCGAAAAATTCTTTTCTTTTGCGTTTCCTTTTTTCTTTATTTTAATTAATTTCGTTTTCTGAAATAATATTAATTTTATTCATTACTGAATATTTTTAGTAATATTTCAATATTTTGTTTTTATTTTAATATTTTTAGTGTTATTTGAAACTTTTTTTTGAAAATTAAAAAATGTTTTCCTTCTAGATTTTAGTTTTTCTTTTCATATTCTTAAACCTGAAAAGTTTTTGGTGTTTTTTCCTATTTACACTTAGAAATTTTTCTCGCATTTTAATCGGATTTCAAATAATTTTTTGAGTTTTTCGTTTGTATGTTGGTGATATTGAGCAAATGAATTGCAATTGAAATACGACACTGTGTGTGGCAAATGTCGACATTCAATGAGACATATATATTTAAACATCAGTAAAAAGAAGTTGGGTCGATGCAGAGTTTGCGCTTCAATAGAATCAGGGACGGTTTGCGAAATATTTGCAAAAAATTTTCCTTTTTTGAAAATTTTGGTAATAAAATAAAAAATAACCGAAGGGAATGAAATTATATTAAATTAACTATATTTTTTTCTTAAACAGTTCTTTTTAATTTCCATTTGCAAATATTCAAGGAAGAAAATAGTACAAAAAAAATAGTTTTCTCTTAAATTTCTAATTTTTTTGAAAAAGAAGGCAAATCGTTCAAAAATTTGTGATTTTAATTTAGAAAATAGTTTCTAATTTCTGTTGAAGTTTTAATGGTCTAGTTTCATAAGGAGAATAAAATCGTGTTTTTTGTTTTCAGATTTTCAAATTGTTTTCAAGGATTTTTTTGACTTTTTTTATCGGCTTTGTCCTGCGCACAAAGTTTTGAGAATTTGGGGCAACGCATTGACCTAGAAAATGATGTTTGCTTCTTTTTCTCCCTTCCGCTCATAAAAGGATTCACTATTTTGTCTTTTTAACGTTTCAGGATTTTCCAACTATTTTTCTTTTTCATTTATATACGATAAATTACTTTTCTCTTCTCGAAAAAGACGAAAATTTGTTAAAATTTCATTTTTCAGCAAATGAGTAATTAAAATTTGTTTTCTATTCAAGAAAAAATTGAAGCAATTAGGAATTTTTTTTAGTATTTTCAAAATTGCATGTCTTTGGATCTACGTTTAGGTAATTACTTTATCCTATTAATTTAATTTTATGAATTTTTTTTTTTAGGAAATTCACGATTTAAAAAAAGTGGAAGAGTCTTCAGAAAGAAAATTTTGATGCGAATAATTGTTTACTTACAGGAATGGGAAGAAATTTTTTGGATATTCTAATACTATGGGAATAAAGAAGGTAAAATAATTTACAAAATTTTTGGAAATTAATTATTTAATTAAATTAATTAAAAATTATCAAATTGAATTAATTCTTTTCAGATTATTTTAGTATTCAATTTAAAATTTAATTTAAATTTAATTTGAATTTAGTTTAAAGTTAAAAAAATATTTTGTTGTAACTTCGTCGCTTTTGAGTAAATTTAAAAGAAAAATATTGCTAGTCATTCCTATTGGAAAATCGTCATTGCGATCGATTTTGCTTTTTTCACGCCTCTCTTTTTTTTATTATTTTTATTTTACATAATTTTCTTTCTCCTATTTATTTTTGTCCTGTTATTAAAATTATCTGTCTTTTACTATATTATTCTCCATTCTTGTCACACTCATTCTGACCCACAGAGAGAACAAATTTCACCTATATCTTGGAGTTTCCGAGGAGTACAACGCGCGGCGCCTTGAACTAGTACCGAACAGTCCGTGACTAACATTTAGAGCTCGAGCTGCTTCTCAAGGGAGAACAACAATTTTCACTGCACCAAAAATCTAACTAGGTAATTTTATCGAATTTTTCAATAATAAATTAAATACTATTTTATTAAATTTCTTCCATTCATTTTTTTTTTTCTAAAATCATTCAAATTCGTAATTATTTTAGAATTTAGATTCTTTTCCATACGATTTTTTTTCTGTTTTGAAAATCAAATTTTGATTATATATTTTATACGTTACAAAAATTAAGATTGAAAGTAGATTTTTATTTATTCAGTGCTTATTTGTTTTTTAACCAAAAGTAGTTTTTCTTTTTGTAATTTATATTTTTATTGAAACTTTAAGAATTTTTATTTAAAACTTATGAAGAAAATTCAAAAAGAAAATTTGTAGTTTGATTAATTCAATTAGTCTTAAATATAATAATTGAATTGAAACAAGACATTGAATTAATCAAATGGCAAAATTTCTTTTTTAAAATTTTCATTAGTCGTAAATAAAAATTCATCGTCAGCCATAAAAAAAAATATTGAATTAATTAATTACAGTCTTTGTGATATTAAATTTCAAATACAAATTTTTCTCAAGTAGTTTACATTCAATTTCCCTGCTCGTGTAAAATATTTGCAAAAAATCATTTCCACGATTTATTTTACTGTTTTATTAGAATTTTGTTTTTTAATTTAGAAACTATTAAAAAAATTTTCTACCTTTTCTGAAAATTCCATTTTTTAAAAACTGAAGTTTTAAATTTATTTATTTAATTTTTTAAATTGCTGCTATTTTAGTTTTATTTTACTATTTTTTTTATTATTTTATTATTATCATTTCACTTATTTATTTATATCACAAATAAACGGGTCAAGTTTTATTTATTTTACATATAAACGAACTTACAAAATAGGAAAATATTTTTTCATACAATACTTATTTTCAATAAAATTGTTAAAAAAAAGTAAATTTGGGAATTTAGTTAATTTTTCAAGTTTTTGTTATTATTTTATTACTTTGCCATTAGTTATTATTTTTTTCTACCTTTTTTAAATTAAAAAATTTTTTTTCTCAATATTTCTACATTTCTTTTAAATATTCTTTTTTATTTTTTTTAAATTCTTTTATATTTTATTATTTCTGCATCTGTTTTTATTATTTGTTACCTTTTGTATTTTACTATTTTTATTTTGTTACATATTTTATATTTTATTATTTTTACATTTTTCATTTTGTATTTTATTATTATTTTCTACATTTGTTCTCTACTTATTTTCACATTTATTTACACGTAGAAATTGTTTGTTTGCAAAAAAAAGTTTTCTGTATTTAAAACATTTTTCTATTTTTCTTCTTATTTCATTAAATGGACAAGTCTAACAAGAATCAAAAAGCCTTTTATGTGCTCTGCGCACATCAATACGCTTTTCTTCTTAACCCTTCACTTGACGTTTTTCTTTAAAAGAACCCTTAACTTTATAAAAATACAGAGGGGAAAAACACTCTAGGAAAATATTTTCTTACAAAATAATTATTGTAAAATTATTTTTCAAATTTTTTTTTAAACTATTTGAAAATTATCCGAAATTATTTGAAAATTATATGAAAATTATTTGAAAATTATTTGAAAATTATTGGAAATTATCTGAAAATTATTTGAAAATTATTGGAAACTATCTGAAAATTATTTAAAAATTACTGTAAAAATTTAGGTATAAAATTCCAGTTCTAAACTATGAAAGAAAAAGTATTTTTCTACCTATTAAATACGTCTGATAAATTGAATTTCAATTTTCTTTAATTAGACCCATTAAATACTTTTTTCAAACGAAATCGAATAATTTTTATCGCCTCATTTTTATAATGGAAAATGTATTTCTCCATCAGAGAGAAATTGATTATGGATTTTCAATAACGTGGAACTTGAAAGTGTTAATCAAATTATTCTTTCAATTATCTTTTATCTCTATTTGGAAATTTTTCCCTATCAAAGAATTTCTCCTGTTAGTTTTTCACATTCAATTCAATTGATCAAAAACAATAATATAATTCAAATACATTAACAAACGTTTTAAGTACAAAATATTTATTTCTCTTTTTACAGAAAATTAATTCGAATTTCTCATTTCGGATCACAAAAAGAAAATGGAGAAATAATTTGAAATTTTTTTACGGGAAGAAAGTAGAGAAGAAAAATGAAAACTTTTTTTGTGAAAAAAATTATTGAAAAGGAATGGAAGGAAAATTTTGAAAAAACGATTTTTTTCGATAGGATGGAGAATAAAATAGAAGTAAATTTAATTTGATTTACTGTAAATGTTTTCTGAGATAATGGCAGACGTGCAATTGCGAATAATAAGATTTAGGGCACTCACTGACACTTGAGACGGATCTGACGACATTATATAGGGCAGAGATATATAGATTCGTATTCAATATCAAACATAATCGGGACAAAATGTAGGTCTAGGGGAGCCAGCTGACAGAAATTATATAAGCGCTTGCGCTTCTTTTTTAAGGGCAAATTTTTCAAACGCCCCACAAAATCACGGTCAATCTTTTTTAATATTTCGAAATTTTTATTCTCCCTTCACTCGTTTAATTTATTAACAATTTTCAAAATTTCAATATTCGAAAATTCGATCATTAGTCTCAAGGTTTTAACCACATTTCGAATAAAATTTGCAAAAAGTATTTATGAAATTATTTCTAATCAGTTGCATTTTAATTTCTAATCAATTAAAAAAATCGACTCCAATATTTACCAGAAAATTAAAATTAGATATTAATTATTAAATATTATAAAAGAAAATTTTCAAATAACGTACGCAAAAAAATTGTTTGCAAAAATTATTTGTTCATTATTATTTATTTTTATAAGCAGTTACAATGTAATAAAAAAAGGAAATTATAATTAAAACTCAATTATTATGACAAAAGAAAATATTTTTTGTAAAGAGTTAAATTTAGAATTTTATTTTTATACTTTATAGATTGGATTTAGAGAGAATTGTGAATGAATTATAAAAAGTTGACTCGATAGATAACTAAATGTAGTGTTCATTTGACCGTGACCGAGAGGACAAGTTGGATAGACTTAGTTCTCGAAACTATGCAATAAAATTTAGAAAAAAAACGCAAAAAGAAAATTAATTAGATAATGAAAGACAATAGAAGATGCGATAATTTTTCTCTTTCATTAAATAAATAACATTCCGGGAAAATGTGGGGAAAAAAACAGGAATATTTGCTAATTGAACGCAAAAAATTAATTTTACAATTGAATCGGAAAAAATATTAACTGAATTATTAATTTCATTAGTCTTTATTCTTTAATTACTTTTAATTAACTTTCTTTTAATTAATTACGATGCTTTTCGCCTCTTTTCGTTATTAAACGATTTTTATAATTAGAGACATTTCTTTTAACTCATCTAGTTAAATTAAAAATATATTTTGGGTCTTTTTTATTTCTTTTTTTTATAACTAAATAAAAATACTAATTTTTTCGCAGAGAATGAAGTATTCGCCACAACAACGACAACAGCAGCAACAGGAACAGGAAAATTGCGATAAAACACGAAAATCCGTGAGCGAAATGAATTCAACGAATGTGACACCATCACGACGTGATTTGACAGTGCACGATTCAACGATGGATAATAATAATAAAAAATTACCGACTACTCGACGATTTAATTGTCGTCCGGGAATGTTCGCTTGGATGAGGGTATTTCGATTTGCAACAATTCTTCAGCAAGTTGAATGCTAGTCAACAAGAGAGAAGTAAAAAAAAGGAAACATGACATTTAACAATTAATGTCAGTTAGCTGCATTTATAATATGTATAAAAAGAAAATGAAAAATTTGCAAATTTACAAGCGCGGGCGCCTGTATAAATGCACACTGCCATATACACGTGCACACGTGCGCCTACGCATTTCCATTATAGAGCGTTCTCGCAGCTGTGCATTCGATTTGCAGATCGTTAGGGTGTTTGCGCTGGCCACAAATCTCTCCTTTCTTTTTAAATAAATAGGAGCATTGCATTTTTTTTAATTTTCTTCTCTTTTTTTATTTTTTTATTAATAAAAAACGTGTTTTTTTTAAAATTATTTTTTATTATTTTCCTTGAAAGAATTGTATTTTTAATTAGTTTTCTAATTTTTTTCAATCAGAAACATTAAATTTTCGTTGAAGTATTTGAATAATTGAATGTTTCGTTGAGTAATAAACAATAGACTGGGAAATTGAAAGCCCTTTGTTTGAAAGAAAAAATAACGCCGTTGTTGGTAGAAATCAAAGTTTAGATGACAATCGACAATTGTTTGTTAGTATAAATTATTAATCACGTTTATTGAAAATTGTACAATTATTTTCTTTTGAAAAATGTTGAAGATTACATAGACTCAAAACTGTTGGCACTCTGGTTCGATAGGATATTGAGAATATTTATATTTTTCTGTTGAAATTAAATAAGCTGCGCTTATATTAATTATTAATATATTCCTAACGAGAAAATATTTCACGAAAAGTTATATTTTAATTTTTTTTATGAATTTATCTAAATATTTAATTTAATTTTTCTTTTTTGATTAATTTAAATAACTAAATTCATTTAATTTAAATTAAGTAAATAAATTCAAAATTAAAAGAATTTTAATATTTCTTTTTTCAAGATTCTAGATTTCTTGAATTATTAATAAAATTTCATCTTTTGATTTGAAAATAAAATCAGAAATGTATTTTCGTCAGGAATATAATAAATTTGTAGATATTAGAAAAAAATATTTTTATTAGGTTTCTTTTTTGTAAATACCTTAAATAGATTTTTAAAAAAAGCGAGCTTATTTAATTTTCGATTATAAATATTTCTCTAACCCAACAGTAAAATTAACAGCAAAGTGTTCCAAGGGGAGAAATGTTAATTTATAGAGAATCATCTGAAAATACGTGTACAGAAAAGAAAAGTTTAAAAAAACATTTGGTGATTTTCTTTAAATAATTTTTATTATAAAAAATTTTTGTTTAATTATACGATTAATTAATTGATTTAATTTCGAAGAGATCGAACTGATAAATACATTTTAATTAATTATAATTACATTTTTTGTAATTAATTATAACTAAATTTTTTCTAATTTAGTTTATAATTGAATTTATTTTAATTCATTATAATTAAAATTAACAACTTTAAATTTATTTGTTTATATTTTTTTAATTTTTAGAATATTTATCATCACCAAATGTTTTTATTTTGTCATAACAATATTTTGTGATTACGAGCATAAATTAAAAAAAAATAATAAAGTGTTTGACTTCTCAAACTAAATTTTGTTTTTTATTAGAAAATCCCACTCCCAAAATTTAATTTAAATAATTTTAAAAATCTGTAAAAGTAATAAAACAAATAATTGAAATTATAGTAAATCATTTTCCTTTAAAAATTTAAATAAGTTAATATTTAAATTTGAAGGTTTTTTATTAATTAGTTATTATTTTTTGAGAAATTTTTTTTTTTAACTTTTCGAGTTCATTGACAATAAGAAATGATAATTTTACATTTAGGAAGACTTAAAAAAAAATATTTTCTATTTTTAACTATTACAACATTTGACACATTTCTCAATTCCCACCTACTTTTAAACAAATATTTAAACTCTCGACGCCAATTGGTTCAAATTGGATCACGTGACTCTCGAACAATAAACTTCAACTTTTCTCTTTAAAATTCAATTCTTCGAACGGATTAATAAAGATAAATGATACTGCTAGAATTAAACATAGATATTAGAATATTAAACATAAAATTTATGCTAATTAGTGAAAATTGCAAAAAAATGAAACCGCATGTTAGTTCCCAGAGTTACCAACTTTATGAAACAAATGACATAAATAAAAACAATGGACATTGTAAACGTTGTAAACAATTGTAAATAATTATCAAAATTATATTTATGGAAATTACGCGTTCTAAATTTAATTGTATTTTTTTAAAATATGTTATTATTATTATTTTTGTTAAGCAATGTTTATTAGTTACATTTATCGGAACCAACTGCATTATATTGGTACACCTGGGAGTTTAAAACCAAAACGGAGCGAAGTTCGGCGAATTTTTTTGCATGATCGCAGTGAGTATTTTTTCATCATAAAATTGTTGATTTATCTTGTTTATCATAAATTTCACACATTGGTGATTACTTACAAGGTTTTATTTCATTTAATCAAAATTGTTGTCTTGAAAATATATGAAAATTGATCGTAAAGGATGAAAATGTTTTTTTGAGGTTAGGATTACCTTTGTAAAATTATGTCACTCGTGTTTTCAGTTCATGTTCTATAATTAAATTCACGTTATATCTATTTGTATATATGAATAAATCCCTCTCTTTCTCTCTGTCTTCAACACTAAACTTTGACAATTTAATTATTCTGTTACAGTTCTAAAATAAAGGAACAAAAAAAATGAAGTTAACACCACAACAACTTTTGATGCCTTTGTTGGTTGGATTTTCTCTAACAGGTGTCAGCTGTATTTTATTGTACTTTTTCACACGAAAAGTAAGTTAATAAATTATTATTTTTGTTTTCTTAAAAAAGAATTGAATAAAAATGAATGAAAATGAATGAATTGAATTTTTCGCTTGCTTTTGTTTTGATTTGAAATCAACAACAATGAGAGTGAATTTGTTTACGAAATAATGGGATTCTTATCTTTCAGGATGAAGACGAAATTAATGATAGGAGAAAGACAAGGATTGCAACATCGCGACAAAGTGAAATTCAAATAAAAATTCCTCGATCGTCAATTCCGGCAATTATTGGACGTGGTGGATCGGTGATTAAAGAAATTCAAGCTACTACGGAAACTCAGGTGAAATTCGGCGAGGAAACGGATGTCGATGCACCAGATCGAATTTGTATTATACAAGGAAAACCAGAAAGTATTCGTTTAGCTGAGGTTATGATTTTGGATATTATAAGAAATCAGCCGGTTATTGAAACTCATGAAATGAAAGTTGCTCAAAAATATATTGGACGAATAATGGGTAAAGGAGGTGAATCAATTAAGCATATTCAAGCAATTTCGAACGCGAGAATAATTGTTGACTCCAGTATGCCATCACGTGATCCAAGTAATTATTAATTTTTCTTCGCTTTTTTAATTTTCAGAAAAACCTTTTCTTCCTTTCGAAAAAATCTATTTTAACTGTTAAATGTTTTTTTAACTGTATTTTAAACTATATTTTCAACTGATAATATTTTTCAACTGTTTTTTAACTGTTAATTGTTTTTAACTGTTAATAATTGAATTTTTTCTTTTCAAAGACTTGGAGAGAAGTTTGACTATAAAAGGAACGACTGAACAAATATCGACCGCTGTTGAAATCATCAATGATAAAATTCGTGAGGAAAATGAGACGAGGGAAAAATTGGAGTCAAATGTAAGACAACCTCGTAGTGCAAAATCTCCATCACCGAGAAGCAATGGAATTGAAACTAAATTCGAAAAGGAAAAATCAGAGGAGAATGTTGACGAGCAGAAGAAATCGGAAACAGAAGATTCTGAAGAAGACACTGAAAGTGAATCACTTCAAGATGAAAATTTTCAGAAGGAGACAAAGAATACGGAAAAAATGGAAAATTCAACTGCTTCTAGCTCTGAACTTAAAGCCGAATCTCTACCTCTACAAAGTACATTTTCATAAATATATTTATTAAATAAAATAAAAATATACAATATAAATAAATCTATTTTGAATTTCAATAAATTAATTTCAGAAAGAAGAATTATTTTTTAATGAATGAAATTAATTTCAGAAAGAAGAATTGTTTTAATGAATGAAAATATTTAATTTGTGCTTGATTTTTTTTTTTGCAGGCAGCACTATGGAAATTTTCGTTAGTGCTTGCGAAACGCCGAGTCAATTTTTCGTGCAAGTTTATGGTCCGGGTACATTGGCTCTTGACGAATTGGTTGATAAAATGACAGTCTATTATAACAATCAGGAAAACGCTGAACTTCATACTTTAAAGAATGCAAGTTAAAACAAAAAATCAGGAGTAACTTCTAAATTTACAGATATAAAAAAAGAAATAATGAAGTTCAAAATAATAATAATAGTTATAAATCAAAATATTATTATTAATTAAGAAATTTACATTTCTTAATTAATAATAATATTTTGATTTAAAACTATTATTATTAATTGTTTCTATTATTTTTTCTATTCGTATTTTTATTATTATTATTATTATTGCTATTACTTTTCGAAATTTTATTTTATTTATTTGTTTATTTTTATACATTATTATTGATTAAAATTTTTCTAAAATAGATAACAGTTGATCAAATGGTGGCGGCCAAATTCTGTTTCGATTCACGTTGGTACAGATCTGAAGTAATCGCGGGTCCAGACGAGCAGGGTAACTATGAAGTTTTCTTCCTTGATTTTGGAGATCGTGCAACGGTCCCTAGAAGCGAAATTCTCGAACTTCGTACCGATTTTCTCAGTCTTCGATTACAGGCTGTCGAATGTTCTCTAGCCAACGTGAAACCTCGGTAAGTTTCTTTTTTCTTTCTTACACAAAAAAATGTATATACAAATTCGTAATTTAAATTATTTCTAAACATTGAATAATTTACATTAGAAAATAATTCTTTAACTAAACAATTAAAATTCTTAATTATTTAACTAAACGAATAATTTACATAGTTAAAATTAATAATTTACAGTAAATAAATAAAAATTTATATTTATATTCGCAAAAAGTAGAAGTTAGAAAAAATGAAACAATTTTTCATTTTCTAATTTCATTAATTTATATAAAGAAAATGAATTTATAATTTCAATAGAGGAATTTTCAATTGCTCAATTCACTGTCATCCATATTGCTGGATAATGATCCTCCAATTCCGGCTTCGCAAACTTCATGAAATAATTCTGGATTCACTTGTTCCATCATTTTCCAAGCGAAATTTTTCGTTATACTCATTGCATTTTCTTCGCAGTATGCCAAACCGGCTCTTTTCAATGCCTCACAGTTAAATTCATCGGCAACTAATAATCTCGTTGCCACATTCTCCGGAGTTATTGTTTCAATCAAATTTCTCTCGCACAATTCCTTCAGTCCTTTTTTATTAATTTACGTCAATGGAAAAGAAAAAGATTACGAAATTTTTAACTAATTTTTTATTTTACAAAATTTTATTTTTAAGAATTATTTTTTGAATTAATTCATTCATTTAGGAAATTTTTATTTAATGAAATGTTTTTTATCAGATTTTTTATTGCAACAGAGGAATTTTTTAAATTTAAATTTCACTACAAGAAAATGCGTTAAAGGGGGCCTTCAATAATTTTTTTTTGAAAATGTTAAAATTCTTTCCAAGAATTCAATTATTTTAATAAATAACAAAATTCTTCGCAGGATTTCAATTATTTTAAAGAATTTTATTAAAATTCTTCCCAAGAATTGAATTATTTTAAAAAATACCAAAATTCTTCGCAGGGTTTCAATTATTTAAAAATTTTTAGTAAAATTCTTCCCAAGGATTTAATTATTTTCATAAATAACAAAATTCTTCGCAGGATTTCAATTATTTTAAAGAATTTTATTAAAATTCTTCCCAAGAATTGAATTATTTAAAAAAATTTCAAAATTCTTCGCAGGGTTTCAATTATTTTTAGTATAATTTTAATAAAATTCTTTATAAGAATTAAATTATTTTTTTAATTAATCATAATTTTTTTCTGAGAATTCAATTATTTTTAACGGAAATTTAACTAAATTCCTCGAAAGAATTTAATTATTCTCAAAAATTTTAATAAAATTCAAATTTTCTTAAATAAAAATTCCATTGCTTACAAAAATTGTACAAAAATACAAAAATAAATACCTTGTAAATGAAATTCTCCGGCTAGGAATAGTAATTGTGGCGCCAAGGTATCCAAATTATCAACGTGATCACTATAAATATATCGAAGTAATTCCTCCGTGACTTCTTTCGATAGATCTTTCAATTCCAATTTGTATTTCAGCGGCGTCTAAAAATGATGCATAGCATTTTGATAATTTCATTAAACGACAAAAATTCTCTAATAATGCGAAAAGTAACAATTTTTTTTATTTTATGTAGATTTTGATTTTCATTACTAACCTTTTTATTTAAAAAAAGCATTATTTAAGCAAAACGCAAAAATACAATTTGCCATTGTAGTTTTTTACAAATTTTTTTTTTACTAGCAATGACGTGCAAAAAAGCATTTTTCTAAATTAGATTCATAATTTTCAATTGTCTTTCTATCATTTGGACAATAAAATTAATTCCTGTAAAGTTACCCATAATTTTTTTCATTATGAATATTGCTACAGAAAATGTAACTTAACGCTGAAAAATTTTACTTTGGAGTAAACAATCGAATTTTGATGAAAAATTCAAGTTATTTAGTATTTATTTATTATACTATTTATTTTGCTAAAATTCAGATTTTATCAATAAAAAAAATTGTGATATTTGTGGTAATTTCTTTTCTATCTGAATTCTTCTTTCACGTACAAAAAATTCACTAGAAATTTGATTTTACAATTAAAAATGTCAAATTATGAAAAATTCTGTTCGAAAAATTCTACTTTATTAAATTGAAAACTGATTTTTTTATTTATTGTTCACTTATCACTTAAAGAACGAAATAATTCTATAATTTAAACAAATTTTGAGTCTTAAACTAAATAGTTCGCTAGCAAGTTTTTCGTTTTCTTTTTAATAAAAAAACAAATATTTATAAAAATATTGTTTTTATGTTGCTTTAAATTTCAATATTGACATTGACAAATAGCAAACTAATCACAACAGAAAAGGAAACGATCAGTTGGATTAATTAACACTTTAAAAATTTCAGTGAAATGATAAAAAAAATTGTTAAGAACTTGTTTCTTTTATCATCACTGATTTTTGTTAACGGACAGTTAGTGAGACAAACATTATGACAAAACACATTCAAACGGCTTTTGTTTCTAAGCTTAACTAAATTATTAAATGAAAATTGAATTCTTTAATTAATTAAAAATTAGCCAACAGATAAATTAGTTTAGAAATTAAATTAATTGATGTAAATTATTGTAAATTGTAATTATTATAACTTGTAAATTAATTTACAAGTTCAAGTTCGATTAATTTACTTGTTTGTTAATTATTAAGTAAAGTTTTTTTTACCTAATTTTTTTGATAATTTTTTAAACTGGATAATTAAGAATTTATTGTACTAAAAAATTGATTAAATATTCAATTAAGTGAAGAATTGGATAATTATTTAATTAACTAAAGAATTAAATAATTATTTAATTAACTAAAGAATTGATTGATTATTTAATAAAATAAAAATAGTATCAAATATTTGAATAAGCGCAATACGAAGCAATAACTAGATTGGATTTTCTTCTACTGCATGGACACATACGTCCACATTTTTATCTTCCTCCCCAACGATTGTTTTCATTTGCTCTTCACTTTCATTTTCATTCTTCTTTTTTGAATCTTCATTGAAATTATCATTTTCCATTGGCGATATCATATTCGCCAATACTGAACTTCGAGCTGTTATCACGCTACTGTGAACTGAAATTTCTGTATTATTTGTCCCGCCACATGTCAATTTTGTATCCGCTGCTCGTGCGTGTTTCAAAAGTCGCGCCATATCCTGTAATTTTTTTTTTATTTAAAAAGAAAACGAATTTTTCCCAATTGGACAATTTTTCTCAATAATCTCAATCAATCATTTGAAAAACATTTTTCTTTCTGTAGATTAAATTAATTTAATTTAATTTAATTTCAATTAGTTCCAATTGGACATTTTTAATTTAAATTAAAAGACAATATTGACAATTTTAATTAAATTAGAAAACTTTGATTCGACAATTTTAATTAAATTAGAAAAACTCGATTGTCAGTTTTAATGAAATTAGAAAACAATTTGGCATACAATTTTATAAATTAGATTTAGTAAACATTGACTACTACAAATACAAATTTACTATAATTTTTCGTTAATTTTGATTATAATTAATAAAATTGAAAACTAGTGATTAGAAAATAAATTTTTGTAAAAATTTACCTGGGATAGAGAATGTTTTTCGCTTTCGCATTGAATTATTTGTATTTTCACCATTACGACGACTTCTCCATTTTTCTTTAAATGTCGTTCGACAATTGATAAATCTCTATAGCCGAGAGATAATATATCGGTGGTTGATTTTAATTCTAATATTGTTCTACTGACGTGACAATATTCCCAATGATTAACGTCCGCATTAAAAACGGCAAATTGAAATCTTACTTTTACTTGCTCCATTTCCTCGACGGTGCATTTTAACATATTTAAACATAAAACAACTGGATTTGTTACTCTCTTTCCTGAAAATAGAAAAATAGAAGCGTAACAATAAAGAATATCAAAATTACAAAAATAAATACGAAAATTAAAATTAAAAATTACGATTTTTAACGATTTTTAATTTAAAATCAAAATTATAAATTTAGTGATTTAATTTTAATTTAAAATCAAAATTATAAATTTAGGGATTTAATTTTATTTTACAAGAAACAAAATTAAAAATTCTTTCTTTACCTTCAGGGCCTTTCCAAAATCGGATCGAAAGAGTCCAAGTACTGTGAATTCCATTAACATTTATATTAAAAGGCGGACTATCGATGTAACTGCTCTTAGATATTGTCTTTTTGTAACGTGAAATTGGCCAAGAATATTTAAAAACTATATCTGAGACTGTAGGTACCAGTAGTTCCATTTTTTTCTTTTATTTTATTGTTTCTCTGAGAATAAAAGAAAATACGTCTGTCGTGAATATTAAAATATTTTTTTATATGAAAATAACGTTTGTGTAAGTGGAAAGAATGCCGCTTTATCTTAATTAGAGTATGTTGCAATCTCATAAATATTAAATTAAAAAGAAAATAACTTAAATAATTAAAATTAAAATTTATTAATTAAAATTAATAAAAAAAATTTTTATATTCATAATTTTCAAAAATTATTGATTTATCGTTATTTATTAAATTCAGTATACGAATTAATTTAATAAATTCTGTATACGAATTAATTTTATAAATTTTGTATACGAATTAATTTTATAAATTTTGTATTCGAATTAATTTAATGAATTCTATATACGAATTAATTAAATGAATTCTACATACGAATTCATTAAATGGATTCTATATACGAATTAATTAAATGAATCCTAAATACGAATCAATTTACTGAATTTTGAATATAAATTAATTAAATGAATTTTGTGTATGAATTAATTCAATGAATTTTGCATTCGATTTAATGATTTCGATATATAAAGATTAATTTAATAAATTCTACACACGAATTAATTTAATAGCTTCCAGAAATGAATTAATTTTTAATAAATATTAATAGACAGTGAAAAGTATAAAAATATTTAATTTATAATTAATTTGATTAAAATTGCAATTAAATTGATTGCTTTGATCATTTTTTTTCCACTTGCAGTTAACGTGAAGTGCTGCATAAGGTGTTAAATTACTATCAGAAAATTTTTGACGAATTGAAGACGATCGTGATTTTGAACAATTGAACTCTCTAAAGCTGATTATCTTGCGTTCTCAATCTAATTGTATTTCTGGTTTATTATTAGGCGCAAAGAGCTCGCACTATAATCTCTAAAGCACTTAAGCTTCCTTCATCTAAAAGCCAAATCACGACCTCAATATTTATTTTTCTCCACAATTTCGGTCTTATTTCCTAATTTTTTTCTCCTCTAAAGGAGAATATTCTATTTTTTTGTTTCTTTCTCTCTTTCTTCTTCTTTAAATTTTTCAATAATTATTTTTGGTATTATTTTATTTATTAATAAATAAAAATTGTCAAATATTTTTTTTTCTATTTTGAAAAAGAAAAAAAATGAAATCATTTTTTTTATTATCTTCTTCGATTGATAATATTTAGTCTTTAGGAGATAATTACAAGAAAGGGATTTTCACCCTTTTTTGTGTATTAAAAAATAAAATTTTTCTTCTGTTTCCTCTCAGGTTTAGTAAACGAATTTTTGTTTTTAGAGGCATAAGGAAATCTGTTTTAAATTAAAAGGGATAAATGTTTTTTTATTGTAAACAAATGCTAAATAGAAGAAGGAAAAAAAGGAAATGAATTTTGAAATTGTAAATATAACGAACTCACTCCACGTGTAATTTGTAGGAAGTGTATATCTGCAGCGCGGAAAATGGATGATATTGGAATTGAGCCAATTTAGTCTCGAAATTGTGCGTTTCTGTTTAAAGATTCTCTTGAAAATTTTCGGGAAAATTCTGAACGTAAATTAATATCCTCAGTTTTTTGGTAGACAGGTAAAGAATTCCAAAATTTCAATCCAACTGTTTCGAAAATTTTACATTTTCCATTTTTTAATTTCCGAAATTGGTACCAAATTAAAAATAATTTCTAATTTTTAATTTGGTGGCATTTAGTAGATAGGATTTTTAATCAGCTGAATCAATTATATCTTCAATTATTTATTGAATCAATTATATTTTCTATTATTTATGGAATTAAATTATTTATCCAATTAAATACTATATTTAATCGAAATTTTGCCGAAAAAGGAAAAAAAAAATTGTCTCATTTTTCAAATGTAGTGACATTTCGAGGCAAATTCGATTAGAAGGTTGTTAATAATGCCACGAACAACAGGTGAATATATACTACCTTGTGCAATTAATTTCTTGAGCTTCCAGATGTCAGGAGTGAGAATGGATAATTTAGAGTTGGAATCAAGTTGTCATTAATAAAGTTCAAAATTATTTCCAACAGATACTGATGTAAGGAATCTAATTATCATTTAACATTCGTCATTCATCACATTTCCCGAGAATGCTAATTAATGTTTTCATTATATTCCAAAAAAGAAAAAGGAAGCAATTCTATAAAAAATTTTTCTCGATAAATTTTCTCATTGAAATTAAAAATTCGATGCAAATTAATAAAAAGAAATATAAATCCATTAATTTTATTTCTTCATATTTGTAAATTTTTCGCAAACTGTAAGAATTTCAAGGAATCGAATGAAAATTAAATTTAGGATAATTTATTATTAAAACTATTCACAATTAGTTAAATATTTTATTTTTAAAAAATTATTTGTCTAGAAAAAATTATTAAAATTCGTTCCGTGTTTGAAAATTTGTCATTTTTACATTAGCAAAATGGATGGAATTGAAAATTATAACTATTTTATATCAATGAAATGACAGGGAAAAATTATTTTAGTGAAAATTTTTGAAGACGAATGTTTAATTTAATCAATGGATTGTAATGTTTCGGACAAACAGATCAATTACACTTTAACTGACTTATAATTAGAGTTGATTGTCATGTGAATTTTGTAGAGCACTCTGTTTAATTGTTCATTGACCATTTCTGGTTCAATGCTACCTGTTAATTAAGTCAAGATTGAATGAATGGCTTGATAATTGCAGTACTTGAGTTTCGAAATTTTCATCTCTCTTAATTCGTAGTTTAAAAGAAAAAAAAATTGTTGTCAACCTTCTCCAAAAGATTCCAAAAGATTATAAGATTGGAAAAAAATTGTAAAACATATTTTTAAACATTTTTTTTGTAAAATCAAAAAAGGTAGAAATTTACCAATTTTAGTTCAGTGGATTTTTTAAATTAAAATGAAATGGAATATTCAAATTTTTCTTTGTTTTATTAGTTGAAAAATTAATAGATCCTAATGAATAGGTAAAATTAATAGATCCAAATAAATAGGAAAAATTAATAAATAAATTCGAGATTGAATAAAATACTTACAAATTACATGTGGATTAAAAATTTCTCTCTCTCTCTCTGTCGAGATAAAGTTCAATTATTCTCGCTTCTTATCATAAATAATCGTTTGATCACGATAAAATCACAAAATACAGAATTTAAATCGAACAAAAAAAAATTCTTTAAAAAAAATTATTTTCGTCTCGAAAGTGAATTCTTCTTCTTCTTCTTCTTGTTTCGAGATTAAAATTCGTCTTTTTGCCCTGCGCACAAATTATTGACTTTACAAAAATAAAAATCACTTTTGAAATTGTTGTAGCTATAGGAGAAAAAAAAAGTTGGCTCTGAAATTTTAACCGTCAGTCACTTTGAAATGTCAGTAAGTACAATATCAATACTGTACGTTTAAAGATCGAGAACGACTGTGAGACTTTCGGCTAAATACTGATACACAAGACTCTCAGTTTCGCTATTATACACACATGTAAGTTTTCTGTGTTAATTTATAAATAGAGCGGCGTTTTTTTCAAATGCACTTTTTCAAATTTAATTCCCGATAATTGAGAGTAAAATCCCAATTTTATAATTTTGGAAAATAATTTTTGTTTTTTCTGTTAGGAAAATAAAATAAAAAAAAAAGAAAAATTCCTTTGTTGTTTGAAAAATCAAAGTCGATATAAAGCAGCATTTTTCAAATTTAATTCCCGATAGAGAGTAAAATATCCAATTAAAATTTTTTTTTCTATTTGAAAAATAACTATAAAATGCCTTTGTTGATGAAAAAGGAAATTTTTGAAAAATTAAAGTGAATTTTAATTTTTAGAAAAGAAATTTATTTTTTACTGGAAAATAAATGTAGATAATAATTATAAATTTTAATTAATTAAACTAAATTAATATTTAATATTATAATTACAAATGTATTTAATATTTATTAAGATATTATTTTGTTTGGATTTGTAATTTAAATATTTAGTTTATATTTTCTGAAATATTTGTCATATTTTTTTAAATATTTAAAATTTGAAATATTCTTTTTCCTTACTTTCGAAATCTATAGTACTTCGGTATTTGCAAATATTCAAAATGTTCTAATAATATTGTTACCCGCATTCTTGGCGCGATAGAAAACAAAACAATGTCAAAAAGTACAGTTGCAATTTTTTTTTGTACTTTTAGTCCCTTTTACATTTTTTTCTTTTTTGTAATAAACAATTTTTATCAAGACTGTTTTTAGATAGTAAGAACAATACTTTTTTTCTAATTTCTAATCAAAAGTTCCAAATTGGTTCAATAATATTTTCCATCTGGTTGTCTAGGAAAATTCCAAAGTGGCGCCTGACTGAAATTTATCACAATTGAACCATGTGCCAACTTTCTTTATAAATAAATACACAAATCAGGACATTTAAAATTGTCATAAATTAATAATATTGTTTTTAAATCTAAATTAAATAAATATAAATTCTTATCTATTCGTTCGATAATTAATAATTAATAATACTGAAATTTTTATCTGTCAAGCTTAAATTTGAATTTATTTTCCTTGTCATTTTGAATTCATGAAAAAGGAATTATGTAAATTATTCTATTTTTAAGTAGTAAGATTAAATTACATAGAAACCAAGTTTCTTTATTTAAAAAAAAGAAAATTATTAAATTTTAATAAAGTTTCTTTGTATAAAAAAAAGAGTAATTGAAATTATTAAATTTTTCAGTGGAGGAATATGGAGCGAAGGAGCTTGCGATCAATTTGCAGAATTGACGTACACAGCCCAATGGAAAAAAGTTTTCGCTAAAGTCAAAGGTTACAATGAACGAGCTGTTGGATGTGGAAGATCTCGTCGTGAAGGATCTCCGATTCCCAGTATTATTATCTACGACATTATCGATAATAAGGTAAATTTATTTTATTTAAATTATTGATGAAAAGAAAAAATTTCTTTTCGAAATAAAAGGGTATTTTTTTCTTCTCGTTTTTAGAAATATAAATTTTTGTTGCTTCCTCATAGAGGAAGAATCCTTTCCTCTATTCTAAATTCTTCTTTAAATTGTATTTTTTTTCTTATTGGAATAAATTCTTTTTTTAGGAAATCGATGTGGCGAAACAATTGATAAGTGAAAATTTGGCTGAACCAGATGAGGAAATTTTATCGTCGGCTGCTAGTTCAACGATTTCTGGAAGGAGACGCAATAATTCTGATTTTAGAAAAAGTCCCACACCAACATCGGTGAAACCTAATAAAGTCATTCATGAAATCGATCTGACAACTCCAATTGTAAGTTTATTTTTATTTTAAAATTACAAATTGTTAAAAAATTTATTAATTTATCAGAGAAAGAAGTCAAAATTCTGCTTTGAAATCAGGGAAAAACAAAACAAAATTTTTGTAGCACTCCTGAAGTTTTGAAAATTACTGAAATTAAATTTTCTAAATATTAACGCAAAGTTAGCTTTCATGAAAAAATGTTTCATTTGCAGAAGGACAACAAAAAAATTGAAGAAATCGATTTGGTGAGTCCAGTTACAAATCAAACGTCGCAATTTATCTACAATGAGAAAAAATCCTTTAACGAAAATGGTAGCGGTAATTATTCACAAAATAATAGAAATTTCAAATCAAAGCCTTCCATTATTGTGCCAGCCGGTTACGAGAGCGATCGATCAGCAGAATCCGATTTTGAATTGGAATAGGAAAAAATTTAGCGTCACATACAAATAACTTTTAGTCGGGTTTATTTTTTTTCTTCGTTTTTTACACATATATTAATCAATCAGTTAATTAAAAACATTTTAATTAACTTGTTAATTAAGAAATTAATTACTAATTTCAATTCCGTTATTCAGTTAATTAATTTCAATTCAGTTAATTAATTAATTTTAATTCAATTAATTAATTAATTTCAATTCAGTTAATTAGTTAATTAATTTCAATTCAATTAATTAATTAATATGTGTGTATATTTTTCCCCTCTCATTTCTGAATGAATTCATAATCATTTGATGATTAAATTGATGTAAAAATTACTCAACTACTTTCTTCGATTAAAAATGTAAATAAGAAAAGAAGAAAGTTGATGACTAGTTTGCCGCGCGTTATTATTTTTATATAAAGTCAATGAATTAGTCAACACCTTTGTCAAATGATTTCCTTTTATTTTCAAATTAGAATGAAATTAGTTTTCTTGCGCGATTTCCGGATATTCGAAAAACAATTTCATTATAAATTATATATAACATCACTGACTCCATTGAAATTTAATTTATAGAAAATCACCAGAATTCTCAGTTTTTTATAAATATTCTTTTATTTCTTTAAACAATTTTTTTTAAACAGTTTTATTTTGGAGAAAAAAGAATTTTATTAAAAATAAGAGCAATTTTCAAGAAGAAAAACTGAATCTTCTAATTCTTCCGACTTTTTTTTTATGAAACTCAGGAACGTCTCTCTCTCACACACACAAGTGCCTTAATTATTTTTTTTAAGGAAGCGATAACTTTCGCCTTTAGTTTTTTTTATTGACTATTTTTTGTCGTTGCGTAATTTTTTAATCAGGAACAACAAAAGAAAAAAAACTGACGACGAAATCTATGAATTCAAGTGATACGAAAGGTATTTTTATATTATAATATATTAGTCTGTAGAAAAAAAAATCATGCGTTAATTTTTGAATTATTCAAACGTGTCAAAATAAAACGTGAGACATGTTATTTTTCGTGCTCTAAGGGCAAAAGAAAGAATTTATTTCTGTACATTATAGAATTGTTAATTATTTACAGTTCCTTGCTTCGATGTATATAAACATAGTTTAATCGCGAGAAATAAATTTACGTATTCTAACAATAAACGATGTGTATGTGTCTCATAGCGCATTCATTTCTCAAGATTAACTAATCTTGGGAATAATTAATTACATGCAAGTTCTATTTTAGAGAGAAAGAGAATTTGCAAAACAAAAAAAGCCTCGGTATCTGTTTTGCAAAGTGAGTAATTTTCCTATGGGGAGAAAATTTTCTTTTTAAACTTCAAAAAATTATTTATTCCACCAGCAAAAGTTCGAATTTCTTATAATTATGCGAATTTCAAATTTTTCTGGTTTTAAATATCAACTTCAATGTTTGCATGATTTCAGATTCAAAACTAAAAAAATTCACTTATTAACCAATTAATTATTATTTTAATAAATAACAAAATTCTTCAAAGGACTTCAATTATTTTGAAAAATTTTATTAAAATTAATTAATAAATAAAAATAAAATAATAAATAATAAATAAATAATAAAATTTATTTATAATTTTTTGAAAAATAAATTTTTGAAGTTTGATTTAAATTTTCTCTATTGTTATTCAATAATAATATAAGTTGTTAATTAATTTGTCTTTTTTATTCCCTCAATCATCAGATTATGCAAGGAAAAGTAAAGATGTAACAAATTGAGGAGAAAAAAATGACACTTTCCTATGAAGATTTGGATTTAAACTAAATACCAATAATTGAGAAAGCCTGCGGTCAAGCGAAACTGTATAAAATCCAGCTTCAAACAATTTCTCCTCTCAGTTTTCATTGAATCGACAAAAGTGAACTCGAAACATGGGATTTTTGGTAAATTAAACAGTTTTATTTTATGTCCTTTTTTAATTAAAAATTTTTGTGTAATTAATTTTTTTAAAATAAATTCTTAGAACCAGACGACCATAACGTCGTCTATATAAAAAATTGACCTTTTCTTCCTAACATCGAAAAAAAGAATTTATTAAATATTTGTGAGAGAAAAAAATATTCAACAAATTATTTTTAAATTAAGTTAGAAAATTAAATTTCTTATTCCAATATTTTTATGGATTTTACTCCATTTTCCCAATGTATTTAAATTTATTCATAATCATAAATTTTTGTCAATTTTAAATAAATAAAATCTAGAAAAGATAAATCTTGAGTAGAAAGAAATTTTTCTTGATATATTTTATTTTTAAGTTTTTAAATTTTTTATATTTTCATTTTCAGAAATTTGGATTGATTTTCGTCCTTGGAATTTGTATGGTAATGGGCGGAACGCATTATATTGCAATTCCCATCGATGGAATCGACTTCATTGAGTTGAATCAAATTTCTCCACCCTCTTCTAGACACCCACGTCAAACTGAAACTTACGTGCCACTGGCAGTTTCTAATATTCATTCTGAAATTAATGAAAATCCAGTTCATGTACCTGAGAGAAGATCATCGGCGCATATTCTTGATTATGTTGATTTTGGCGCACACACGGGAGCAAATGGTGCGTACAGTTGGTTCGCTGATTATCCCTCGCATCATTAAATCCAATTATTAAAAAAAAAAAAATAATAAGTAGATGATGAAGAAAAAAATCAAACACTTACTGAAAAAAATATTCATAGAGAAATTTGCATTCTTCTTTGGAAGGGAACGTTAAATTTAAATAATCGCGTTGACTAGTAATTTACACGCAAATACTGTGCGAAGAGAAGCGAAAGGTTCGTAAAATATTAATATGACAGACTTTGTCTTTTTTTATTTATTTATTATAATTATAAGTAATTAATATTCTGTTTAAGCAAAAAATCCTTTTTTCTATTTTATTCACATTCTTCTATTTTTTCTACTATTTTAAAATATAAATTACATATTTATATTATATTTATATTTATTTACATTAATAAATAAATTTATTCTACTTTTAGATAAATAATATTTGAAAGTATTGCTATTTTTAAAGAAAAAGTAATTGAAAGTAAAATAAAAAACTTAAGACGAAGAAAATTTGTTAATTTTGTAAAATGAGACATTTTTTAATAGAATATAAAGTAGATTCCTTTTTTTTCTAACTCCTTTTTATTAAAAATCTTAAGAATGTTGACAGACTATTATTAAAAGAATGAGAGTAAACTTTTCTTATCGTTATTAAAATACTCTTTGTATTTCTATTTTTAGTTTCATTAATAATTACATAAAGTTCACGTTTTCTGTCAATAAATTTACTCACGCTTTTCTCGACTTGCGCAAAATGCTCATTTTCAGTTTCCTTACTTTTATATTTTACAAAATTAACTAATTTTAGTAAATAATTGAAATCATCAAATTATTTATTTTAATAAATAATTGAAATCAACGAATTATGTATTTTGATAAATAATTGAATTCATTCAATTATTTACTTTACTTTAAATTTACTTTGCTTTATATCAAATTAATCTCATTCATTTTAATTTAAATAAATTAACAATTATGATTGTAATTTTAAATAATTTTAATTATAATTGATTATAAAAATAGTAAAAAATTAATAAACAAGTAATTAAAAAATTGTAAATAACAATAATTTGGAAAATGGTGTAAAAAATATAATTATAAACAATTGTAATTAAAATTTAATGCTACTTAATTATAATTAATATTAATTCACGATTTTAATTTATTTCCGAAAAATTCTTATTCTTAAAAAAATTTTAACGAATAGACAATTTTGTACATTATATTAATATTTTATGAATCTGAAAAAACTTTTGGTTAGCGAAAACAAATGGATTTATAGTGTCATTATATTTAACTTCGAATTATAATTATTTATAAAAAAAAATTAAATTAAAAAAGTATTTTTTATAAAATGAGATTAAATTAAAAAGGAATTATTTTTTATAAAAAGAAAACGAAATTAAAGAAAACTATTTTTTATAAAAAGAAATGAAATTAAAGATGAACTACTTTTTATAAAAAGAAATGAAATTAAAAAATTGTCTTTTATTAAAAAAAATTAAATTAAAAAAAAATTGATTACCTATTTTTTTTGTAAAAATTGTAAAATTCAAAAAGAATATATATTTTGCAATAAAAAAGCAAAAAAATCAAAGCAAATTTTCTTTATTGTGGATCATCATCCGTCGTTACAATACAATAAATAGCAGCTGAATAGTGGTACTTTTTATGTTAACATTTATACTTTAGGTACAACGATAACATTCTTGACACGCAATTTTCATTTTGTTGAAATGAATTAAATAATTTATTTTTTAAGAATGTTAAAAAAAAGAATGTTTTTTGGAGAGAAGAAAAAAAATTAATTTCCTTCACTAGACATTTTTTTCTTCACGATTTTTATAAAAAAACATTTTTTTATTTTTCTTTTTAACTTTTTTAATTCCAAAATCACTCTGATAAATCTCTTCAATTATATTTTTCAACTGTATATTCTTTTAAAAAGATTTGGATAAAGCTACACTTTTCTGTTTTGAATTCTTATCTTTATTCTATCATTTTTTTTTTACATTTAAAACACTTTGCATAGGTTTTTTTTTGGAAGAATTTTTCTTTTTTTAAGTGGTTTACAATTTTTCTTTGTGACTAAATATATCGATTGCTATTTTTGCATTTTTTTTTAATTCTTTGAATTGTTCTTATTATAATTTACGTATTTTTCATTTTCTAATTATTTTTTTTACATATTTCTTGGTCTCTTCCAAGTTGTACAAGCATTTTTTTTTTTAATTCGCTATTCGATTTGAAAACAATTCTGTTTTTTATCGTTAACATTTTTTTTAGCTGTATTCTTCAACTTCGAATTCAAAGATTATCTACAATTTCTCGAAACGCTTATTAATTAATATATTTATAATTTATAATAATATAATAATTGATAGGGTAAATGCACTAGTAGTCGGACACTTAAGGATACAATCTTAAATTATGCTTTTTTTCTTGAAATAGAAAATATCTACTGTGTTTATAAGCACATTATTAATTAAAGGAGTTCTTCAGGATTAAAAATCATATAAATTTGTTACAAATAGTTGAGTATTTAATAAAATATTAACATTTTAATAAAAAATTACGAATGCTTGAGTAGTCGGACACTTTTTCCCCTTGTTTCTATAGTCGGACATCTGTCAGATATTTAGAATTTATAAAGTAAAAAAGATAATTTTTTAATTGCTATCTACTGGAAAATGGAATTAAAGCATATTAGAAGTTATTAATATAATATTTAAACCCTATAAGTTTTAATATTTATGATTAATTATCAACAAAACTTTGTGCCACTCATCGCGCTACTCGAAAATGGTTGTATCTATAGTCGGACACCATGATTTTTAAAACATTAAATAAAATATTTATTGTTTAATTATTTTCGAAAATAACACTATTTTAATAAAATATAAACTTCACACATTCGTCTAGTATACTTTTTAAAGTAATTATCACAATGCATTATTATTTATTTGCCAAAAAACACGAAAGTGTCCGACTACTAGTACTGTCCGACTATACCCGCACTTACCCTATATATTACAGAGATCAATACCACCTAAGACTATAAGTTTTCTTTTCTGTTTTTTTCTGCATTTAAGTTTAACGCCTAATATAAACTTTGCGTTTGGATAATTTTTTTACACGGAATAATTTATTTTTATTTTTAATGTAAATAATTTATAGTCTAATAATAAAATCAGAATTTTTCATCAAACAAAACAAAAACAAACTTAAAAAATAATAAATAGTGTAAATTTCTTTTTCGCAAAAATTTCCAATAAATTAATTTACGATAATAAATTTTTATTCATTAATTTATGAAAAAATAATAATAAATAGAAATAGAATTTGGAGTAAATAATAATAAAAAAAAAATTTCTTTTGATTTAAATATTTAAATTTCTACTATATCAAAATAGTTTTTTCAGTGAAACAAAAAAAAGGAGAAAGTGTAAATATTATGCGCGTCATGTTCGCTGTACCATTACTTGTAGGAAACTTGATCGGAAATATTGATCGAACGTCAGATTTACATAAAAATATATATATTGTATTGTAGTACCTAAAATCTGTTCTAAAATAAAGTTCATTTTGCAAAGGCAAAGAGAATGAAAAAACCTTTTCTTTTTTGTAAAGTTAATTAAAAGTTTCGAAAAATTCCCTAAATTCTACATATTTTTGGTCGAAGACTTTTTTTTCTAAATTACACACGTTTCGTATATTTTTATATTGTTCGAGAAAGAGATAAAAAAATGTACTTTCTGGTGTTGAATAATTCGTAATTACACAATTAATAATAACAGAAAAAATTCATTTATTATTTAAACAAATTTTTCATTTATTTTTTTCTTTTCATTATTTGCAATTTTTTCTTTTTATTTTAATGTTTTATTCTCTTTCGTAAAAAATATTTCAATAACTATAAAATTAAGTTCAAATATTTTTAACGTAATAAATAAAAATTTCAATACTTTGCATTTTTTATCATCGTAAATATTATTAATTACATAATTATCAAATTTCGGTTGAATAATTTTTGAAAAATTAATCTTTGAGTACATAATAATTAAATTATCTAATTTTACTTTACTTTTTTTCTGTTTAATACTGTAATTGAAAAAAATCGTATACGAGTAGAGATTCAAGAGAAGAAACGTTAAATAGTCTTTGTTAATTAATAATAAAAATATAAATTGGGATCGTATCACCGGTAAGACGTGTTAATAAATTTTTTTTAACTGTCTTCTGTAAGATCACATATTTCTAATATTACAATAACGCCCTAGAGTCTTAAAAATTAAATACATAATATATTTATAATTATAATAATAGTAAAAATAATAAAATTAATCTTGTACTAAAATGGCATTAAAAATATAAAAAAATAACATAATATCAAATACCAAGCAACTTTTTTTCTACTATCATTAAAAAAAACCTTTGCCCTTTGCCTCAATTTTATTTTTTTCCTAAAGCAATTCAGTCAATTTTTTTTAAAGGACAATTTTTCCCTAAATTTACTTTCGTTCAAAATGATTCCAAGAAAAATAAGGTGCTCAGTGTTAAAAAGGTACAAATAGAAAGCTTACTCGACAAGCTTTGCGAAAAAAAAATAGAAAAAAATCCTTATTGCAGGTACAGCCTTTTTTTGAAAATGTAAAATTATTTCTTAAAAACTAAAGTACAGTTTAAATATTTAAAAAGAAAATAGTGAAATTAAAAAATAATCAAGTACGTTAGGAAATAAAATACTGATCTAATACCAAAGTCAAGTAACACCCAAAGAAAACCGGTCGGGAAAAAATTGCAACAATAATCGAAAAACAAATAAAATTACAACAAAATAAATTAAAAAATTAAAAAAAAAGTTTTTTCAAATTAAAAATATATGAAATTAAATTGTCAACTTTGGGTGTCTTTTTCTAAACTAATTGCTAAAGCCATGGATTTTATTTTCGTCAAAAACAAAAATTATATTATTCTTTTTTTTCTAAAATTATTATACTGATAATTGTCATCAATGCAGGTACCCCGATATTATGCAAAATTAAATAATAGATCTTTCAGGTAAAACGAGATCCGAAAATATGGCGCATAAAAAAAATCTTTATCTTACCCGAATTATTTTATTGCCTCAGATAAAAACGTCATAACTTCGAGGAAAAAAAATTTCTCCTTGAAAAATTAAAAAAAAACATAATTTTGTTAATAATTGAATAGAATTTACAATTTTTAATTGAATTCGATTTTATTAAAATTATCTTTTCGACACTGAATTCAATTTTATAATTAAGTTATTTTTTTTTATTACACTGAATTCGATTTTTTACAATAATTTTCTTTTTTTAATTGAATTCAATTCTAATAAACTTATTTTTTCTTTATATTTAATTAAATTTTAATAAAATTATACAATTTATTAAAAAAAATCAACAATTCTCTAAATCTAAAATGAAAACAAAAATAAAATTCAAACATAAAAAAAATTGTTAATAAAAATATTATGAAAATAAATTCAACGAAGAGAAAAAAAATTATTTTCTCCTTGAAGAAATAAAAGTTATGACGTTTTTAATTAAGGCACGTGTGTACAAAATCGTATCAAAATGATAAAAAAAATAATAATAATAAAACGGAAAAAAAATATAAAAAAATCAAAACCTAATCTAAAAATAATATTGCAGTTCAAATCTAAGCACGTCAGAACACGATAATAATAATAATTTTTTTTCATCTTCAAATTTTTCACTTGTATGTGATTAAATGTCTTGGTTCCTAGCTGTTTCCGTATATTATGTACAAATTCTAACATATTATATACACGCGAATGTGTTTTAGCAAACGGAGAGAGAAATCAATTTTAGCACGAGCATAAAATCAAGAACATTGCTCAAAGGCTATCGAAAAAAAAATTAAATATTAAATATTAACGAAAACAAAAAATGTTATGGAAAGGAAATTTAATAGAATTTTCGAAAATTGAAACAAAAATTGTTTATAAAATTAAAAAATTATAAAAAAACTATTTAAAAGATTTAAACTATTAAAAAAATATAAAAAATTATTTAAAAAATAAAAAAAATTAAATAACAATATCTAAAAACAATAATATTCAATAATCTTATAATTATTTTAAGAAAAGGTACTTAAAATATATTTAAAAAATATAAAATAAATCTCATTTAAAAAGGAGCGAAATAAAAAATAATTTGAAAAAGACCAAAGAAGATCTTTTGTCCGATTTTAATATTACAAATAAGTCTTTAAAGAATAAATAATTTACAATTAATTACAAAATTAATTAATTTACAATTAATTGCAGAATTAATTAATTTACAATTACAAAATTTATTATGTTTTTATTATGCAATTAATGACAAAATTAATTCATTTAATCTACAAAATGAAAATATTTTACAATTATATAATTTTATTCTTAGGTAATATTTATATATTTAAATAATTAAGGTATGTTTTCGTTTACTTAAAAATATTTTTCCCTTCTTTTTATAAACGTCCAACTTTTCTTATTTACATAAGAAATAAAGAGTCTCAAGATTTTTTCAATAGAAAACAAAAGGAAAATTTTTTGGAACACTTGCTATTGAAATAATATTCTCTAAAGACTTATTTTTAATTATTTTACTTCTATCAGATGAAAAATTTGAGCAATGAACTTTTTTTAATTAACTTTAAAAAGCCTCTTTAAATTGTTCAGCGTGACAGCCTCTCGATATGAATTTTCTTCATTAATTATTATTATTTTCTTTGTTTTTTTCTTTCATATTTTCTTTTTTTTTTGTTATTCTTGTCTATAAATAGAAAAGTGAATTGCGACAGAGTGCGCTCATCTCAAAAATAGGTACATATCATTACATAAATACAGCTCCATAAATCTTGCTATACACATAATATATAGATATTTACGTACATTAAATTACATCATTTTTTATTTCATTTTTTACTTCATATTGTTTTTTGCAATTTTTTTCTTCAATTTTTTGTATATTACAGAAAAATTGAAAACGACTTTTTTTTTGTTTTTCTTGTAAGCATTTATAATGGGAAATTTTAATTTTCTCTCCACATTGAATATATTTATTATAAATTCGCGGACACGTCTTTCGAATTTTTATACTTTTATTATCCGTTCTGTGACTAGATCACCTAGGATTTCGCTCGTGAAGAAAACTTATTGCAAACTAAAGTTTCAAATCAAATTAATTATCGGCAAATAAGTGAGTTTCCAATCCTTTTCAAAAATGATTTAAATCTCTTTTCTGCGAAAATTAGTTTTCGAGAGCAATTGTTTCAAAACTCAAATTAAATTTTTGTTAAATAATTAGTTTTTGAGTAAATTTGGATTCTATTTAAGCAATTACTAACTAATTCGAGTAAATTAGTCGGGAAAAATTAATTTGAAATGAAATGTATTAAATTTTACGAAATCCCTAAAAAAATCTGTAAAGATCGAGTCCGGATTTAAAGTGTGTCGTGTTTGCATAAATTGCCATTTAATATTTTCTTGCACAACATCTATTTTTTGACGGATAAAGAATAGATTTTTTTTCAACAGAAAAATTTACGCATTTGCCATCGAGTAAAATCGGAAAAATCTTTTATATATAATTTTCTTCTATTTTTCCCTAAAATTTCCTTTTTCGTATTTTTTCTTTTTCAAAAAAACTTTCGATTTTCTAGCTTTTTTGTCTTGAAATAAAAAATTTTCTTTTGATTGAAAAGTTAGTATAATTCCTTTTTTTTAGCTATCTTTGGATTTTGTTATTGAAAATAGAATATGTGTAGTGTATGTGTATTTTATAGAGTTTTCTCGATTTTGTTCGATATATTATATAATAGATTGAAATCACGCGAGAAATCAAGAAAAGACTCCATTTCGAATACAAGTACCTTTTTATCGATCCTCACATTGTGAATTGAGACAAGAGAATTCGTGGCGGATTGGTGGTCGTCGTATTTGACGAGGAAGTTGCTGGCAATTCGCTCGAGGTAATTTCGGGTCAGGTATTGATGCACCAGCCCAATATAACTTTCTTGAATGGAACGAAAACAGCTCGATACGGCTCACTGTAAACAAAAGAAAAACAGTCACTAAAAATTTTCCCAAAAAAAAGAAAAAATATTTTTAAAAAATTGTAAAAACCTTAAAAAAAAAAAGGTGGACAAAATTCTAAACTTTTGATAAAAACGAGACACTTTTAAAAATTAATCATGAAATTCATTCCTTAGGAGAAAATTCAAAAATACAATTTTTCGAAACATTTCATCATTGAAATGAAAAAAATTTTTCCGTGACTTGGTGAACTTTGTAATGAAAGCCAAAGAATTATAATTAATTCACGAAACATTGATCGAGACAGTGAATAAGATGGTTATGTAGAGAGGAAAAAAAAAATCTCGTCGCATTTTTTTGTTTAAAGTTTTCTCAAAATAGTCCCTATTGTTTGCTACTTAAGGGGTCAAGGTTACATCGACCATTCTCAATATTGGACTTGGAGTTTTCACTCCCAAGGCCTTCAAAATTTACTCGAAATTCTGTACCGTATAAAATTAATGCTCGTACGATCGTATTCTTGAATAATCTACTTAGAAGAATCGTTAAATTGATGTATGAATCACATTATCCTCGACCTTACAAAACGACTTTCTTGGGAAACTACAACAGATTATTGTTATTGTTATTATTTGCAATTTTTTCCAATTTACACAAAGTAAATTAGCAGAAAAAAAACAAAACAGAAAATAAAAGAAAAAAGTAAAGGAAAATTTACAAAAGCAATTTACGGAAAATTAAATTTGTAAAGAAGATAATAAAATATGAAAAATTAAAAATATTACTTACAATATTTAAAATTAAAAACTATGTAAATGTTGGAGAAAAAATAAATTTCAAAGAAGTAATAAACAATTTTCCAGAGGTCATTTTTTTATCATTTCCGAAGAAATAATTTGACGATAAAATTTTATTCAATATTTGTAAAAACCGAGGAAAATGTAAAGAAATTACCCAATGTATTCGAAACCGTTTTCGTAAATAAATAAATAAGAACTAAATGCATAAATAAAAAAAAGAAATAAAAGAAAAAATAAATAAATAAAAACCGAAATAAATAAAGTCGGGCGAAAAGGAACTTTAAATTCCATCCGCAATCTGATAATAAAAAAAAGAAAAAGAAAAAAAAACGTCTCTAAATTTGAAAACATTAATGAAAACGAGTAAAAGTTCGCCTTCTTTTTGTTATTAATGAAAACGATTTTTCGTTGGAATTACCGTAATTGTTATCATGTTAATGTATGCATATCTAACTCGCTTTAAAGCAGCTCCGTGCGCGCAATTTTATCCAAAACACTTCGAATTCCGTTGTATTTAAAGCTTAAAACAAGTTTATCACGTGGATAATAGCTTCTGTCACGCAACTCCCCAAGTATCACCTATTTATTCTTAAAAAGATGGTTGAACATATATACCCAGTGAAATATTCTCAGCTATTTTCAAAGTTAAATAAAAAAAATAAAATAAAATAAAAATAGTACTCGCAAGTGATTTTCGTGATAATCGAAACAGAAAAAAACGGAATCAAATTACACGAAAAAACGAATCACGAATAATAATTTTCATTTTCAATTAAGAATTACGAAATTCGATTTGAAAGAAAAAAATTTAAATTACCAAAGTTTTAGAAAAAAATTTTGTTTGGAAAATAACTTATTGATTATTTCGCAATTATTATTAATCGACAAAATGTGTATTTAAACAAACGAAATACTTTGACAAGCAATCGATAGTTTTTTGATAACTAAATTATTTGTTAAATTATAACTAAATCTTTTTTTCTAATTAAAACGTAATTATTTTTTAAATTAAAACTGAATTATTTAAGGTATAACCAAATTATTTGTTAAATCATTATTTGTACATTAAAATAATTATAACTCTCACTTACAAATTTATAATACCTAGTTCAAAAAAAATAACTGAGAAATTATTTCTTCAAGCGGTTAAAAAAATGATAAAAAATATTAATGATTAAAATTTCTCACCAAATGAAGAATCTTCTTCCATGGAAGGTGCCATCTGAGGATCCGTTTTCATTTGGAAGTTCAACGCCGACATGAATGTCCTCTCGTCCAGGGACAGGTCCCACATATCGAACTCTACCTTGTAAAACTTTTCCCTCTGGAGATATTACTTTTACAAGATGATCCAACTTGAGATCTCGAGGTATCTAAAAGAGAGAGAAAAAATTCTCATTTACAATGTCATTAATTTCTTTTCCCTTTAAATTAAAAATTTCAACTCAATTATAACTATACTTCTGGACTATTTCAAATATTTAGAATATTTCTACTAATTTATTCTTCATTTAGAATATTTCTACTATTTTATTCTTCATTTAGAATATTTCTATAATATTTTCTAAATATAAAATGAAAATATTTCTACAATTAAAAAGTAGGTGCTCGAAATATTTTCTAATAAATCTATTTTTGAAATTTGAAATACTTTGTAAAACTATTCGAATTATTTCCATTTTCGTTGCAAAATGAATAATGTAATTATTTATTCAGTAAATAAATTAAAATTAATTAATTAAATTAAATCATTTAAGTGAATTCGAATTTTTTATGCATATTTGATACAAATTAAAATAAAAAATTTGATTGAATTAATTTTTGAAAATTACAGAAGAAAAAAAAATTTTGAGATACATTTTTAAAAATTGGGGAAAAATGTTTGTGGTTAAACACCTTTGGCAGATAGGGTCGTGCATCCTGTGGAGGATTCCATTCACGAAAGAGATCAGGCTCCGAATGTCGACGAGCTCTTCTTCGTCGTGGCGGCTGTTTGTTCCAATATTCCGCAGTCGATATAGTCAACATTGAATCAATACTTCTTCTCAAGTAATCTTCCGCCTCGTCAATTAACGACTCAGTGGAATCGCCACTCATATCCAGATCAGTTCTCAGATTCGGTAAACTTCCCCTCGTCATTGGACAATCTACGAAAAATTAAATAAAAACAAACAAACATTTATTATTTTATTTAGCCGATTTAGAGTAGTGCAAATTTTCAAAAAAAAGAAGAAAAAAGCAACTTTTAATGTACGATTTTAGTATTTTCGGAGTAAAATTTCGACTTTTTCCCTGACCCACAAAAAAATTCTCTTAATAATTTTATCAACAAATTTTTATATAATTGAATTTTGATAAAGAGTTTTATTATTTATAAAGATAATTGAAATTTGACGAGAATTTTATTAAAATTTTAAAAAATAATTGAGTTTTGATAATTTTGGAGAAGACTTTTATTATTTATAAAAATAATTGAAATTTTGACGATAATTTTATTAAAATTGAAATTTTTGCACGAATTTTATTAAAATTTTGGAAAATAATTGAATTTTGGAGAAGAGTTTTATTATTTATAAAGATAATTGAAACTTTGTCGAGGACTTTTAACAAAATTTTGTATATAATTGAATTTTTGCGAAGAATTGAATTACTTTTGAAAATAATTGAATCTCTGCAATCATTTGTAACTTCTCCAATTTTCAATTTTTTTTAGTGTTTTTAACTAAAATTCTTCTATAATTTAAATTATTAAAATTTTTCAAAAATCTACGTTCTTTAAAATTTCTAATTAAATTCATTAAAAATTGAAAGTTTATAAAATTTCAAATTCTAACTTTTTGAAGTTTATCTATTTATGAAAATTGTAAACGAAACTGTTTTAAAATTCAATTAATTTTGAAATATTTCAGAAAAATTATTCATTGAATAATTTCTATGTATAATAATTTTATGATAGTTCTTCAAGAATTATAAGTTATTTGAAAAGAAATTATTTTAAAAATAGAAAAAATTGAAGGTTTTTGTTTAGAATTCGTGGTAATTTTATAATTTATGAAGCAAACAAAAAAGACACTAAAGTTTAGAATTTTCTTATGAATTTTAAAAATGTAATTTTTTCCATTACTTTTAATAAAAATCCCTGACCTGTGGCAACCTTGTTCGAACGTAATAAAATTCACTGCAACTAAAATTTTCTTGCATTATTTGGAAGAAAAGTCGAAAAAGTCGCAATTTTTAAAAATACGTCGAAAAGAGTCGCTGTTTTGAAAATAAGTCGAAAATAGTCGGAAAAAGTCATGTAATAAAAAATATTTCGTTCATTTAAACTTTCAAAACTTTGTGGATCATATTATATGGAATAATTTTCCTTTTTTTCCAAAAGTAAAAAGTAAAAAGAAAATATCTAAAAATTCCGCGCACCTTGAAATGTGACTTTTGATCGTGTCCTCTTGGGAATTGTTTTCGATATTCTTGCAACGGATGGCGGTGGATTAACGTGCGTGGGCGATGACGGCATCGATGACCATGTGGGACGTGGTGTTGATGTTGTTGTAATTGGAATTCGCCACGTATCAAATGAAGCGGCTGTCGCACGCCACGAATGTCTTCGCGATGGCCCGCCAACAACTTCCAATCCTGGCGATGGAATTGACGTCAACGAGCCACGATAACGACTCGGATACAAATCCGTCGATATACGACAATCACATGGACTCGGAAGTCCTGTTCCTGCATTGCAGCGCGGCCAATATCCTGCCGGAGATCCCAGAGATTCCCGACGTATCACTTCCGGTGTACGAAGACCGCAACCTCGCGCATTATAACACGACTGTAACATTCAATTCAAAAAAACAATTTATTATTTAATCATTTCATTTTTTTTTATTAATTTATTTTCTTGTTATTTGATTTTTGTATTATTTTATTTTTGTATTGTTCTGTTTTTTTACTATTCAATTAATTTTTTTAGTAAAAAATATAAATATAATAAACTCATTTTTTTCCTTTTCGAAGACGAGACAGAAAAAGTAAATCCAAGCGTGGGATTTTATTACACAATAATTATTATTAGTGGGGAAAAAATGTTACAACAGGTATTAAGTAGATATTAATTATTCTATTTCAAGACAAGAACAAAAATTGTATCACTTTCAATAACAATTATATAACAATCTGGAAATAAATCTTTGTTCTAAACAATTTTTTCTTCTGCGTTTCTGCGGTTTGTGAAATTATTTTCCTTGTTAGGAAATTATTTAAATAAAATAATATTCAATATATATACGTATATTTTCACAAAGATTAAAATCTAGAGAGAATTATATTTTTTTTAATGAAAATTTATTACTTTTTCGCGAAGAAGAAATATTATATTGGAAATGGAAAATAAAATAGAAGAAAACCACATTGTTGATAGGTGGTTATTGTTCCGTGTGGACTCGTCAAGTTACGGTTGAGTGGCATTAATCAGACTAGCTAAATGGGTTAGTGAAATGTAGTCCTAGATCTATTGCTTCGCCATAAATGTACATTGTATCTGGATTATATAATGCTCATTAAAAAAATTAAATAAATAAAAACAAAAACCAACAATCAATTTCAATTACAAATAAGAATTAAGTTTTTCTAGTTTTAAACGTCAATATTCAGAAATTTTTTTTTTTTTATTTAATTCAAATATTTATAGAAGAAAAAAAAATAAATGATTTATAATAAATAAATATTTTTTTTACGTAATGAACCGCCCCCTCCCCTTAATTCTTGCATTAAATTTTATTGAGCACGTTTTTAAACTAAATCCTCTTTGTTAATAAATATAATTAAACTTTTAATTATTGAATTTTATTAAAATTAAAAAAAATGCAATTAAATTCTTCTTAGAATTTTTTGTACGTGGCTGAAATAAATTATATTTTCCCTCTATAAACAGAATAAATAAATTTATAAAAACAATAAATAGAGTAAATTTATAAAAATAATAATTAAGTTAACTCATAAAAAAATAATAATAAAATAATTTCTTTTTCTATTTTCTCATCAATTGTAAATTTCAAGGGGGAGTGAATTACATTTTGAATTTCATTTGTATTAGATGTGTTTGACCTTCGCCGTACTCCATTACGCGTTTCCGCGCACTATATTATATATATACTGTACCAATGTTATAGTAACCATCTAGAGATTGAATAAAAAGCCGGTTTTGCTATTACGGTAACTGTAGTATACGTTACGCTGGTGTACTGTCATGATGCTTTTTTTTATTTTTTTGCTTGCTTATAATCGTAGAATATGCGGAAAGGGGAGTTTTGTAGGCGGCCGAGCGTTACTGCAATCGCCCGCACAACTTTTATAAATATACAAAATATAATTTCCTTTGTTATTTCACTTAATTATACAATAAAACATAATTTTACTCCCATATAATATTTCATCTCAATTTTCATAATTTACAAAAAAATAAAAAACACCCACTTATTTATTATTTTCTTTTTTTGTCTTAAGAAAAAAGTCATTTATCTATTTTTTGAAATTAATTTCTTCCTTCTTTCAACTAATAAAAGTATTCTGAAATTCTACTCTAGAATTCTAAATATCTAAAATTCTACTCTAGAATAAAATTCTACAATGAAAAAAAATTTATTTGATTCAAATAACCGATTATTTGACTATTATCAATTAAATATTTATTTGGATTTTAATAATCAAATAATTAAATTCAAATAATATTTATTGAAGTCAATTAAATGGCATTTGAATCAATAACTTCAGTATTTGAATAAACAAAAATTTATTTGACTCTAATAAATATTATTTTATTCAATTAGATATTTAATTGATAATAGTCAAGTAATCGGTTATTTGAATCAAATAAATTTTTTTTAGTTAATAATTAGAGAGTTATTAAAAGTAGAAAATTAAATTACTAAAAAAAGAATGATTTCTTAATCATTTTTTTTAGTAATTTAATTTTCAAAGAATGAAAATTGCAAAAATTATTTTTAAAAAAGAAGCGAAAAACAGTCGGTCTCTTTGGGATTTTTTTCCTCCTTCTAAGAATACGAAAAAAAAATAAATAATGGTTTTGAGGGATATTTTACCTGAACGTGAGGATCATGACAGAGATGATCGGCGCTTCTTGACAATTCCGGAACCATGCTGGTGAAGCTGATGTCCGAGAGCATGACTCTCCTTGCTTCTCGTGTTTTGTCATTAACTCGTAGTCTTCCGGGCATACCGGCCGGAAGTGCAAATTTACTCGGCAAAGTTGTAAAAGTATGTGCCACTTTGTGCGCAAGATAACTCTCCGATCTCCATTGTGCCGGAAGCGCTGAAATATCAGTTTGCGCTCCTGACTCACGTCTTGCACCACAATTTCGATCCATCACCGGTCTTAAAGGCGCTGAACTTTTCCTACGACCCGTCGCAAGCGCTTCCCTATGAATAATTGGCCTAAAACAAACAAAATAATACTCATTACAATTTATTTTTCTCTTTTCTCTTCAAAATATATTAAAAATTAATTTCTAATTCAGGAATTTTTACTCCTGACTCGGCTTTCTTCAAATAAAACAAATAAATACGAAAATAATATAAATATAAATAAAAATAAATAAGTACGAATATAACAAAAATAAAATATTATAAATAATATAATTATATTTACTTCGTTAAAAATATATTACTATAAACTAAATTACTCTGAATTAAAAAAATAAGGAAAAAATAATTTAAAGATTCGTCTTCATTTAAAAAAAATTGTTGATACCAAAAATTGTAGAATAAATCGCAGAAAAATTCTTCAAATTAGAGAAAATACTTTCATTACATAAATAAAACTTTAAGAAAACTTTTAATATATTATGTTATAAAGCATTGGAAATTATAGTTGGAAAAAAGTTCTTGATCAACTTCTCGTGTGTGTTATACACAACTCTTCATAAAGTTTGAAAATAAAAGTTTTCACTGAATTTAAACTTTAATATATTGAAGCGATAAAAAAATACTCTAGAAATTGTTTTAATTACTTTAGAAAATAAAATTACCTATAAAGAAATTTCTAAATTGAAAAACAAATAATAAAAATAGAAAATGAAAAGAAATCTATAATTAATAATCGTTGTTTTCTTTGTTAATTAATAATTATTCTATTTAAATGTTTTGAATTTTTAAATTAATGTATTTGATAATAATATTGAATTCTTACGAAGAATTTTAACGAAATTTTCGAAAATAATTGAATTTTCCATTAGAATTTTATTATTTATGAACATAATTGAATTTTTCGAAGAAGTATATTAAAATTTTTGCTTCTTAATAAATTAAATTGTTTCGAAGGATTTAATTCAAATCGAAATCAAAATAATTGAATTCTTTATAAAATTGTATTAAAATTTGTTTTTAAAACAATTGGATTCCTAACGAAGAATTTAAAAATAATTTAATTTTAGCAAAGAGTTTTATTTTTATATTCAAAATAATTGAATTCTTTATTGAAATTCTATTAAAATTAGATTTCAAATTATTGAATTTCTGCGAAGAATTTTATAATTTATTAAAGTAATTGAATTTTTGCGACGAATTTTATTAAAATTTTTGCAAATAATTTAATTTCAACAATGAATTTTGTTATTAATTAAGATAATTGAATTTTATTTATGTGATGAATTTTGTTACTTATGAAGATAATTTGAATTCTTGCGAAAAATTTTGACAAAATTTTTTAAAATAATTGAATTGTCAATTACAATTTTATTATTTATTGAAATTGAATTCTTTTCAAGAATTATATCAGAGTTTTCGAAAAGTAATTCAATTCTGTTGAAGAATTTCTCTTTTTTGAAAATAGTTTGTTTATTAAATTTTTTTTGAATGTAATTGAATCTAATCGTGAATTTTTATTAAAATTGTGCAGAAAATAATTGAATTCGTGCAAATAAATTTATTATTTACGAAAATAATTGAATTCTTCGCATTGTTTTATTAAAATTTTTAAAAATATTGAATTTGGAGAAATTGTATGAAAATAGTACTAAAAATAATTGAATTCTTGCGATGATTTTTATTCAATTTTTTAAAGCTATTTGAATTCTTTAAAAAAAAATTTATCAAAACTTTTGAATTAATGATTGAATTTTTTCGACAAATTTTATTAAAGTTTTTTTTTTGAAAATAATTGGATTCTTTTAAGGAATTTAAAAAAATAATTGAATCTTGTGAATTTTTCTTAAAATTGTACAGAAAATAATTAAATTCGTGCCAAAAAATTTATTATTTATAAAAATAATTGAATTTCTATTATAAATTTTATCAAAAAATTTGAGAATAGATAATGAATTCTCTAGAAAAATTTTATTACAATTTTTTAAAATAATTGAATTCTTTCGAGAAATTTAATTAAAATTTATTAAAATCGTATTGAAAATAATTGACTTCCAAATGAAGAATTTTATTGTTAATATAAACAATCCAATTCTTGCGAAGAATTTTATAATTTACTAAACAAAATTGTTTCTACAGTTGCGAATTTATTTACTAAACAAAATTTTAATTTTTGATAAAGAAGAAAAATTTATTGTTTAAAATTTCTTTTTTCAACTCACCGATAGGCCGTCGGCGGTGCAGCGAGTGTATTTCGTCTGACTCCATGCCTCGAGGGTAAATCAGTTTCCTCGAGTACACCACATTTACTGATATCAGTCTCAACAAGCACCGAACATTGCGACCAAATTTTATTCAATCTTGTACTTGAACTCTCATCAAAACGATCAACACTCTCTTCACGATCGATACTTGAACTTTGTGACGACATTGCCTCCTCAACCGAACTTGTCTTATCACCATTACAAACCAATGATTCACCCTCCGCCGATTTTGTATATTTCAATAATACTGGTTGTCCCGAATTTTGTTGCCACGGCTCATTCTCAGTTATTGAAACTAAATCCTCCTGTAATTCAACTTCTCTACACGCCGTCTCATCAGTCGTGAATATTAATTCAATATCGTCCAATTCCTCCGATTCATTTTCCGATTCATTTGGTTTAACTTCAATCTGTTGATTCTCGGGATTATCAGTGAACACGGAATTATCACCGTCCGACGCTGATTTTAAACTTAAATCCTCCAATTCCTTATCGGGTACGTCTAAATGATCAGTTGCAGTATAATTTTCATCAATTTTCTCTTGATCATCGTCGATTTTCTCATCTGGAGATTTATCATTTTTCACAGCGTTGTCATCATTATCATCATCGCCACAGGATTCCTTCGTGACTTTTGGAATTGAAGAGGACACTTGTGGTTCATCGATTGGATTTTCCTCTGGTGTCTCCTCTTTTGGTCCATCGACGACAGTTTCATCCTCATTAGTGTCCATGATTGTCGATGTCCCTGGCTCTGTTGGACTGAACAATTATTTTTTTTTTAAATAAGGCAAATAAAAATTTTTTTCTACAAACTATGAGTCAAAAAAAATAAATTGACACAATTATTCCCGCAACGCAAAAAAATACGCTATTAATTACGTTTTCGCACTATGTAATTGACACCAGTTGGATACAATCAAGTTTTATGACGAAAAGAGTCATTTTTAATAGAAGAATAAGAAAAACAAATGAATTACATAAAATCGAGAATAAGCCAAGAAACAACTTATTTAAATATTCTGCACTTGGAATTCAATATAAAAACCCATCTTATTTTTACTATAAATAAATTAAATTCGAAATATGTCTAATAAATAATTAATAATAATAATAATAAAAATAAAAAAAAAAAAATAATAATAATAATAAAATAATAATAATAAAATAATTGTCTGCAAAATAATAAAAATATGAAATAATTACATGAAAATTATCAATAACTAACTCTTTAAATTCAATTAGTAGAAAGAAAAAATTAATTAACGAATTTTTATCTTGATGGCGAAACTTTCTATTGAAAAAAAAGAGAGAATTAAAACTTGAAGGTGGAAAAAATTGAAAGTGGAAGTTTATAAGAAATATTTTCGTCTTAATGTTCTGAATTAGATGAAATAAGGAACAAAATTTTTATAACAATCAAAGGTGAATAAAAATCGGCAAATTAGTTCAGGTCGCGTGACTTCACGGCAAACGGTAAAATGCCTCTTTTCTCAGAAAACTCGCATATATATGTATATTAAAAAAAAGTACACTTTCTTTCTGCATGCAACACTTGGTTAGAATATTTGAAAAAAGCAACAGCTTCTATGCCATTAAAGGCGCGACTCCGCTCGACATCACTTCCGGTTTTTAACGCCAAACAGTGGCGTACACCTTTTGCAATGCATTAAACAATAATTTTTCTCTAATTACAAGTCCAATAAACCTTCTATTTTCGTTTTTAGTTAATTATGTTCCTTGGAAAAATAAATTTCGATTTGATTAAATTTTTAATTCTGAATTCTATTTTTAATATTTCTAATTTTTTAATTTTTTTATTGTGAATATTTTTCACATTTCTAATTTTTTTTTACTCTAAAAATTGTATCCAACTTGATCCTAAAGTTCTGAGCGTCCAAATGAAGGAAATGTATATAAATAAAATTTTAATTACAATAATTTTGCGTCGATATAAAAAATATTAATAATAAAGTTTCTGAATGTAAAATTTAAGTTTTTATTTTCTATCGCAGTCTACTGACAAAAAACATAGAAAAAAGACGAAATACAACTAAAAAGAGAAAAAATTATAGAATTATTGATCTTCAATAATTTTTTTTTCCTTTGCAACTATTTTTATTATTTATCAGAAGGCAAATTTTCTAAAAATAAAATTTAACAAAATGAAGGTTAAAGATAGAAAAGAAAAAGAGATGCGAATAGAAATTCCAAATAAAGAATTAATCTTTCGTGGGAGAAAAAATGACGATAAAAAAAATATAAAAGAACTTTTTTTTTAAATCTATTTTTCCATCTCTCGACGTATGAAAATAAAAATTGCGAACGTATTTCGGGATTATTTTTGTATCTTCCCGTTTTTCCTCTTTCCTTTTTTTTGTCGATAAACGGAAATGTTTGGGAAAAATATTTATCTACGTGTATATTTTGAGAGAAACTCACTGTTTGATCATTACAGCAGGAGATGGAGAATTGGTTGCAGAATCACTGGAAAAATTGCTCCTACTCAGTATTTTTCGTCGCAATATGTGATTTTCCAATGCGAGTCTTTCCACCACGTTCGCGTAATTCTCAGCGGAAAATTCGCCAAAATCTTCTTTTAGTCGACGCAATTCCTCTCGAGATGAATCCAATGCCGAGCGTAGAGATATTACTGTCTGAAAAAATAAAATAGAAACATGAATTTATTTATTCTATAAAAATGGTTTGATTTAAAAAAAATGAATTCCTTTTTTATAATTCTATTTTATTTATTTCTATTTAATTTTGTTAAATTAGTAATTAATAATTATCATCTTTATATTAATTTCTCTTCTCTATTTACAATTTAAAAATAAATTTAAAATCAAAAAAAGCAATCAATCAGGCTTTTAATTCTCAAAATGTGAAATTTTGATTTACAATACAATTTTGTTTTGAAACAAAAATTTTTTTTGTCCTCAATGAGAAAAATTTTCTAAATCAAGAATTTAGAAACAATATTTTTTCAGGAAAATAACTTTTCGACATTTTTTCGAATAAATAAAAAACTTCCTCTAAATTTTTTGCTCAGGTTTCTTTTTTTATCTCGAGTAATTTTAGGATTCGTTAATCGTAATTGGTTTTCGGAATTAGAAAAGATTTTTACGACTCTTTACGAATAAACTGATTTAGAGTGTTGGTAAATAAGAAAAGAAGAAAAAATTCGCAAAAACTTGATAATTATGATATTGTTCTTACAATGAAACGAATTATTTCATGTCTTCTTCTTCTTTTTTTTCGCGAAGAGGGGACAATTAACAGTTAATTTAACCGTTAACGGTACACTAATAGTGAAATCAAGCAATAAACATTTAATAATCGACAACGAGTGTCGTTAAATCGACGCTTAAAGCGACAACTTTTAGTGTCAGTGTAAATTATTGTCTTGCAATTCATTTCGTAGAATCTCTTTATTAACAACTATTACTTTTTTTTCTTTCCATCGAACAAAATTCTCACGATTTTATTTATTTTTGTTCAATTCAATTTTCTATATTTATTTATTTTTTTAATTTAATTTAATTCTACTGATGAGCCAATAAAAAATTTGAATTCAATTTTTTCAATTGGCAAAAAATATCTATATTTTTCTCCAAAAGCAATTTTTGACCTGATCTTTAATGTCACTTTCGCTTTAAGTTGCCGTCAGACCAAAAATAGGCTTATATCGAGGTCAAAAGCTTCGTAATTTTAAATCTGGAAACACAAGATTTGCACAAGAGAAATGAAAGAAATTTTTCCGTGGAAAAATCGAATGAAAAGACAAAAAGAATTCTTTCGCGGGAGAATTTTAAGAAACAGAATAAAATTTTACAGTGGAAAATTATTTTGAGAACGTCTGGAAAAATTTTTTTTAAGAAGAAAATTAAATGTCGAGAAATTTATCCAGATATGAAAAAATAATTGAATTATTTCGAAGATATTTATTAAAAATTTTGTAAATAATTGAATTCCTGCGAAATTTTGCCAAGAATTTTATTAAAATTTTTAGAAATAATTGAATTTTGGAGAAGAATTTTATTATTTATTTAAAGATACTTGAAATTTTGACAAGAATTTTTTTTTATTTTTGAACGTAATTGAAATTCTGCGAAGAATTTTTATAACTTTTGAAAATAATTGAATTTCTGGAATCATTTCTCATGAATTTTAAAAATTCAATTTTTCCAGTACTTTTAATAAAGTCATTGCTTTTTGGGTTTGAAATAATTTTAATAAATTTAAACTCTTTATAAAGTCAGGAGAATTTCGAAAGACGTGATTTTTTTTGAAAAGAGATTAATTTTAGTAGAATAAAAATGGAAAATTCATTTTTTTTAATACCTGGTGCAAAGCCCTCACGACTTCAAGTCCAGGGATTCCCGGGGATGACAGAGTAAGCTGCAACCCCTGGTGAGCCAAACGACCAGCTTCCGCTTCCATACCTCCCCGCCCAATGTTTCTGACCAACTTTTAATTCCACCACAGATCATGCCGAATTATAATTCTTGATTCCTTGTTTTTGCTGTTTATTTCGTATCCTTTTTTATCCTTTTTTCCCTTCTTTTTCTCACTGTTTTTTACTGCACTTTAAAAAAATACATTTCCGCTAATACACCGAGTCACTAAAAAAAATAAATTCACTTTAATTATCAAAGTTTATGATTATTTCTTTATAACATATGTAAAAGTTGGCACTTGCACGTCCTTCCACGGGAGTTAGAAATAAACATTGATTTTAGTAAATTCAGTTTCGAGTTCTATATATGGATGGAGATTTAATTGCAACTTTGGAACTTGGAAGTAAATCTAATTCACCAAACGCTCTTGTTCGATCAGCTGATTTGTTATATACTCCACAATGTTTTCCACAGCCATAAAACTCGATATAAATTCATGAAGAAACCCCCCGGAAACTTTTAGGATCAATAATATCCACAATTTAAATATCTTTTCAATTTACTTTCAGCTGGAATGTAGAAAAAAAATTAATGACACAAAGAATCAATATTGTAGCAATAAAAACTCTAATGAAAATTGTCAATGCTAGCAATTGAAAATATAATAGTCAGAAATAATAATAATCAGAAAAAGATATTTTCGGTCTATTAACATTATAAACTAATTTCTAATTATAATTTTTTCCTATTTCGGAAAAATTTTTCCTTAGTTCGAAATACTTGGAATTTGTAATTTTTGGTTTTTAAATAAAAAATCCGCGATTCAATCACAGAATCTATATGGTAATCTAAGAGGATTGATTTTCACATGCATGAGAGAATCTCGAATGATGCATGATAAACAGTTTCTGTCAAGTCAGTAATCACTTTTTAAAAAAAATAATCAAAGACTGTTCGAAAAAAAAGAATCTATTTTACGCAAAATGTGTATAAATCCAAATAAAGTTTTATTGTAAACTTAAGCTTTTAATAAAAAAAAAGGAATTACGTATTTATGTTTTCAGAAAAAAAACACAAGGCAATTTAATCTTTAGAAATAAAAAAAGCAATATAGCGTTTATTCATTTTGCGGAGGCTGTGAGAAAAACAGAAAACCATAAAAGATCACCAGGAAGTGAAACAATGGAAGTTCTTTGAAAGGAGACTTGAGATAAATTGAACTCGACATCATAATGGACAATAAGAAATATATAAAAAAAGTAAAATCTACTCAATCTACTAATATTGACTAAAATCCAAAAAACTAAAAAATGACACCTGGGTACACTGAGTAAAAAAGGACGAGCGAGGGCCGATTCACTTTTTTAAAAAACATTTTCACTTTAACACTTACTCTTTAAACACACAATTTTCAGCAATTTTCCCCCGCGATGATGACTGATGGTCATTGGGAGAAAAATTGATCAATATGGAATCGTCACTTGAATGGTCCGATTCGAAGGATCAATTTTCTCAAACAAAACGAAAGAAAAATGAATAGACTGTTTTCATTTCATTTTACTATTGCGTTGCTTTCGTTTCGTTATAGAATTATCTCCCCGTTTGTTTGTTGAATCCCCGGGACTGTTTTTTTTCCCGTTTGCACCACTCCTCACTTTCACATTTTTTTTTCCCCCTTTTTTTCTATTTTACACACTCTGTTTTAACACAATAGTTTTGACTTGAATGAATAAGAGCCTCATCACTATGTTAATAATGGAGAAAAAAAACCAATAATGCAAGTGATTTTCGCGAATCAGGAGCAAGGTTTTTCTCGCGACTGTCAACAACGAGAGCTGTCACTTGCCCTTTAAAATGCATTTGATGCAGGAATATTGCAGACGACGAACGGCGCACATAAATGCACACTTACACCAATAAAACCAATTATAACAGGCTTGCCAATATTATTTATTGACAAAAGTTCAGTTACCACTAGAATATAGGGGATTTCTTCTTCTTTCACCCCCCAGTACTACTGATTTTGAATTTCCGCGCGAAAATTACAAATAATTTATCAAATATAGAAAAAAAGAAAATTGCAAAAAGAAAAATAAATAAAATTGCAAATCTTGTAAATAAATAAATAAAAAATTAACTAGAGAATTATTTCGATTGAAAAAACAATAATTACTGTAATAATTGCCTTTATTTAGAATGTTTTTCGCTCGTTCAAAAATTGATTTTTTCTTCTTACATTTTTAGAACAAAAAATCTGGAAACAAATCCATAATTACAATATACATAGAAAATATCTAAAAGTACAGTTTTAAAATTCTAATCGTACAAAATAATGTGATTTTATTTTCTAACAAAAAAAAAACGAAAAAAAAATTTAATGATAAATTTACAACTGTCAAAAAGAACTTTCCCTAGAACTGATGGATATTTCTTCTGTACATTTTTCTCCACAAACTTTTACACGATTTTCTCCTATATAAAAATATAAAAAAAAGAGATGAAGTCTAACAAAGTGATTCGAAGATCGTCAACAAATAATTGTACGATATTAAAACCATACTTAGGATCATTACATAACTTATTAAAAATTCTAATTATTACACAACTTAATTAAAGATTCAAATTATGATTACACAACTTAATCTAGATTCAAAGTAAACAATATTTTAATAATATGTAAGAGACTTTTTTGTTACTTGTTTTTTTTTTCTTCTTTTTTTAATACAAATACTAAACCAGAAAAATTGCCTAGCTTTTTTCTTATTTGTCTTTAGAAACATTTCTTTTTTTTTAGTTTCAAAGGAAAACAAATTTCTACTTATTCTACTTTTTTTGTCTCCATATTTTTAAATTGATCATTGTTTTTTGTTTTTTCTTTTTCCTTCCTTTTTTTGAAATTTTGTTTAAAATAAATTAGAATAGACGATTTACTAGCATTATTAATGCTATTCGGAAATAATTCGTCATAAACTGAAATAGTTAAATTTTTATATAATTTTTAAAAAAGGAAAATATTTTGTCGTTCATTTTTTTGTTTTCTTCTCTAGGTTTAGTGTACTACTTCGGCGGCGTAAATATTTATAATTGGTCGAAGCTCCTGCTGTGTATAATCTTCTGGTAATGGTAGTTGTGAAATTAAATGTACCAAAACTTTTCCTGTTAATTTACTATCGTTTGATTGTAACATCAATAAACTTCTGGCCAATTGAAGAGTTCTTTTCGCTATCTCTGCTTGGCACAGTCTGAGGAACGAAAAATTTATTCTTTAAATTTGAAAATTAAAAAAGATTAATAAAAAAGAAGATTAAGAAAAAATAATAGCAATAAAAAATAATAGTAATAAAAAAAAATTGTAATAAAAAATAATAGTAGTAATAAAAAATAATTGTAATAAAAAAATATTAATAAAAAATAATAAAAATAACAATAAAATAAAATTACAGTAGTAAATAAAATAAAAGTAATAAATAAAATTAAAATAATAAATAATATTAAAATAGGAAAACTTAAAATAAACAAAATATTGGTTAGTAAATTCATAAATATAGAAAAATATCGAAATTGTTTCTAAAATGAAAAATAAATGTTTGCACACCTGTGTTTTGCGGTGGGACATGGAAATAAACTAATTTTTGCACAGAGAGAAGTCAACTGCGGCTGAAGAAGTTCCAGTTTATAACCAATTTCGTTACAATCTGGTGTTTGCAAAAGAATGTTTATTTCATTAGTAACTTCAATGTAGTCCCATAAAAGTTGACCTTGATGTGCCCAACCGCTGATAATATTATTACATTCCTCTTGAATCAAGGGTGTCAAAAGTGATTTAAGATAGTCATAATTTTCTGCAAAAAAATAAAATAGTTACAACAATTTTTTTTAAAAAGAAAAAGTATCAAAGAATTAAATTAAAATTTAAAGTCAATTGTAAAGTTCAAAAACTAAAGAATAAACAAAAGTTTTTCTATAAAGAATACTTACTTTTAAAGGCGAAAAATTTTTTTAATTATATCCTTAAATTAATTAATTACTTAGTAATTTATTATTAAACACTAGATACGAGATTATGATTATTAAATTAGGATTAAATTATTTTTTTCAAAATCTTCAGTTGAAATGAAAAAAGAAATTACCATTTATAATTGCATCGGCTGCAAGATGTTCAATTATAATTTCATGTGCTTTATTCCATTGCTCAGCTTGAGTTAAATACCAAGCAGCTTCTCCATATCTGTAAAAAGAATAATTAATTAATTAAAATAATTTTCTATTACTAAATTAATTATTAAAAATTAAAGTAATTCATTTTTCTCTCAATTATTTTACCTAAAAATACTTACAAAAAACAAACGAGAAACTAGAATATTAATTTTGTATACAACAAAATTTTTTCTTTTTTTCAAATATTGAAAAAAAGATTTAATTTTTTTCAAAGTATTGACAATCACTACGTACAAATGTTGAATTTTTCTAAGAAAAAGATAAGTCAATATAAACAATATTATTTTAAAAATAAATCAATAAAAAAGTGTTTTTCAAATGCGTTATTTTACCTGTTTGTCTTTCTAAACAAAGGGGTAAAATAAAGTAAATAAATAAACAAAAGAATAAATAAATTAAAAGTAATAATAGATAAATAAACAAAAAATAATAATAGATGAATAAACAAAAAATAAAAATAGATAAATAGAGAAAAAATAAAAATAAAACAAAGAATAGAAAATAAAAATAAAATAAATAAAGAAATGAATAAATAATAAATAATTTTGAAAAAAACTTTCCATGGGGATAAAAACTAAAAATTGTCGAATTTTGTTCCACTTACCTATATTTTTTTTCTCAAAACTCAAAAAATTTGTGCCAGCACAAAAACACTTTAAAAAAATTGTCTAGTCAACAATTTAAAAATTGCGCAAACAGTTTAGTTTGTAATTTATTTTAACGTTAAATAAAAATAATATTTATCAATATTTGTCAATTAAAATATATTAAATAAAAATATATCAAAAAATGGAAAAACAAAATTGTGCCAGCACATAACCAAACGCAAAAAAACCCGATAAACAATTTTGAAAAAACCACTCCCACTCTGGTAATTTTTATAAATGAAAATTTATACAAAAAAGATAATTTTCGCTAATTCCTCAGAGGGGAGAGTTGGCTAATTTAATAAACGATCGTTTGCTTAGAATTCAAAATTTCTATTTACTTTTCGTTCAATGATTTGCGAAAATTTTCCTTTGAAATTATTGAATTTACGTATTTTTTTAAATGAAAATATATAAATAAAAAAATAAATACCGTTTAGAAGCGCAAGCCTTGACCGCTTTCGCCTGATTGATCCAGATGGAAGGTATTCCAAGTTCCTCGGACAAGAAATTCTCTCGTTTAACATAATCCTCATTCTCGTCCAATTCCACGTGTCTCGCCAATAAATCCAAAACAGCACTCTTCCTCCTCCCCGAATCTTGTAGATGCAAAACGACAAAAATAGCCCAATGCCACAAATCATAAGTTTCCAATTGTGCAGCAAAATTAGCATGAGTGAGCGCCGTCACGTAATCCGATAAATGCGTGTAACCCAATCCAACCAACATCTGTTGCATCAACCAACAAAGTCGATAATCCAATGGATCTGCCGTATGTGTCAATGGATTCAACACCTCCTCCAACGGATGATTACCAGTACAATAAAGTTTCATCAAATGAAAGCACAAATCGTATATTGTTTTTCCACTCTTCAGTTCCATTTCATAATCGTCTAGAGAATAATCCGGTCGTGGCTCAGCGGCATAAACTTCCGATGGTTTCGTATTAAAAGCATTCTCATAGAGTTCCAAAGCGTCAGTAATTGAAGCTGTCGGCTGCGAGAGATACCACAAATGTAGTGCCAACGCTCTCTTCCAGTCAAGATTCTCACAAACGTTGATCGTCCCCTGTTTACTGCAAATCAACGGCTCGCCCGCGATCAGCATGAACAATTTCAGTCGATAAATCGACAAATCACCATCAACGTCCGTCTCTTGCCACAAAGCGAGTTGCTGTCTTATCAATTCCCTCACTGCCGTCGTGCCTCCCAATTGTGACATCAACAAAGCCAGACAATGATCTCCGACCACTTTTCTAGCCAGGAAACAAGCGTCTTCCAATTTATTCGCCGAGAGCAGCTCGAACATTATATTATCCTCGGAGACAATGTCATTAAGTCTCGCTTTCACCGGCTTCTCCACCACCGACTGCAACCACTCACTGAAAGCCTCCTTCCGCACCATCACACTCTTATGTCCCTCCTTGTCATCAAATTTATAATCAATATCCGGCAGATTTCCCCAAAGAGCGACGCACAATCGCCAAACATCGCTGGCATATTTCGCCATTTTGTCAATCTCCACCTGACACTCCAAAGTCCCATCGATCTGATTCGCAAATTCCTGCGCCAACTTGCAGTGTGCTTGCAGGGCCGAAACTCCCGAAGTTCCCGTCGCCGCTCCAATCGCCGGACAATCGCCCTCCTGACCCATAATGCAATGCTCCAGTTGAACTCTCAAATGTCCCTGAATACTGTCCTTGAACGAAAGCAAATAACTCGGTTCCGCTCCAGTGCCTCCAAGAATTTGCAACCTCTGCACAATACTCGTCGACGTCATGTCGTACATAAAACGCCCGGACAAGTACGAACCCAACTGACTCACACAATTCCTCAAAGGCACCTTCGAAGCCTGCTCCTGCGTACTCAGCGAAATTAACGTCAGTCCCGGACCCCAGCTCGCCTTGAACTTCCTCCCAAAGACAATCCCCTGATCCGCAATGCAACCTGCATGTAAACGATCAATCACCGAGTCTTTCAGTGGCACCACCTCCGTTCTCGACTTCAAAATCACCGTCTTCGGCCTCACCACAGGCAGCGGTAGAACCTTACTAAAAATCGGCTTCGCCACCGGTATCTCCTCCACCTGTTTCTTCACATCCTTCAAATGATCCTCAATCGTCTCCATAGCAAAAGAACCCTGAAGTGCCAAGTTCGATCTCAACACCGGTATTTGCTCCATCACTGTCGCATGATAGTCAATTGTCAATTTCTCCCGATTTTCCCCCTCATCAAACATCTCATCATTCGTCTCGAATAAATCCGCCTTCATCAACTGCAATTTATGACTATCAGTTCCAATAATCCTAGCGTACATCGAAGTCGGACTCAAGGCCGACTGCGTCTTCTCAAATCGACACGTCTCCTTCCCTTGATAAAACTCCATCGGTAAATATTCACCCCTCAAACCGTTAGTATTCAATAAATCCTTCTTCAACAAATCCTCTTCCAAACTCTCACTTTTCTCCTGTGATTTTCTCCGTGGTTTCATCTTCAGTTTCTTAGCCTCCGAATTCTGGACTTCTTCATCATCATCATCCGAATCGCTCAAGCCGTACTTGGAAAAATGATCAACCTTGAACACCCAACTTCCGGTCTCGGGTCTGTATTCCAAAAATCGTGTATCGTGCTTAGCGGAAACTCTCCTGAGCTTTCCTTCGTAATTCATCTCCTGTAGACGATGTGGATCTGTAATAGGCTCGTGGCGCGTTTTATCGTGCGGCCAGACTCGATCCAATGTCACCTGCGCTTTTCGATTTAAATCCTGTCCTATAGCCGGTTTTTTGTCATCGTCCGGATAGATGATCACCTCCTTGTGTCGAAAGTGAACAATCTCGTCTAAATTGAGACCGAAAATATCGAACGACTCAGGAAAGTAGACATTTCCGTAACCCTTCCGTCCGACGGTGAAATTCGGCACTATACAAGTTTCGCCACAGACATAATCGTCCAGTTTGTCCAAAGGTGGAATTGTGTAATAACCGACACGTTGTAGCTTCACCTGGCACAATCGGGTAATCTCCACTTGTCCCGTAAGCGGAGTGTCGTCCAATTCCCGCTCCGACTCCGAATCACGTTCCACTGACTCGATACTCTTCTCCTGTAGAGAAACGTTAAGGGGCGAATTTTTCATAAAGAGGGAAACGAACTGTTTGTTCTGCGAACTGGATCTTAGTTCAACAACCGTGTTGTCGAGCGTCTCTTCCTGAATATCCGTCCCACGGAAAGGCGACTGTGGAACATCTAAATCATCCTCAGTCTTCTTTCTCGGAATCGTTGACTTTAGCCAAGAAGTCGACGAACGACGATCGGACGATAATCGCCGATTCCCACCACTCTGATTTTCATTCTCCTTATTCGGTAATTCGATCTGTGGACTATCGCCATTTCTTGGACTTGCCAAATTCTCCGCCGTACCATTCAAACTATTCTCCTCTACCTGTGTGACAATTGTCGACTTTGGTCTCAGCACCAAACGTTTTGCGTTCGGTCGTGGTTGAAAAGCCTCGAGTAGTGATGGATCCTCCTCCTCGAGTCCTTCGAATAGGGATTTTTTCGATAAATGCCCAGCAGTGACGACTTTTGCTTTTATTTTCGGCGAACTATTCGTGGCGGTGACTTTATACTGGGGGCTATTTAGTGTTCGATTCAATTGATTCGGTGGTTTGATGAGTTCTTCGGCTTTACCCGAAGCTGGTAGAAGATTCTTCAACAGTGGTGAGTCGCCAAATGGCGCTGAAACTAGTGCCAAAATTTGCTGATGAACCGGCACTGAGCCATTCGTTGGGGGATTTTGATTTGTACCGAGGCCCAAGAGACCGGTGCCAAATTGTCCCATTGTCGATGCGCCGGCACCAAAACCGGTCGAAGCGCCAAAAGCGCCGGTGTTATTAAAGCCGGTTGTTCCCGTTGTTCCAAATAAACCGCCCGGTTTCTGTTGATTGAATAGTGATGTACCACCTCCGAGATTAAGGGTACTTGTTGTACCGAGTGCGTTCGTTGTTCCTGTATTACTGAAACTGAAACCCGTTGTTTGTCCCGCTGGTTTGAAGGAATTATTGAAAAGTGTTGTATTTGTATTCGGCTGATTTCCAAAGCCGAGTGTTTGTCCGAATGCGGGCGCTGTTGTTGCGCCAAACGCTGGCGTTGCACCGAAACCAGTTGTTCCCGCAGGTTTTGCGCCAAATAAACTTGTACCAGTGTTTGTTGTTGTCGGTTGACCGAAACCACCAAAACCAGTGCTTGCTGTTGATGCTGGCATTGTGAAAGCGGATTTATTTTGATTAAAGAGTCCGATACTTTGATTTGGTTGTGCTGCGCCAAATGATCCAAAGCCGGTTGTTGTTGTTCCAAAACCAGTGGCTGTTGGAGCTGTTGTTGCTGTGGAGAATAATGTTGCCGGAGCTGCAGCGCCGAATGGTTTTGGCTGTGCATTCGTGTTGAAGAGATTTGTCGATGGTGCTGCATTAAAGGCGAATGCACTTGTTGTCGTGGCTGGTGCACCGAAACCAGTGATTGGCTTATTGAAAAGATTTGTTCCACCCGATTGACTCGTTGCACCAAAACCACCGCCAATACCGCCGAAAGTCGATGACGATGTACTTGCCACTGGATTTGCATTTCCAAATGGTGATGTCTGTGCAGCTGCACCGAAAAGTCCCGTTGTTTGAGCTGTTGAATTAATTCAATTTTAAAAAATTGGAACTTTATCGATATATTTAATCTTAAACTTATTGCAGGGATCACAATATCTTTTTTTCTTGAAATTGGTGAATTATTTTCGAAAAATAGGTGACAAGAAAAATTATAATTATAATTACTAAAATTATAAATTTTTTAACGAAATTATTATTTTCGAACGTTTTAATCAAAATTCATCGAAAAAATTAAATTATTTTCCAAAATTTTGATCAAATCCTTAGAAAGAATTAAATTATTTTCATCGATGTCAAAACTACTCGGAGGAAATTCAATTATTTTCAAAAATTTAAATAACATTCTTGACAAGAATTCAATTATCTTCATAAATAACAACAATCTTCACAAAAATTCAATTATTTTCAAAAATTTTAATAAAATTGTTTGCAAAAATTCAATTATTTTCAAAAATTTCTCCAAAGAATTCAAATATTTTTAATGCAATTTTATTTAAATTTATTCATAATAATATTTTAATCAGTAATTCAATTATTTTTAATACATTTAATACAATTCTTGACAAGAATTTAATTATTTTCAATAAAATTTATTTAAGGATTTCAATTATTCTCACAGATATCAAAATTACTGGAAAGAATTCAATTATTTTAAAAAGTTTTAATAACGTTTTTGAGAAGAATTCAATTATCTTCGTAAATAACAAAAATTTTAACAAAATTCTTGTCTAAAATTCAATTATTTTCAAGAATAATAAAATTCTTATCAGGAATTCAATTATTTTCAATAAAATTTCTCAAAAGAATTCAATTGTTTTCATAAATTATAAATTCTTTAAAAAAGTCAATTATCTTTGTAAATAATAAAAATTTTAATAAAATTCTTGTCGAAAATTCAATTATTTTCAAGAATAATAAAATTTTTAACAGGAATTCAATTATTTTCATAAAAACATAAATAATATCATTTCTTGCAGTAAGTAATTCAATTATATTTAATAAAATTTCTCTTAAGAATTCAATTGTTTTCATAAATAATAAAATTCTTGATAAGAATTCAATTTTAGTTGAATTCGTCGAAAGAATTTAATTATTATCAGAAATTTTATTAAAATTCTAAGCAATCATTAAATTATTTCAGATTCAAAATAATATTATAATTCATTCGTTTGTTACTCTTCATGAAATGTAATTATTTATCAATTATTAAATTTTAATTTCTTGAAAATTCAATATTTTTAATTCTTTAATGAAATTCTTATACAAGTTTTAAGTATGTTTAATTCAATTCCACAAAATTGCAACTAATTTGATAATTCTCTAGTAAAATTTTTTTAAAAATTTAATTATTATTAAAAAATAGAATGGAATAATTTAAAAAATTATATTTATGAAAAATCTAATTTTTCAGTATTAACTTTTCCCTAATTTCCCTGACCTGTGGCAATCCTTTTATTATATAATAAAAATTGTTACCAAAAATATGGGCTAAATAATAAGTTGATCCAATTTTTTGGTATAATTTGATACCATCAACAAAATTTTATTAAAAAGAATTATATTTAACAGAAGTTTTATTAAATAAAATCTTTTTTAATAAAATTTGTTTGATAAGTCTTATGAAATAGAATTTTTTAAAGGAATTATTTTTTAAAAGAACTTTTATAACATAAAATTTTTATTTAGCAGATATGTTTTTGTAATTTTCTTCCCGATAATTATTTTAATTTCTTCCCAATAGTTGGGAAAATTGAAATTAAAGTGGAACTGAAAGTTAAAATAAATTATCTTTCATGACTTATTGATCTCTTTCGTTAAGCAAATCAATAAATCAATGTTAAAATTAGTAATAAATAAAAAAAACAAATACCTTGTGCTCCACCTTTTCTGCCCACGGTATAATCCTCAAATCTCAATTCCTCTAATGATTTCGTCTCATACTCCTTCATGCAAGTAATACAATGATGTTTTGTCTGAATAGTTTGTGGCACTCCATTTTTCATCATTGAATCAGTTCCGGTGAATGGAGTAAATTTAATATAGGTTCCAACCATATTTCCGGCTGTTGCTGTTGATCCAAAACCACCAGCATTACCAAACAGACTCGTATTTGCCGCGGTGTTTGTCTGGCCAAATGGCGTTGTTTGTTGTGCTTGTCCAAAAAGATTTGTCGATGGTGTTGCGCCAAAACCAAAACCAGCCGGTTTATTTGCCTGGCCAAATGGCGTTGTTTGCTGTGGTGTTTGTTGCGGTTGTCCAAATAATGTTGTATTTGTTGTTGCTCCAAATCCAAAACCAGATGGTTTATTCGCCTGGCCAAATGCGAGTGTTGATGTTGTGCCAAATAAATTTGTACTCACCGCCGGTTGTGCACCAAATAAATTTGCATTTGTATTTGTATTGCCAAATGCGCCAAATGACGATTGTGTTGTTGCTGGTTGTCCAAAAGCGGAAACATTACCACCTGTTGTATTGCCAAATAATGTCGCCGGTTGTGTACCAGCTGGTTTTGTATTAAAGAGCGATGTGTTTGCACCAAAAACTGGTGCTGCACTCGTTCCAAAGCTCGATTGACCAAACATTTTTCAATTTTCTGAAAATAAAAAATATTATTCCAACTTTTTTTTATCAGGTTTGTTTATTAAAACGTCCGTTATTAAAAACAGTAAACAAAAATAAAAAAAGTCCATTAAATCATCACTAAACAAATAATATTGAACATAACAAACATTGATTCATTATATCAATAAAATATGAACTACTTTCGAATATAAAAATACAATTAAACAATCTTGCGCAATTTTGAAAATTTTCGACAATTGAACATAACCTCAAAAAAATTTATTCACGCAAAAAATGACATTTCTCTAGATTAAAAGTAAACTGGATTAGAAAAATAAGTAACTAGAGACAATAAATACTTAGCAATACTGTAGAAATATAGGCAAATTCATCGAAATATTGTTAAAATAATAGAAAATAGATTCATTTTGAACGTTGTCGCGTGAAACATTTGAGAAGGGAAAATTATACAAAAGTTTGTACTTACAAAAATTTACAAATTTTGGATGTAAAATAAATGAGGCCCTAGGCCACGCGCCTTCTGAAGAAAGTTATTATTCTTTAAAATTCTGTTTAATTATTATTATAATGAGTAAAACGGAAAAATTTTGTTCAAAATTAAATCCTGAGAACTTCTTTACAAGCACTAGCCACTAGTGCGCACTTGCGCGCTTAAATGGCATTACAATGCTCACTAAAGATGTCGCTGACGATTTGGCGCTAAAATTCAAAAAATTCAAAATTTATTAATGTTAAATAATCTAAACAAATAAGAAATATTTATTTTCTTTAAATCACGAAGGAAATTTGTTTTGGAATCAAATTTATATTACGTAAAACACAAAATTCTTTATTTTCAAATATCAACTTTGCAAAAATTGGAATATTTTTATGAATATTTTCTTAAATGAAAATTCAATAATTTTCATAAATAACTATAATCTTTGTAGAAAAAAATTTCTTTACAAAATTATTCTCACAAATTCAATTATAACATAAGTAATAAATTTTATAGCAGAAATTTAATTATTTTCAAAAATTTTAATAAAATTTTTTTTATGTAAAAATTCAATTATTTTTATAAATAATAATATTCTTCGGAGGAATTAAATGATTTTCAATACAATTTTAATTATATAATTATTAATTAATGTAGTTGTCATGACAAAAAATTAAAAAATTATCTATATTCAAAAATTTTTGATTAAATTCTTCGCAAAAAGAAGCAAAAAACATGTCAATCAAAGTCTAAAAAATTATTTATTTTAATAATACCCATTATTAACATTTCTTTTACTAAAAATATTTATAGCTACTGATGTTTTGTATTTTTGTCTTTCTTTGCTTTTATAAATTACTTATTAAAATTAAGTTACGACAATATAAAATTGTAGCATTAATTGAAAAAAAAACTTCTATTCTAATTTATTAACTTAATAATTTCATTCTTGACTATTTTAACATAATATTTAATATACGAGAAATATTAAAACAAAACTTTTTATAAAGTTCCAAAAACATTTTTAAAAAAAGTCCCAAAGAAATGATCAAATTAAAAATTTTCATAAATTGCTAATTGCAATGAAAATTGAAAACTTAATTACTTTTAGAAAAAATTTTTTTTACACTGATACTGAAAATTATTTTTATTAAAAATTAAATTTGAAGAAATAAATAAATATTTGAAAGTTCAGATGTTTAGAACTATTCCAAAAAAATTGATCTTCTGTAAAAAAAAGTAAATAAAAAAGTCAATGGATTAAAAATTTGAAATTGAAAAAAATATAAATATTATAAAAAATGGTTTAAAATTGTAAAAGAAAATTAAAAATAGATTAGGCACGTTGAAAAAATTTTCGTAAAGATGTTCCCATGTTAGTTAAAAAATTACTGATTTTCGTAAATGATAAAATACGTCTTCGTCTCTGTTGTTGTTGTTGTTGACGCGTTAAACTACTACCGGAATAAATATTATATTTTTTCGCACAAAATTTTGTCTCTAAATTTTCCTCACTATTGACACTAAAAGTTTTTGACGTTTCAATCATTAAAGAATCCTCTTCATCCATATGACTGTTGAATGCCTCATTTGAATAACCAGTTGACGATTGATTTTCCTCAACAGTTGAAAGTGAATTTTTTCTCACATTCTCATTTGATTCCTTATTATTCACTTGTCTTGATTTTAAACCCTCCATCCAAATTTTTATTTTCTCGTTCATTGTCATATCGTCTGTATTTGTTGTTGTTGTTTTTAATTTCTTACAGGGAAAAAGACAATTTAATGGTCCCTCTGATGAAGCATCGGTTTCATCACGATTCAAATAGATTATTTTCCTCTTTTCCGATTCAATTAATTCACTATTTTGTTCCACTGTTCGTTTACGTTTATAACGTCTGGTGAATATATTCTCGGAGGGAAATTGATTTTTATCACGTAACGGTATACGGGAACTGCTGTCCTTTCTTAATGTTTGTCGACAATCGAGATATTTTTTAACCGATTCCTGCAATGATATTATCCACGCTTCACTGTCACCATTTTCTGAATATAAAAATAATGTCTCTTGCATGCAGACAATGCGAAATAGTCCATTACTTAATACACGTTCGACTTTACATTTATTTAGTGGTAGGAGACAACAGACTGTTAGCGTTGCTTCGGGATCGCCTTTACAATACAATAAAGTATCGCTGAGAAGAACAAAATGTCGTTTAAATGATGAATTCCCCTTTTTCGATACTTTCATCAATGGTCCTTGTCTTATTAGCTTTCTTCCCGGTTTTACTAAATTTACCGAGCCGGTGATGTGTTTTTGTAATTCGAGTAATTTTTGCGTATCCTCGTATTCCTCGACTAGGGAATTAATATGTGATGCGACATTTTCAATTTGTGCCAACGATGCTTGAAGAATGTTGTAATTTTTCTCCTTTGGTGCCGTGTGTCGGAGAACTTCTTTCAAAAGTAGTTTATAACGTGGTACACGTTGAATTGGTGTTATTAAAAGTGATGATAATTTATTTGCAACTTCGGGTCTTGTTTCTTGACTGGCAATAAATTCCGAAGTCTTAACATCTGTCTCCTGTATTTCCTGAAGTAATTCTAATGCTCTTTTGTAATTATAAGCGTAAACAGAGTATAATTTGAAGAATGGTGCTAATTTACAAAATGCCGAGGCAACATTCTCGGGATCTTGCTTTAATTCCTTTAATAATTCGGCATTCACGTTGTATAATGTTTCAATATTTTCAAATAATGTTGTATATGATGAATAAGACAGTAATTGTCTTTGATAAATTGGATGCATGAAATATTCCATTATTATTTCTAAATTACGTAAATATTTTACCTCTGATGTGAGAATTTCTTGTATTGCCTGTGAACGGAGACTCTCACGTTTTCGATTTATTGTTTGATTTTGCATTTCGTCGAGGGCACTGAGAACCTTCATTCGTGTTCTTGTTGTTAAAATATTTCGTTTATTGATAACATCCCTGAGTTCGGCACTTAAACTCGAATTTGGAGTTCTTGGTGATGAATACATTTTTTTCTCTGCTGAAAAGACAAAAAAAGATTAATGAAATTATTTTCAATTCAATTTTACAGCACCAAATTTTATTTTTCGCATTATAAAAATTAAAATAACTTGCACTTTTTTTTTACTGAAAATTATGGTATTTTGTTGCAATGTTTGGAAGATAAGTCGAAAAAGTCGCAATTTTTGAAAATAACTCGAAAAAAGTCTCAATTTTCTTAATTTTCCTGACAAAAAATTTTTTTTCCTGACTACTGACGAAAAATTTGTTTCTGACTTTACTGACAAAAATCTTGTTTCCCTGACTTTACTGACATGTGGCCACCCTGAATAATTAAGAATAGAAAAAGTAATGATATTCTTTCTTAATTATAAATGTTCTTATGTATAAACAAAAATGATTTATTGGAGAAAAAAAGGAAAATTGGCAAATTATAAACAAAAGTGACATAACCTCAAAATTTCGTTTTCGCTACTTAATTGCAAATAATACTCACTGTTGATTCAATGTTCCTGTTAATTTACAATCAAGAATTGCAAATGATTCATAAGAGTTTACTTTTACACATCTTGAGAAGTTTTTGAAACCTTTTTGTTGCCTTTTTCTTTTAATTTTTACTGTAACTGTCAAAGTTTTATAACTTTTGTGCCCCTGTCGGAGTGTCGGACTAACTGTGTGAATTTAGCCGCACAAATCGTGTTGCACCTGCGAATTATTGCGGCGCTAACTTCACACACTTCCAGATGTAAACAAACATTTTGTAAACAATACTGATAATACTGCAAAGTGGAAAAATCGTTTAAAGTTTTTTTATTTCCTGAAGAGGAAAAACAATCGTTATTTACAAGTATAGAAGAAAAACGCTTTGCGAAAAGTTATATCTTTAATTTAAAAAAAAGTACAATGGATTCAGAATCCTCGGAATTTAAATTCAAATTTGAAGAATTGAAAATAAACAATGAATCCTGGAGTTTTAAACAATTTAAAGAGGTATTTGTTAAGTATTTGTTTAAATTTACGAAATTCTTCTTTATTTTAATAAAGAATTTCTTTATTCGAATTTATTTCTTCGATTTTATATTTGACATTTAATTCTGTTTCATCGTTTTGTGACTTTTCTTTTATTTTTTTTTCTAATTATAATTTAATTCAGATTTTGCATCTAATATTCTTCTCAAATTCTAGATATTCAAGATTAAAATAGTAAAAGAGTCGGAAGATCAAATGAATTTGGAATTTGATTTAATTAATTGTCAAACTTCGTTAGTGAATACAATTCGACGAATTCTTATCAGTGAAGTGGCTTCAATTGCAATTGATAAGATTTTCATTAAGAATTATGACAGTATAATGCAAGAGGAAGTACTCTCACATAGGTAAAAAAAACTACTCAATATATTTATAAAATTAAAATTTATATCGAGTAAAAAATGTAATATTCTTACTGGTTTTAAAAATAATGGTGTGAAAAATTAAAATAGTAAACAATGTTATATTTTACATTATAAATTAAAATTTTTGAAAAGTTTTGACCAGGAAAATTCTTTTCTAATAAAAATGTTTATTTTATCATTCTAGACTAGGTCTTGTGCCACTTTTAGCAGATCCTCGATTATTCGAATATCGGTCCAGAGAAGATGATGCAGACAATACAGTTAGTGATCAAGATACCTTGAGATTTGAATTAAAAGTTTCGTGTACTCTCAATAAACGAGCATCGAAAGAATCTCAATCACTCGATGCAATGTATATTAATCACAAAGGTATTTATATTTATTTATTTCATTAATTTTTTTAATTTAATTTATTTATTTACTTTAAGAATATAAATTTTTCAAAATTGCGAAATTCGTTTAATTAATTTAATTTATTTGATTCATGCAACTAAAAATTTCTTTTTCAGTATACAGCAAAGATATAAAATGGCTTCCTATCGGCAGACAATTGGAAATTTTTCCAAGAGGCGAGGAACAAGTTGGAGTTATTCATAAGGACATTTTGCTAAATAAATTAAATCCTGGTCACGAGATAGACATTATTATGGAGGCTGTGAAAGGAATTGGCAAGGATCACGCAAAATTTTCTCCCGTTTGTATGTTTAGAAGTTTAAAAATATATATATTTTTTTTTCATAAAATAATCAAAGTAATAATAGAAAATTATTATTCACAAAAGAAATGCTTTTTTTTCCTTCAGCAACTGCATTTTATAGACTAATGCAAAAAATCACTTTGCTCACTCCTGTGAAAGGGGAAATGGCTGAGAAACTGAAAAATTGCTTCAGTCCAGGTGTGATTGAAATTGTGAAAAATGAATCAAATGAAACGGAAGCTAAAGTGGTAAATTCTCGTTATGATAGCTGTTCTCGTAATGTTGAACGACATAAGGATTTGAAAGATTGTGTCTTGCTGGATCGTGAACCAAATCATTTTATTTGTAAGTTTTGTAATTTAATTAATTTGCTAATAATACATTTTTAAAATTAATTTAATTACTTGTAAAAATTAATTTAATTACTTTTAAAAATTAATTTAATTAATTTTAAAAAAAAATAATTTATAATTAATAAGTTTTTTTTCATAAATAGTTTTCATTTTTACAGTCACAATTGAATCCGTTGGAGCGCTTCCATCATCTATTTTATTTGTCGAAGCTGTTAAAGTTCTCAAGAAAAAATGCAGGACATTTATCGACGAACTAAATGATATTAAATAAGTATCAATTTTACTTATAAGTAAATTCTTTTAAATCATTTGACACAAAGAATCAAAAATTTCAAATCTTTATCATACCAAAACTTGACTTTACTTTGTTCGCTATTTTTCTTTAATTATTTTTTTCTTTTATTAAATTTATAAATTTCTTTAAAGCTTTTTTTATTTCATTAAACTGCAAGTTGTAAAAATGCACAAAAATATTTTAGACAATTTTAATTGTTAAAGGGTTATGTATTAAATCATTTTGTAAACAAAAAACAAAAGTTTTTCACGGTTAGGTAAATTCTTTATGACGTTTTTGTGATTCTGTCCGATTCTGTCTAGAGAAAATGTTTTTCTTTCAAAATTCGTAGTATTTAATATTAATTTTCATCAAGTTTTTAAATAGTATTTCAATGTTTGTTTTTTTATTTAAAAAATAGAAAAAAATGGATTTTAAAACTTCTTTCGATGAGGAACAATTATACATGTTTGAATTTCTTATTGATCAAATTAATTTAACAAATAATGCGAAAAAATTAATTGGAAAAATACCGATTTGTGTTCGTTTAAAATTTCTAGACTATCCAATAATCACTTTAATTCCAGAAGAAGAGGAATTAATTCCAGAAGGGAAGAAAATTAAGAAAAAAAAGAAATCTTCGCAAAAATTGAAAAATGAAAAATCAATATCCACTGCTGTTAATTTCGATATTGGAAAATCGTGTCTGTTTTCAAAAAATCCGTTTGATTTGATTCAAGCATTACGTTCAGAACCTTTGGAAGTTGGGATTTTTACGATGGAAAAAGAAAGACTATTAGAAGAGGAAAATGACGAAAAAAAAGAATTTCCAATCTGTCAGGCTAAAGTATTATTATCAGGTTGCCTTTGCGATCAAGTGATGATGGCCCTGAATGATAGAAATCATCTTCCTAAACCTTACGTCTTGAAAAATACCTACAATCTCGCTGATGATGAAGGAAATCCTTTTGGAACAATCACTCTATTTTTACGATTATCCTGTTGTGGGAAAACAATCGAAACTCAATTTGCCTTGCAGGAAAATTCCTTTCTTTTCAAAAATACAAAATCTAACAACGAATTTCAATGTTCTAATTTTTCTAAAGTTACTTCAGGATCTAAAGAACAAGAGTTTGCAAAGACGATGGAAAAGTACAAAGGAGGAAAAATTAGTGGACAAAGATCTATTGATCAATTTTCTTCCATCGAAATTGGGGAAGAGAATTCAAAAAGTGGTGACGATAATTCTCGAACTGAATTAAAAGAATTATTCAGAACACAATGCAACGGGTTTAATGAAAAACAAGTTGAATATTGTTCCAATTCTTCGACGAGACAGCAAATTTGTGGCGGAGGTCTTTGTTTGGGAACAAAATTATTGAATGAGGAGATTTCAAAAAATTGTCACGTTGATTGTCCGAAAAGTCCGTTTTCACGATTAAGAGGCGGAGGTTGCTGCGCAAATAACGCAAGTAATTCTTTTATTTAATTAAATCTGCGTAATTTTTTTTCTATAACTAATTAATTGTTGACAAACTCAATTTTTTCCGCTAAATTTATGTTCAAAGGAGAAAAGCAGCAGCGGCAGGGAATGACGAATAATCAAATTAATACAAATTTGTCATGCAAAAAATATCCGGAGGGAAAATCGTCAATGGAAACATTAACATCAGGCGCTTGTAAATCAATTTGGAAAAATAGTATTACCCCGAAGAGAACCGGATGCGGATGTTATGGAAAAGGAAAATTGAATGCAAATGGAACTTGCTCCAAAATGCCGTGTACGGGAGCCGATTGTTTTATCAGAGCCTTTAGAGAAACGCAAGAATTTGTTGATTCACTGGGCAAAATTCCTGGATTAGCAGGTTTGGGACTTATGGATCCTACCGAAAATCCGATTTTCGGAAGACAAGAAGACGACGCTGACACTTGTCAACCAAAGAGTAAAAAATCCTACGATCTCATTCGATCTTCTGATCCCAGAACGTCACTTACTTCAGGTCCTTATACAAAAAACAAAAAGGTAAAATTAAATTGAAATTAAATTAAATTAAAATTTATTAATTTTTTAACTACGCTTTTTATCATTTTCCAGCTTGGAGAAAATAAATCCAAGGACATGATAGAGACGAAACCATTGCCTTTTAATTTAGCGAGAATTCAATCGGAGGAGGCAAGAATTAATAGACAAATTAGGGCTAATCGCAAAGTGAAAAAAAATGATAATGAAAAAAAGAAACTCCAATACACGGCTCCGGAAATAAATGAAGAAGCAAAGAAAATCGAAGGCGGTCCTTGCGGTGATGCCGATTGTAAATCAAGAAGGAAAAAATCTGAAAATCCAGAGAAAAATTCCACACCGAATACTGAAACACCGAAAAATGAAAAAGTTGCTATTAACGAAAATCCAAATGCGACCAAGTCGAAAACTTCCCTTAAAAGTGAACATAAAAATCAAAAAATTAAAAAACGGAAAAAGTCTTCTCTCCAAACACGAAACTCTGGTCAGTATTTTTTTACTCAACAACCTTTTTTTCGTTTCAATAAAATTAAATTAAAGGATGTAATTCTGATTTTTCGAATTCGTTTTTTACAGAAACATCAAACTTACATCCAATAAAAGTGAGTAAAAATCTAATGAAAGAAGTTCGTTCGATACAAGAACGAAATTCGAACGTCTATGGTCATAAAAATTGTCTGGATTTAAAATTACGAGTGCCAAAAAATATGGGCTGGCTGTGGAATTCAAGGAACGTTTCCGGAAGACCTCCGCCACGAATCGGATGGAAACCGGGAGCAATCGATAGATATGTCTACTATCTTATGAAAAAGGCGAAGGAAAAATATCAGGAATCAGAGGAGGAGGATAGACCGCCAACGCCGGTGAAAGTGAGAAAAGTAAACGTGCCAGGACAACCAAGTTTTCAAGCATTCCCCAGACATCATCGACGTGCAAAGAAAGAGGAATCAAAACAAGATATCGAATTACCGCCAACACTTCATATTCATAGGAAAAATGGAACTTACTACATAACAATGTATCCGATTAAAGCACAAAATATCGCTAATCCAGAAGCACAGAAATTGGTGAAACCTCTTCAATTTAAGGTGACGAAAAATAAAAATGACGATAGTTCATCATTATCATCAACCTCAGTTTCCGATATGGAAATTGAATTCTCACCACCGGCAATTGTCGGTCGTCCTTCGGCGAAACCAGAAACGAAAACAGTTGGAACACAATTGAAGCAGCAGGAAATTTTTGACGCTTATAAATCGCCAAATTTACAGACTGTTAAAATTAAAAAGTAAATTTGTTTTCATAACTGAAGGAAAAAGATTTATTTTCTTAAATTAGGAATAATTTACAGAAGAAAAAACTCTAAATTTTAAATAAAACTTTTCGAAGCAATTTCTTTTACAAAATTTTAATCCAATTTCACGAAAAAAGTCAAATATTTCGAAAAATTTGGATAAAGACTAACAGGTTAATAAGAATTCAATTATTTTTAATATAATTTACAATTTCATTGACAAAATTTAATTATTTTCAAGACTTTTGATAAAATTTATTTACAATAATTCAAGTATTTTCAATAATTTTGATAAAAATTTGTTTACAAGAATTCACTTACTTTCAATACATTTTAATTAATTTTCTTGAAACGAATGCATTATTATTTTGAATAATCTTTAAAAAAATCAATTATTTTAAAAAATAAATAAAATTCTTCACAAACAAAGAAATTATTTTCTGAAATTTTAATAAAATTCTTCAACAGGATTCAATTAATTTCAATAATTTTGATAAAATTTGTCTATAAGAATTCAATTATTTTTATAAACAATAAAATTCTTCGAATATATTCAATTATTTTAAAGAATTAAACAAACTCTTATTAGAAAATCAATTAATTTCAGAAATTTTAATAAAATTCATCGAAAGAATTAAATAATTTTGATAATATTTATTTACAAGAATTTAATTATTTTGAATAATTTCGTTAAAATTTGTTTACAAGAATTTATCAATTCATTTCAATTAATTTTCTCGAAACAATTCAATTATTTTGAATAATCTTTAAAAAAATCTTCGCAAGAAATTTGAATGAAATTCATCAAAAGAATTCAATTATTTTTATAAACAATAAAATTTTTCGCAGTCATTTAATTATTTTCATAAACAATAAAATTTCTCGCAGTCATTCAATTATTTTAATCAATTAATACAATTTTTCACAGAAATTCAATTATTTTAAAAAGTTTTCATAAAATTCCCCGAAAAATTCAATTATTTCGAATACAATTTTAATTAAATTCGTCGAAAATCTAAAAAATTTTGCAAATTAATTTTTTAATTCTCCATATATGGAGAATTAAAAAATAAAATAAATTAGACTTTCTAATAAAGTAAATTAAATTATTTATTAATATTACTTACCTGCCGAGTAATAAATAAAAATAAAAAAATAATTTCAAGTTTTCTTGTAAAATAAATTAAAATCGTTAAATTTAATCATAAAATTAAAAGTTGATGATTTAATCTAAAAAAGAACAAATTCTGTTTCAATTTTCCAACAATTTTTTTCACTAAAATATCAATAAATGGTTTTTTAAAAACTGAAAACAATTTGTCTAGGTGGAAAGTTTATTACAAAAAAGACAAATTACGATAAATATACGCAGTAAATATAATAATTATTCTTAAGATTAAATTAAAAAAAGAAATTATATCACACAGTTAAAAATTGGAACTCGTTTTTTTATAAATTACACATGAAAAAAAGTTATATTTGTTAAAACGTTTTTATTTTTTTTCTCGAAAAAATTAAAATAAAAAATTTTATAAGGAGACATATTTATAAATAGATGATTAAATGATTGTTCAGTAAATTAATTATTAGATAATAAATAATTATTTAGATTTTTTGATTAAATAATTATTCACTTAGTCGAATATTAAAAATTTTTGCGATTAACTCCAAAAATTTTTAACAATTTTCCTTGTAAATTTAAATTTTAATTATATATGTAAATTTAATATTAATTTCTCAACGAGTTTTGACTCGACAATTAAAAACCTAACATAATTATCAATATTTAACGCTTTCTTTTTTTAAATCTTACAACTTACAATATAAATAATTTTTAGGATAACAATAAATTTTCTTTTGTCTGTGAGCAAAAATTTTCAATTCAGTGAAACAATAATTTTGAACAATAAAATTATTATTACTATAATTATTGTAAAAGTAACAACAAAAATGCACTTTTAGTTCGATAAAATATAATATTTAGTTAATTCGAAATTATTTACTATATTAATAATTAAATAATTAAATCGAAATAATACACAATTATAGAAAATTAATAAAAATTATTGACAATTTATAAATTAAAAAATGAATAAATTTTGTTTTAAACTTAATTTTCTTAAAATGAGTAAATTTTCTATAAATGAATAAAAATAATTTTTGCTTTACAGATCGACAAAAAACTAAAGACTATCATTTCTCTTGACACAATAAAGAGCATCAAATCATTCTTAAAATTGAATTGTTAGCACTTTCTCACTCTACAGTTTTTTTTATTGCACAATTAATTGCTACGCATCGTATAAAGAATATGCTCTTAAAAATAATTCGCCTAAATTAACAATCACACTTTTTCAGTAAAGTGACTTCTCTCGTTGGCACCACGATTAAATTTTTATAGATAAACAATCGAAAAAAAATTGAATCGCTCATTTTTAATTTTCTTTTTTTTTTTTAATGAACATCATTATTTGAGCCAGCAAAGTTTCCTATTATTAATAACGTTTACAAATATCATCAAGTAACAAAGTATTTAACAACTATATTTTTAACTGTTACGAAAAAATGATCTTTTTTCAATATGACGAGAACTATCATTTTTTTTCTTCTCATTTCGATAATAAAAATTATAAATTTCGCATATTACATATATTTTTTTCATATACGGAAACGCACACTAAAAAATAGATTTCGCAAAATTACAAATATAAAAAGTGATGAAAAAAAGAACATTTTGTGTCTATAACACGTGTGAAAGAGAGAAAGGAAAAATTGTCGATTTTTGAAAATTTGTAAATTCCTAGCAAAAATGTTCAAGCGAAATCAAGGCCTCTGGGATTTAGTATTTTTTTTTCTTTAAGAGGAAACTTGTTTAAACATTCGAATAATCCAAATATTTTTGGCATGCTTTCGCAATTATCGCATTTACATTTTCTTTTTTCTTTTCTTTTCTTTTTTTTTGGCACAAGGTCCATAAAATCGAGAAAGGGACAGAGCGATAGCTTAAAGGATAATTCGGTATCAGAATTATATCTAATTTCTGGGAAAGTCTATCTTTTTGCAGGGCTAAAGCTTTTTTTGCCTTTCGAAAGAGAGCGAAATGTTTTTTTTTGTTTTTATTATATAAATCTGAAAGCTCGAGAGCTTATCGTGGTTTAATATACTTTTTTTTCTCTTTTGTAATTTCATCTGCGATGTGAGACGTGAAATTATACACAAAAGACACCAATTCCAGATCGGTACAGTCTATTTGCCGCCTTTGAAGTCGAATCTTAATTATTTTTTCTTTCTAATTAAGATTAAATTGGGAGACTTCGTTTTAAACCACCACATTATACGATAGAATTTTCAAAACACAACTGGATAATAAGCTCAAGGGCGTGTTCCACTGTGACTCGATTAAAGATCTTTTATTTTCAATTCATTTAATTAATACTATAATTTTTCTACTTTCATTTTAAGCAATTTTGAAAATTTAAAATAACGAATTTTGAAAGAAAATAAAATAAAATCATTAACTATTAAATTATTAATTTAATTAAGTAATCTAGTAATTTCATTAATTCAATAAATAATTCGGTTATTTAATTAATAATTTAAATAATAAATTTTCCATTAATTAAAGTGATTAAAAAAATAAATTAAAAATTAATTATTATGATTATTAGTATAATTAAATTCTTAATTTAAATTTAAATGAAGAAAACTAATAGGAACATTTTATCGTAATCACTTGAAAATCAGGCCTCGGATCGAATTTTATTGAATTGAAGCTAAGTATCATTAATTTAGATTTTCATAATTTCCCTTTGAAGATTTTTCATTAAAAAATATTGGGAAATTAATTATTTGCATAATTTGTAATTAAAATTCTTCAAAATATGATTTTCAAAAAACTTTCAACGAAATACTTGAAAAATTAATTATTTTTCAATAATTAATGAAAAATTTCGAAAGATTCGATTGAAAATTAAAATAAATTGTATTTTATACCAGAAAATTGGTATTTTGTCGCAGTATTTGAAAAAAAGTCGAAGAAAGTCGCTTTTTTTCGAAAATAGTCCTAAAAAGTCATAAAATATCCGAGACCTGGAAAATTCAACACCTAGAAATACAATCGAATACTACTACACAATGAAATTCCTTTAATCGATTGACAATTGAGATTGCGCTTAACAAAAAAATTATAAATATAGGTAGTCGCTTGACAATATACATTATTTAGTTCCTGAACGACTTAGTTTCTTTTGATGCGTGTCTCAGTTCGACTCTTATCAAACGGATTACGAATTTGCACTATTTTTTTTTGTTTTCTTTTTTCTCTTTTGAACAGTTACTTTTTTTGATACAGAAGATTTGAGTATTCTATAAATATATCTATATCTATTTTATTTGATATAATTAAAATTTCCCTTTTTTAAATCTCGACGGAAAGATTTTCACATTTTTTTATATACTTTACATTAAAAAATATTCTTCTCGAATAACATTGTCGAATAAATAAAATTTATTTTTCTACGATAAATATTCATACAGCTCTATTTTTACTTTCAGCTTTTTTTTTTGACATGTACCCATTTTTTCGTCGACAATATTTTTCAAAACAGAGAATATTCTGAACAATGAAAATTTCTTTTCAACCGAAAATTTTCCCTGTTTGGGGTATGTTTTTTAAATAAATATTTTTTGGACTGAATTACTATATTTAGTGAAATATTTTTTCTAGTAGAATTTAATAGTTTTTTTTTTTATTTTAGTTTTAATTTACAGAAAATCCGTTCGATAAGAGACGAAATAAATAGAGCGCTTGGCGCTTTGCTTATATGACAAATATATATATATTTATATAATAGAATAGAAGTGTATAATACAGAACAATAAATCACGGTGATAACTTCGTTTTCTATTATTAAAAACGATTTTTTTAATTTAAATACAATTATCAATAAAAAAAAACGTTCGTTCATCGTTCGATTCAATCGAAGAACGTATATAGGAAAACTTTAAAACCTCATCGAGAACCTACTTTTTCAGTCAGTCAATGAGTCAACGGAATGTTTTTTTGCCCGGGTTTGTCTGAACTATAAAAAATCGTCTAACTATTACAATTTTTGCTTTCAGCTTTGCGAAGCGATTTCCAAAAATTTATTATAGAAAAATGCTTTATTCATTTTATTTCATTCGATAACTCTTCCTTGGGAAATAGAATATAGAAACTGCCTATAAACTTCGGTTTTTCTGTATTCTTTTTCCAGGAGATTTTTTTTTTAAAAAAGAGGAAAGTAAATCACTCTTGCTCTACGCTGATGTCGACAGTTCGGACCCTTGTGGATTCGGTCGGCAATAAATGGAATCGCTCTGGATCGGCGTCGAGCATTATGATGCACATGAAACTTTTCCCGGAAACATGGTCCCGGGGATAGATGGTGACGGGGGCGAATTTGTCGACCGAACCATCGACGTACGAGCAAAGTTTCTTGTACACCTGGGGAAAGTGTCGCCTGAGTGAGACGCCCCGAATTTTCAGCTGCGTTTGAATGTTGTTGAAGCTGATTTCCCTCGATCTTCTTGGAGTATTTTGTCCATTGCTACCAGGCAATGAGGTGAGAACGAGTGTCTCGGGCGACTCGACGACGTCCTTGAGCGTGGAATGCAAGGGCGATGTCTGCTGTCTGTTCTGGGGCGACACGGAAGACGCTGAATTGGGCTGACGACAGGAGGCGTCGAGCCGAATTTTGGCACACCTGGAGACCAATTGTCGTTCCCATTTGACGGCGCCGCTGGTGGGAACCTCGCTGACGACACACACGGCCACGTAGAGGACGAGTCGCGTTTCTGGGTTGAAGGACTTGCAGAGTCTCATGACTTCGGCGTAGAGTTCGGCTCCCATTTCGCTGGGGAGGAGGTCCGACCATCGGACGTAGGTCGGCTCACCGAGGTCGATGAAGCCGTTGTTGATGAACTTCTCGGCGGCCTCGGGACTGGAGAAGAAGCATTTGACGGTGCCGCGACCGTGAGAGGCGTAACCCCGCTTGGCGAGGGCCGAGACGTGCTTCAGGGTGGTGGGGTCCTCCTTGGCTGAGGAGAGGACTTGCTTGCAGAGTGCGCCGGCACGCGAGTGCAGACATGTCTTGCGGTGACGTTGCCAGTGGGCGCGTCTGCACTCGCGGGAGCAGTAGAGACAGGTGCAGTTGTGACAGCTCTTGTAGGTCTTCCGGGCCTCGGCGACGCTCGTCACGTTCGTGCACTTGTTGTTTCGGCAGCGGACTATCTTCTCCAGGGTGCTGAATCCTCCGTTCTCCTGGGAATTGTCGAATGAGACACGACGTTGCCGCAGGTTCGTTGTGGACTTTGAACTGGCTCGTGAGGGCAGCGAGTCGCTACCCTCGCTCTTACGACGCACCAGCTCGCCGATGAAGTAGGAAGCCTGATCCTCCTTGGCTCGAACGTCCAGGACACTTTTAGCGGACTCTGCAGTTTGAAAAGCACTTTGTAAAATCAAATTCAAAAAAATAAAAAATCAAGTCTCATTTGTGATCCATTTTCAATAATAAAAAATCGAGTAATTATTAAAACTATCATTCGGCAAAATTTTATTAATATCAACAGTTTACTAATAAAAAATCCACTTTCTAAAAAATTAAATAAAAAACTAAAAAAAACAGGTTTGCCACAAAAATTAGATTTTTCCCCTGATTTCCTTGATTTTCCTGACCAGTGACAAACCTGAAAAAATAAAAAAACAATTCGAATTATAAATTATTTTACAGAATGATAAATATCTTGATTTTAAAAAATTCACACCGTTTTAAATTATTATTTCAAATATATTTGAAATTTCTGTTCGAATATTTAAAAATTTGAAACACTTTCAATGAACTAAATTTTAGATACAAAAATTGATAAAATGGACCACAATAAGCTCATTGTCAGTGAAAGGTCATTAAAGTTGAAGGTCATCTAAAAATTGCCTTGTTAATTATAAAATTAAAAAAAAACATTACCATATTCTTTTCGGCATCTCTCGAATGTTTTCGATTCTATTTTTAAAATATTCAGGTCAGCTGGTTGAGAACATAATCCTAAATTTTTTAAATGAAAATCACGGGCAAGTGAAATGAGAAATACTGAAAAATAATCAAGAAATGAATCTTTAGATGACCTAAAATCGACCATGTAAAGAGAGAGATAAAAAAAGGAATCAAATGAGTTGATGTTGTGATCGATGATGTTGAGGAAATGATGTGGCGTTCGACAATGTCGGAAGTAGTATTCTTTTTTTTTTTATCGAAAAATGAATGAGAAAAGCGTTTAAATTTCATGATGGCGCATATCGATTTTTTGTCGATGTGAAAAAAAAGCGAGTCAAGTTTCAATTTCTTTTTTTGTGGTAAAAATTTCATCCAGATGAAAATATTGGCGACTCGCTCGTCCTGGGGGGAGGGAATGATTTTTTTTCAGGAGGAATGAACTGAATTTATAAAAAAGACGTCAGAACGAAAACTTACATAGTCCTCCTACCTTGGAGGTCTTGGCGCAGATCACTACAGCTCTTCCCGGCTTTGGCATTCGTCTGATTGACGTTGGTTCGTTGACGAAAGGACGTGGAACTGGAAACGGGTCCAGGTCCAGGGCTTGGGGTTCGCGAAGCGGAAGGCAGACCAAGGAGGGAGTCTAGAACGTCCTCCAAAGTGGTCGAACCGGGACTCGGCTTGTTCCGAAGAAGAGCTGCCGTCGCCATGGCCTCGTCAGTATCACACTGCCCCGATCCTAACGATTTTCAGAGGAGGAAGCCTCATTTTTCAAGTGTGTCAAAATAATGCGGTATGTTTTTGGACAATTCACAACTATTTATAGGATTTCAAGCTCTTCCAAGTCTTTTTTTATTTTTTGTTTTAAATAAAGGACTAGGAGCGCGGGAATATCGTCACCTTTTTCAGAGCAATATCGAACGGCTAAAATACACAACAATATTGCTTCAAAAAAAAAAAAAAAATGAAAAAAAAAATGAAAAAGAATCTGGAAAATAAAAGTTGTCCCACTAATTCAACAAAAAATAAGCATAACAATTTTTTTATCAGGTTCATCTCAACTTGCAGTAGTGCAGGCCTCGGATTGACTTTAAGGAGCGCAAAAAAGTCCCTTTAGTCGATTAAAAATAGAAGAAAGTCCAAGAAATCGTTTATTTACTTCAGTATTGTCACAAAAATTTTTTTTGTTTTTCCCTAATTGTTAAATTCAATTATTCAAAACTTAAATAAATCTGTTAAATAAAATAATATTCAAATACTTATTTGTTTTTCCACCGTGAATAAAATTTTAAAAACTTCAATTTCAAAAACCTTCTGATATTTAATAATTTCTAAAAATTACAACTATAACCGTTCCAAAATTCAAATATTTTCTACAATTTTTAACTAAACTTAATTTCCAAACCAATTATTTTTAATAATTTTCCAAAACTTCTTGAAGAATTCAATTATTTAGATAAAAAATTTAATTTTTTATAATAACACTAACTGTTCATGGTTGTTTTTTATAAAAGTTATTAAGGTGAATTTTTGAAAATATTTAATCGAAAATATTGAAATTAGTTGATTTTTAATAAATTGTAATAAACAAATTCTTAAAATTAATTTTTTAAAAAATATTTTAAAATAATTTTTAAAAGATAGAATTTTACAAAGTTTTAATTATTCAAAATCTTTTTAATTCTATATTTCGAAAATATTATTAAAAAATTATTAAAAAATAATTTTTGAAAGTTTTGTCTATAGTTATTTTTTAGACTATAAAAATCGAAATAAGTTGCATTTTATACTAAAAATGTGGTATTTTGTTGCAATATTTGAAAAAAATTCCAAAAAGTTGCAATTTTTGAAAAGAAGTCGAAAAAGTAACATTTGTTGAAAATATTCGAAAAAAGTTGGAAAAATCCGAATATCCGAGGCCTGAGTATTGCCAAATTTTCTCAATCAATTTAAAAAAAGGCAATACTGCAATTTCTAATAAATACATTTTAGCTCTTCAGTTGACTATTTGAAAAAACAAATTTGTGCACAACTTACATTTCAACCGATTCGGAAATTTGTCATTTTTGATAAAATATAAATATTGAAAATCCACTTCAATTTAGAAAATTTAAAAATAAATACCTTTCCATCGAAAAAATAGAAAAAAAACCACCGGGCACTTGCCCGAATTATATCCACCTTCTCCTCTAAATTTCCAATTCGGTCGAAACATCTTCCAGAGAAAAATTACTACCAAACAGTGCAAAAAGCCTTATACAGAAGTAGAACGGAAAAATGTAATCAGAAAACTGCAAAATAAAAAAGAAAATATTTCAAAATAACGAAAAAAAGCATTTAACAATAACGAAAAATAATATTTACTTACCGTGAGGTAAAAATGAAAAAAAAAGAATTATTTCTAAAATTGGAAAAGAAACTAAGATGATAAAGACAAAGATACAAACAATAATTTATTTTTGTCAAGAAAATACGTTCTACAGAAAAAATGATAATTGCCGATGCTATCCGAACAAATAAAGTACGGAATCTTTTCTATAAATTGGAGCGAGCACCCGTTTTTTTCACCTATAGGAGAACCGTTCGAGAGAGTACAATGCGGCTAATAATAATAATATAATAAAAATGCTCGAAAAAATAATAAAAAGAAACTAAAGAAAGAGAAAAAAAAATAAAAGTAACTACATGCCAGCAATCGAGCGGTTTTACGAGCGCTACTCTTGTGTTTAAAATCATAACGTAAATATTTATAATTTATAATTAATTAATAATAATCAATAAGACTCAATAAGAATCATTAATCAATAATAATCAATATCAATAATTAATAATAATCAATAATTAATAATTAACCATAATAATTAATAATAATTAATTACGATAATTAACCATGGTAATTAATTACAATATCCATAATTAATAATAATTAAACGTAATAATTAATAGTAATTAAACGTAATAATTAATAATAATTAAACGTAATAATTAAGAATAATTATGACAATTAGTAATAATTAATTACGATAATTAATTGTAGTAATTAATTATAATCATAACCATAATAATGATAATTATATAATAGCATCATTCAACGCGTATGCAACACAATATTACTGGACAGAATATGCAATGTGCATATATATATATATAGACGTCTAAAGAATACATAAACGTAAATAGGGACAACTTTACAAATAACATATACATAAACGCAAATAACTACGCAAAGGCTAGATGAAAATTTACAGGATATGAAGGAGCAAAAGGTATACTCATTTTGAGACGAGCCAATCGATAGAAATTCACTTTTTAAGAAAAAAAAAATATATAATCATTTTAAAAAAAATGTGTGCAACCTTAGTAAATCTACTTTTCGTAAAAATTTCCTTTTTTATTCATTTTTTCATTTAAAAAAAGAAAGAAAAAACAGACGTGACGAGAAAATTGGAATGCCAACGAGAAACGCATTATCGATTCTATTCCATTTTTCAGTAGAAAAAAAAATGTCTTGACCCTCAAGTTTTCAAATTTCCTACTCTTTCAGTTTTAACATTTCTATTTTATATTTTTTTCCGTTTTAACATTTCTATTTTATATTTTTTTCCGTTTTCTTTTTTATATTTTATATTTTTTCAGTTTTCTTTTTTATATTTTACATTTTTTCCGTTTTATTTTTTATATTTTACATTTTTTCATTTCGAGAATTTACCATTATTTAATTTAAAGGAAAATTCAAATTTAATCAAAATTCGAATACAAAAAAAGTATTCAAAATTTTTAATAAATTTTGAATTCAAATTTAAGATTTAGAAAAAATATTCTAAATTTGAAAACTTGAGAATCAACTAAAAATCTTGCGTTTTCGATTCCTTATAGAAAAGTAAAAAAAAAATCGCACGATTTTCAGAAATTAGGGAGGCGGCGTTTTTATAAACTAAATGGGCGTTTTTGTCATAATCTCTGACACGATTTTAGATAAGAAAAAACACGTGTGTGTATGTGTGTGGCGCGCACTGCAATTTAAAAACGTTTTTCTCTTTCTCAAAAAGAAGAAAAAAAAATCCCCGACAAAAATTTCCATCTTTTTTCCCAGTGTACGATTCTACCTCCGACTGAATATCATTATCTCAAAAAAAGAAAATGAAAATTTCAAGAAAAATAATATCATGCAAATTACGGAGTTGGGAAATTATTTTTTGAAAAAATTCTATACAGACAGTGTTTTTTTCAATAGATTTTTAAAAAGCCTCTCTTCGATATTTAAAAATATAAATAAACTTCGGCTCTATTAATAAATAATACATTTTCATAAATAACAGTAAATAAAATCGAATTAATCGAACAACCCAACTCCGGAAAAAAAAATTGATTGTTAATGATTTTCACCGGACTTTTTTCGATAGTTATTATAAAAAATTAATCGTGTAATTTACAATGAAATTGGTGCGAACAAAAATATTTTAGGTGTACAAACTAAAAGTTTGTGAGATTCGAATTTACATACGAATCGCGACGTATGCGATATTTTAATATTTACAAATAAGAAAATTCTATCCTAGAGGGGGGAAAAAAATCTCGGAGCACCTATTAGAAGTTTTTACAGCCAGGCAACAATTTTAAAATTGTGCCATTAATCCGATATAATTTTTTTTCGAGAATTTATTTTAACCGATTATATTCTTTTTCTAGATAACGTAAAAATTTTTTTATTTGTATCGCCTGTCGAGAAGACATTGTATATTTGTTAGTAAAATGTAGCGAATTATTTACGAAAAAAACGTAGATATTTAAATGTTCCGATAGAAAAACTTAATCGCGGTTAAATTTTCAATCTGCGATGAATAAAACGCGAAGACATTGGAGAATTGCCCGAATTCCCGAATTTTACCATCATTTTCAACTCGAAGAAGATTATTTTTTACGTTGGTGGTTCAGTGATCCCTGACAATTAGAAAGTATTTATTTTATTTATTTATTTATCCATTATTATCGCGCATTTTTTCTATTGCAGAAAAAAAATTTTTTTATACAGAAAAAGAAAATTCATTTCCTCAAAACTCACGATCTCAATCTTTCCGGATTTTTTCTACTTTAATTCGTATTTTTCATGGCAATCAGACAGAAAAAATGAAACAGATTTCAAAAATATCACCGAAAATGGAGCAATTTTATTATTGATTCATAACAAAAATTTATTTAGAAATTACCTATAAAATTTATTTATAAAAAACGATTTTTATGAAGAGCTATAATTTTTTTCTGAAATTTGAAAGAATTATAATTTGATATCAAAGTTTGAATTTCATTCAGGCGAATTTCAATTTTAAAAAATTTGGGTCTACTTGCCAAAAGCATGCATTACAATGGAAAGAGATGATGCATGCATCTTTCCATTTTTTTAAAATTTTTTTAAAAGTGGATAATATTTAAATAGATGTAAAAAAAAATAAGGACGTTGTCTACGAATAATTTGGGATCAATGCGTTTCAAAAGCGAATCAAAAATGAAAGATTCAGAATGTGAGAAATGAATGGAAAAGACAAATACTTTCGGATTCTCATCAGCTACCAAGGATTCACGACTCCAGTTCGTATCCGCTCTTCGATTCCTAGCAACAGAAAATATGAAAGAAATTTTTTTCAATCCTAATCGTGAGATCACTGAGCACCAAAGACGAAGAGTCGAATTAGAAAAGAATAAAATGGATTCTTAAAAAAAACCGTTTCCGTTAAGGTAAAGAAAGAAGAAAGGTTCGTGTTAGTGTAGAGTTCCGAGGGGGGGGGGATTTATTTTTGTAATTGGATGTAATTGGAAGGAGTTTCTTTTTCAAAATTTTGTTCGGTTTTTTCTTAAATTTTCCGTGTTTTTTTAGGCGAGCAGCAACTCACCGCGATGGTGTCGTTGCTGCTGCTGTGGCTGTAACTGTTGATGATGGTGATGATGATGCGAGTAGTTGAGAGTTGACGAGGGAGATGGACTCGTCCCTGGGCGTTGATTTTGATGGAATTGCAGATCGTCTCGGGTTGGAGTTAGGTCCAGGAAGAGACCGGAAGACGCAGAGTCTGCACATGTGCAGGACCCGGCGGTAGTGGCGTTACACACGGCACAGCCTTCTGTCTCGGTGGCGAGGCTCAGTGGCGTCTCTGGTGAATCCAGTGGCTTCGTACCCACGAAAGAGCTCTCCATCCAGCACAACCTCGTGCTCCCTTCGACGAGACCATTCGAGAAGATTAGATTAAAATTCTTTACGGAATATGTCCAAAACGGACCAAAGTTGACCCTTCGCTTTTTTAATCGCTCTTCAAAACTCAACGTTCTCTATAATTATTCTATTCCTTTTTTCAATCATTTCCTTACTCAATTTATTTATTTTTTTCTAAATATTTAAACAAATATTTTTCTAAATATTTCTGAAATTTTAATTAAATGCTTCGAAATGCTTCGAAATAATTCAATTATTTTCTAAAATTTTAATAAAATGCCTCGAAACGCTTCGAAACAATTCAAGTATTTTCAAAAATTTTAATAAACTTCTTCTAAACTTCTTATAAGAATTCAATTTAACTATTAATGAAGCAAAGAAATTAGAAAAAAATTTTACTGAAAATAATTGAATTCCTGCGAAGAAAAAAATCTTCAAAGGGAATTCAATTATTTTCAGTACAAGTTTTACAAAATTTCTCGAAATAATTCAATTATTGATATAAATAATAAAACAATTAAATTTTGTACAAATTTTACTAAAATTCATTAAATTCACGCAAAGAAAAAATCTTCAATTGAGTTCAATTATTTTTCGTACAAATTATAAAATTTCTAGTATGAATTTAATTCTTTTCAAATAATTTTTGACTACAATTATTTAAATACTTGAAAGAAATTTTTCGTAAAATCTAATTACTTTCCAAATTTTCAATTATAATTATCAAAAAATAATAAAATATTTTTAAAATACTTAAAGAAATTCTTTAAAAGAAGTTAATTACAAAATATGTATTATTTATGAAGAATTCGATTTTTTATCAATAATTTTAATAAAATTTAATAGTATAATTATTAATTGTTATCAATTGTTTTCAAAAATTGTAATTAAATTCTTCATGGGAATTTAATAATTATTTACAATACAATTTAAATAAAATTTCTCGAAATAAATGAATTATTTTTAAGATTTATAGTAAAATTCTTCTAAAAAATTTAATTATTTTCAAAAAGTTTGATAAAATTCTTCGAAAGAATTAAATGATTTTTAATAGATTAATTTTAAAATTTAATCCGAAAAAATAAACACTTGGATTAAAAAAATGTAAAAAAAAAGAGATTGTTTCTTCTACTAAATAATACAAAAAAGAAATAAATGAAACAATTAAAATGCTTGTTGGAAAGAAATAAAATTTTCAGGTGCCATTTTCTGACCTGGATAAAAATACAAAAAGGATAACATTTTTATCCCGAGTGACAAGTTCTAGTCTCAAAGTTTCAACTCTTTATAAATATTAAACGTTCAGTTTTGAAGTCGGGCCAACGAAATGAAGAAAGTTCAACACGAATTTTAAAAATTGACATGTTTTTGCTTATAAAACAATTTTTTTTCGGACAAATAACTCTAGTTCGGAGCAACAATTCCTTAACTTTCATTTTAAAATTCTTTCTTTCGTTAAAATTATCTTCAAATTAAATTTTTTTTACTTTTTTGTTTTTGACTCAATCAATTTAGTATTTGAACTAAAACAAAATAAGTTTTAAACAAAATAATTCAACAAATAATTATTTGTATAAGTAAATAAATTTTAAATATAATTTTTTTAAACATTTATATTTTGTTATAAAGAAAAATCCTTCACCATTTAAGAATTAGTAGTGAAAATTATTGAAGAATAGAAAAGAGAGAAAAAGCAAAGAATGCACGTATTTGGTTAGTCGAAATAGGTTAAAATTTTCGGTAAAAATTTCCAGAAGGAAATGATAGATGATAAATATTGTTTATTTTCAAACTTCGAAGACGAAGTTTTTTTTCTATGTTTTTCTTTAAAATAAAAATAATGTGTCTTTTTAATAGACATCAAAAGAAATTTTCACATTTGGGAAGTTTCTATACTCTTCTTTAGAGAAGCTGTCCAGAAAATACGAGGTCACGAAAATGTTTCATGTACCAAAGTTTATTGGGTCAAGAAGCTATCGATTTTCCCAGCACGGTTGAAAATTTAAATTTTTTACAACAGCCTGCATTATTTCAATCAATTTAAAATAAAACATAAATAAAACATTGTGTCAGGAGTTTTTTTTCTCAATTACTGCAGTAGAAAAATTGTTCTAATAAATTTACAATACAACTACAATGTGAGGTAAAAAACTAGAAATAAAAAATTGAAAAAAAGGAAATAAAATAGAAAATAAATTGCAGAAGAGAGAAAATATGATAATAAAAAAAATATATAAATAAATGATAATCTATTATTTTCGTTTTTTATCTTTAAAATTCCATTTGCTTGGAATCAGGAAACAAGTTCGTTCGAGTGTTCAACTGGAAAATTTCAAGCGTTTTGTTAAAATTTTGATCGGTTTGCGATAATAGGGGATGATATCGGGAACGAAAAAAAAAAAGTTCGATCGAGATCGCAAAACGAAGCGAGATAGTTTGGAGGGAATTTCAGGGTAACCTATTTCCGTTCGTCACTACGAGAGTGTAGAAATAGAAGCCCGCGACACACTTTCGTTCGACTTTCAAAGGCGAATACACGAAGTAAACAACACTCTCTTGATAGCAAAAAAAAAAGATAAATAAATAAAAAAATAGAAAAAAAATAATAAAAAATATATCTATGAGAAGAGAACTTCCTGTGCTTCATTACACGTTGACCTCTTTGAAACTCCCTCGTTATAACTCATCTTTTCTCTCCCTCCAAAAAAGAGGGGAAACCTCAAAAAACAATTTCGATGTCACGGTCATCTTTTCAATTTGCTACACCCTCAAGATTAACGCTTCCCGTTCTAGAACCAGCAAAAAGAAAAAAATAATTCCTACTGCCAAAAAAAAAAATTATATACAATTCTTCAAAAGGCAAGCAAAAATGGTCACATTTGAGAAGTAAAAAAAAACATGCAAGTCTATGAGAATTAAAATTCATGCTCGTAATAAGATAATTTTCTTTCGAAGGGGAGATGAGAAAATTTTATTTTCTGTACAATTTCCGATCGTCGAGAAGGATTTTCTGATTTTCAGAATATTTTCTACGACGAAATGATGGAAAGAAACACTGAATAAGAGAATTAAATAAAAGACAAAACTACCGAATTTGAAAATGAGAGAAATCACGAAAGAAAATATTTCACTAAAAAGTACAAAATTAATAAAAATTGAAAATAAGTTCATCACAAATTTCTTTTTCAAAGTTTAGAAATTTTGTTCTTTTAATTTTTTTTATACATTTCCTACCAAACGTTACAATGAAATACGAAATAAGAAAATTAAATAGAAGTTAAAACCAGCGAATTTGAAAATAAACCCTTGAGAAATATTCCCAACAGAAAATATTTATTCCCTTATAAAAAAAAACAAAAATTATTCGAAAATTGAAAATTTGTCAAAAATTCCTTTTTCAAGGTTGAGAATTTTTGTACTTTTAATTTTTCGAAAATTTCCTACGAAACGATACAAAAAAACCGAATAAGAAAATTAAACAGAAGTTAAGACCACCGAATTTGAATATAAACCCTCGAGAAATATTCCCCTTTTTCAATTTCTATTAATTTTTCTCCATAAAGATGAATTATATTGTTTTTTGTTCATAAAAAAGCAAAAATTTAACAAATGCTTCAAAAAAGCATTGAAGAAAGATACAAAAGGCATCAGCGAAAAATAAACGTCAAGGAAAAAAATGATAATAAACGTGATTTTCGACGTTTTAATTGATACTGCTCATCTCTCTAATCTGGAATTCGTATTCAACTCTCGCTAAATTGGTTTTCAGTATCGCAACTCGACACTGGTTGAAACATTCTTCATCGTCCTCATTTCCGGTTCTAGAATTAATTCCGGAAAAAAAAGGAGAATGAACCACTTTTTTCTTTTTTGCTTGTGGAATATGAAAAGACTGGAAAAAGAACGTCTGCAGTACATCAAAAGAGTCGGAGTGGTAAAAACCAGAGCGTACATTTTTATCAAACGTAATATAACGCTCGCAACCTAGAAAAGGAAAGTTTATCGTACAATTTTTAAGAAACTTCCCCATTTGTTTTCGAACTCTAAATTTCTGATGAAAATTGAAAATAGTGTAATAAATATAAATTTTATAGATGTAGGAAATTTTATATTTACATAGCAAACTATTTATTTAGTAAACTATTTGAATAGTAAACTATTTCTATAGTAAACTATTAATATAGTAAACTATTTCTATAGTAAACTATTTCTATAGTAAACTATTTCTATAGTAAACTATTTCTATAGTAAACTATTTTTATAGTAAACTATATCTTTATAAAATATATAAAATTTGTCTAAAATTAAAAATTTGTTGGAAAATTTTTACACTTTGATAAAATTTCGCAAATTTTCAATTTTATTTTCATACAGTACTAACTGAATTTTCTTTTTAATTTCGAATCGTGGTGAGTGAAGAATAGAGAAGAATTGAAATAAAATTTAATTTGAAGAAGTAATTTTAATTTCAGGGTAAAAGTAACGTGTCACGTTAATTTAAGGCACGAGCCTTGGGTTTGTTTAGCGTCGCGAGAGCAGCGAAGAGAGTTAGTGAATTAGCAAAGAGGGTGTAAAGGATGAGGCGTGAGTAAAGTCTGAAAGCAAAGTGTGAAGTGCGAGAAGAGTGCCTTGTAAAGTGAATTCATGTGTGAGTGAATGGATCGTCTTTTGCTTACTACCTCGAAGATATTCCTTTTTGAATGGCGAGAGTCGTTGCTTGAAAATATCGTTCGTTAGTTTAAGAAAGAAAAAAAAATAAAAATGTTAACAGAAAGAAAAATTTGGACAACCAAATATAGAAAAAGAGTTTTTTTTGTGGTAAAAGCAAATATAGGGAAAGAGTCAATTATCCGAAAGGACTTTTCCTAAAGGACTCGTCTAAATGACTCGTCTAAACAGACTTGTCTGAAAAGACTCGTTCAAAAAGACTCGTCCAAGAGGACAATGACTCTAATTTTGGAGCGGATATTAAAAAAGGCAGAAAAATAGAGTAAACCAAGTAGAAAAAAAATATATAGAGTAATTGTCAAATAAAAAATGGATAAAAAACTCAAAATTACCTTCGCCGCAGAATAAAATAGTGGTGGTGATGGTGGTTGTGGTTGTTGTGGTGGGATGTTTTTTTGCAGGGTTTAGTGCTCACCTCTGGGGCTGGTCGACCTCGCGCCACCCCTGTCGTCCCAATCGTCAGGTCGAGGTCGAGGCGAGAGCCTTCCACCTCCTATAACTTCCTGACCACTTTGTACGTAATGCACAATGGCCGACGTCACCTCCTTTATCGAATTCCTCACCTCCAGCTGCTGATTCGTTGTCTGTTGCTGTTGTTGTTGCTGCTGCTGTTGCTGTTGGTCGAAAGAAAATCACATTAGCTTCTATTCTTCCAATTTTATTATTAAAAAAAAAAAAAACTCGCAAACTAAAAGAACATTTTTAAAAATAAATTCTTCCTAAGAATGTTATTATTTATACAAAATTAATTAAATTCTTGACAAGAATAATATTAAAATTTTTGAAAATAAAACAATAATAATTAATTTTTTACTTAATAAGTGAACTTTTTAAATTTTCATTATAAAATTATTTAAAAATTATATTTGAAAATAAAAAATTTTGTAATTTGTATAACAATAATAAATTGAGTTTTATTTCGTAATTCGAGATCCAATGTCAAGTGAACAATAATATCCAATAAGAAAACTTCCCAGAGCGAAATGTTAATTAGAAAAACATTTTTGGCATCGTTCCAAAAATTACAAAGTGAGAGAAATTTTAATAAACTATACTGAAATTTACTCGTTTTTCTTCTCTCAAAAAATTAGTTTTAATTTTTAAGTTAATTTTCAAAGAAAATAAAACTGACGAATGTTTTTTTATTTTCTCTCAAAATTAATTTTTAAATTAAATTCCTTTTCGTGAATTATTTTATAAAAATACTAAATTCACAAACATTCTGGAATGCTTCGAATAGACTAGAACTAGAACATGTTAATTTCTGCACCTGACTGAAAATAGAACCGGAGAATTTCGTGAAAATAGGAAACAAGCTTTGAAATCCCAGAATTTCTAATTTTACTCAGTCACTACTTTTTTTTTTGCCACGAATGCTAAAAACCAATCATTTTAACGAACTAGAATTAAATATCAAAATATAAATAAAATAATCTTTCAATCACAACTGACGAAAAAATTAATTTCGGTAAAAATATTTGTATTCAAAGTTTTCGATTTAGGATATATTTTATATATTTTGAATTTTACTTTTTCTTCTCCAAAAAAGGGTAACTTGAAAAAAAAGAAAATAAATTCCAACTAAATTTATCACGTTCTTGCCTCACGCCATAAGCAAAATTTATTTTTAACAATGAAAAAAGAGAAACGAGGAAAGATTTGCATTCCACATTATGGAGTGCAATTTTGGGGTCCGCTTTTTGTCAGTGGCGAAGAAGAACGCATGCGAGGGAAACTTTAAACTCGCTGCCAATTTTTCGATATGTATGTGTTCATGTATACACTGACGACAGTGTCTGTGAAAATCAAAAATAAATTCAACAAAGACGTGCCACGAGGAACATGTGGGCGATAGCGCAAAGGGTTACACTCGGTCACCCATTTACATCCTTCAATGTCTAGGGGTCAATTTTCAATTTCCTCACAGTTCCAATTGGCCTTAATGGCCCTCGATTCCTCGCCGAAGAGCCTTAATTGAAAAAAATTATTCATAAAGCACCATTTGAGACAATGCTTCCACTAATTACTAATTAACAAAAATTTTTAGCACAAGTTAATATTTTTAACTTTTGAAAAATTTCATTTAGGTATTCACTTAATTTACCAAATTAAAAAAAATGTGTTCACCTATTTTTGAATTAAAAATGATTTCAATTTTGAAAATAATTTCAAAAATGAAATTTAAAAGTAATAAATTATTTTATCACCTTTAGTACTTTATTTAATAAAACAATAAAGTACCAAAGGTGTGAAAATTATGTCAAGTGTAAAAGTAAACTTTTTTTTTTAAAAGAGGAAACGCGATTTAACCTCAGTGGGAAATAAATTGAAATGTGAAGAACTCGGCAAAAGTATTTATTGTAAAAGATGACGTGAATTGTGGGAAATTTTTCAATGGAATTGCGAGTTTATTTATTGTGTACCTTGTTTGCAGACTGTAGCTGAGGAAGAATTCCTTGAGCGAGACGTTCGGCTGGAGTTCGAGGATTCGCCAAACGTTCCTGTGAACGCCAACCAAGGTAAGGTTGACGATGATTGAAAGACGACCTAGTGGAACTTGCGGGTGAACTTCCGGCGCTATTCAGCAAACTTGTACTCCATCTCGAAAACACTGGCGGCGTTGGACTTGGACTCAGAAGGACACCTAAAAATTCCACAATTTTCTATTAGTTTTGAAAAGAAATAGAAAACAGAACTTGAAAAATAAAACAAAGAATAGAATAAAAATGTAGAAAAATAAAAAAAAAAAGAATAAAAGAGTAGAAACCAAACTTTTTTAATAATTTTTCTTTTTAAATGATATTCATTTTTAAATTAATGCAAAGTATTTATCAAAAAATTTCAATTGAATTCTTTTGAGAAATTCATTAAAATTCCATTAAAAATAATCCAATTCTTTCGAAAAATTTCATTAAAAATAATTGAATTCTCGCAAAGAATATTATTATTTATGAAAAAAATCGAATTCTTTCAAAGAATGTTATTAAAATTGTACTGAAAATAATTTAATTCTTTTGAAGAATTTATTTGATTTTTTTTTAAATTCTAAGGTTTTTCTTAATAATTTTTATTGAACATTTTTGAAGTAATTGATTTCTATGAAGAATTTCTTTCAAGTTTTTAAAATAGTCGTGTATTATTATTAATTGGAATTACTGATTGTATTGTATTAAAAATAATTGAATTTCTCCAAGGAATTTTACTATTTATAAAAGTAAATGAATTCTTTCAAAGAATTATAATATGAGAATAATTGAATTTTTATTAAAATTTTTGAAAATAATTTAATGTTTTCAAAGAATTTTATTAAAAATTTTGAAAATCATAGAATTCAATCGAAAAATTTTATTTAAACGTATAAAAATAATTTATTTTTCTTAAGAATTTTATAAAATCTGTTAAAAATAATTTAATTTAATTAATATTTTTAAAAATAATTGTATTCTTTTTCGAGAAATTTTATTAAAATTGTATTAAAAATAATTGAATTCTTCCGAAGAATTTTATTATTAATGAAAATAATTAAATTCATCAAAAGAATTTTGTTCTTCATGAAAATAATTGAATTCTTCCAAAAGTACAAATAAAAAGTAAAATAAAAAATAGATTAAAGAATAATAAATAGAATAAAAATATAAAACAGGAATAAAAAATAGAAAAAGACAAAACGCAGAAATTAGAATAAACAACAATAAATAGAATAAAAGAAACTAAAATAAAAATAGATTAAAAAATAACAAATAGAATAAAAATACAAAAAGTAGAATAAAAAAAGAAAAAAAATCATCAAAGGGATTTTTTTTTCTCAAAAAAAAAAAAAAAAATAAACGATGATTAAATGTGGAATGTAAATGGAATAAGGGATAGATAGTGCGGTCTCGTGGCACTTTAATAAAATAGCCGTCCGCATTTGAGATAAAAGAAAAGCAATGTATATGAATCAAAAGATGAAAGTTACGGTTGTTTCTGGATGTTGAATCAGTTTTTTCTTTAAGAATATTCAGCGGAGTTTAAATGCGGCTATCTGACTGCAGTCGAGGGATAACAGAAACGAGAGATAATCGAATTAACCTGGCCTGGTAAGTTTATTAGTCGCTTCCTATTAGCCATTAGCCAGCAGGCACTTAACAGCCGATAGGAAAGGGAATATACGCGAAATTGGCTCTTGATAATCGTACTAATTTTAAGCGCGACTCGTCCCAGAAAAGGACATGCCTCTTTTAATCCTTCCCCTAACGATTTAATCAAATTCTCACCAAACATCGAACTTCGTTTCTTTCAATCAATGAAATATTTAATTTTTAATTTAAATATTAGAAATTTCCTTCATTCTATGAAATATTAGAAATTAAAGATAATGTTTGGTTTTTTGTCGCAAATTTTCTAGAATTAGATTTTCTTGAATGAAAATTAAAAGCAGAAAGAAAGAAAGCGTTGAAGATGCGAAAGAGTCGAAAAAATTGTCGCAAATCTTCTCGAATGAAAAATCGAAAGATTTTCTTGAATAAAAATAAAAGAAAGATTTTTTTGCTTTCAAGATTATCACCTGTGGTTGGTTGTCTATTTGTCGTTGAGGAAAGAGAGGAAAGGGACGTGGTTTTCGAGCCTAAAGCTCGCCAGCCACCGTGTTGTGATGCGTCAGAATGCCTCTTCAGTCGAAAACCGTCTCGAGCTGCCGGCGAATTTTTAAACCAATCTGGAACGTTCAGTCTCTGCAATGATCTCTGCACTCTCAATTCGTGTTCGCTAGGTGTTCGCTCTCCAACTTTCTGTAACTCGTTCTCCGGCGGCTGCAAAAGAAAAATAAATCCCAATTATTCATCCATCTAATAAAGTACATTTGAAAATTAATTTTTTTCATTCAAAGAAACAATTTTCCTACTCAATTTTCAAAAAATGATAAATAACAAAAATTTGTATTAAAAAATATTTTATTAAAAAATATTTTATTAAAAAATATTTTATTAAAAAATATTTTATTAAAAAATATTTTATTATTTACAAATAATAAAATATTAGAAAAAAGGAAAGAGGAATTTTTACGAGACTTTAAAGATCTAATTAAAACGTCTCTCCATTGTTATTTACAACCTCGTCTCTTTATACGTGACTAACATTTCTGAATGCCGCGCATCTTTGTAAAAAGTGATGCAAGACTTATTTTTCCTGACCAAGAAACCTTGAGAGCAAAAAAAAAGAAGAAAATCTGAAAATTTTCTATAATAAAAAATGTTTACAAAATTAGAAGTGAAATTGAGATGAAATTCACTCTCAAGTTCGCTTTCAAGAATATTTTACAGGATTGCGTTTATTTTCTAGTTTTTTGAGTGTAAATACCGAGGGGAGAACAAATTTAGTAACATGTAATTGAAGGTCCATAACCATGTGTTGTGGGCTTTTGTTTTTCGATGCGAACATTTGCGGCAGCTGCAAAAACAGGGTTTGACTTCCAAGCAACTCACTACCAACCTCTTCTTAATATTGCATTTTGTGCCTTCTTAGAATTAAATATTCAACCAAGTTATATTCTTTTCAATTCAAAGTAAAAATTCAAATAATATTTTTATTTTTTCTAAATTGCAGTAATTTACCTTGTTTTTTACCTCCTCATTATTTTCCGAACACTCACTAATATTTTCCAACATTTTTGGCACAGAATTAAAGAGTTTTGCGTTGTTCCCTTGTGCCTTTTTTACTTTCAATGGAACTTGTTCGAATTTCCAACATTTAATTGCTTCCGAATTATAACATTCACTTAATGTCTGCATTACACTTTAAGAATTTCAAAAACCAGATGAAAATTGATGAAAATTTCTAAATTCCAAATTATTTCCCCCAATATTCGTGATTGTTTATAATGAAAAATACTTTATTAAAGAATATTTTACAAAAATACTTTATAAAGAATATTTTATAAAAATATTTCAACAAAAATATTTTGTAGCAAAAAATATTTTAAAAATATTTCACAGTAAAAAATATTTTAGAGCATTTTTAGAGTAAAAAATAAATAATTGACAGAAAATAGAAATAAAAATTATCTAATAATAAGTAGACTGTCACTTGTCAAGACTCAAAGTCATTTGTTTCCATAGAAACAATCGCAAAATGGTTCTGATAGTTATAGACTTTTCGAAAAGATAATAAAACTTTTTTAAAAAAACTGTCAACAATATTCTTATCAAGGACTTAAATCTCGATTATACTCTATTTACCTGAATTTTAATTGAAAATCTAAAAACTTTAATTGTTTTGTTTTTCCAATAAAGATAATTTTCCACGTCACTTTTGTTTCATTTTTGTTTTCTTTAAAATAAATTGACAATATAAATTTTTAAAATAGTTTTACGTTTTAAAAAGAAACTTTAATTCAAAAATATAGATTTTTGTTGAATGGAAAAAAAATTCTGCTTTTTTTGTTAGGACAATTTAATACTAAGAAGAAATTTTATTTGGAGATAATAATAATAAATGGAATGATGAGACTTTGAAAGGAAACCTCACGACCTGCAAAGCACAGGGCGAATGTCAAGGTTTAGGTTGAGGCTCTTTGAAAAAAATATCGAAGCTTTCAAACGTTGAATTACTCAATAGCTCATCTCGAGAAGAAAATGAGTGTTCCACATGCAATAAAAAGTGGATATATATCTATGTGACTTGTTCTACACTCCTAATGAAAAAAGGGGCACAACGACCTCGTCAATTATTTCAAAAGCCTGTTCCCTCGATAATAATTATGATGATTCATTTATTTATTCAAATATGACGTTTTATTCTCAACACTTCCTGAGAGCAGACATTTTTTTTGCGAACCTAAACAAACATCACAGATTTTTATTAACAAAATTATAACTTTATAATTTTTAATTCTCTAAATTAACTGGAATTTAGAGTATTGAGGAATAAAAGCTAAACAAAATTTAAAAAAACAAAAGAAAAATTAAAGAATACATAAATCAATAAAAAATTACAAATTTTATCACTTCTGTTTCATTATTATTCTGAATTTAAATTTAAAAAAAGGATTTTAATTTTATTTTCATTCATCGAATTGGTAAAATTATTAAAAGAAGAATCCTTTTAATATTTTTGTTTTACAATTTCCATGCAAGTTCATAAGATTTAATTGATCTAAACTCGCCTTAGTTTCAAAATTTAATTAATTAGTTGGAAACGTTATAAATTAACACACTGTCGATTAATGAAATTTCTTCCTAACAAGAATTGAAACTTTCAAAACATCTTCAGAATAATTTTGCAAAAAAATAAAAATAAAAATACACTTTTTCAACAAAAATTTTGATTCAAGATAAATTTCTTTTTGATTCAAAATAAATTTCTTTCTGCTTCAAAATTCTCTTTTTGGTTCAAAATAAAATTCTTTTTGATAAAAAATAAATTTCTTTTTTGTTTAAAATAAATTTCCTTTTGATTCAAAATAAAATCCTTTTTGATTCAAAAATAAAATTCTTTTTGGTTCAATACAAATTTTCTTTTGCTTAAAAATTTCCTTTTGATTCAAAATTTTCTTTTTGGTTCAAAATAAAATTCTTTTTGATTCAAAATAAATTTCTTTTTGGTTCAAAATAAAATTCAACTGGATTGAAAATGAAATTCTTTTTGGTTCAAAATAAATTTCCTTTTGTTTCAAAATTTTCTTTTTGGTGAAAATTAAATTACTTTTGGATTCAAAATTTGCTTTCTGATTCAAAATTGCTAATGAGGACTTAAAAAATAATGAAAAATTGATCTTGATGATAATTAGATGAAAAATAATTTGTTCCTTGTTCCACAGGAATTAGAGAGGTCAGGAGGGCAATAAAGTGTAACGAATATGATATTATTTTTCCGTGTGAAGCATTTTCAGATTCAATGAAAACCGTTACATGCTAAAAAACAAAGAGACGGTCGCAAATGTTAGCCTACGCATTACATTCGCTTCGTTAGGATAGGGAGCGGTTTATGATAATATTCATACGTGTACACCAACACTTAACATTTTCCAACAAGTTCAGTAACGTAGATAATACGGAAAATGTATAATATCATAACAGCTTTACTAAGAAATTCCATTAAATTCTCTTTCAAACCAACAAATTTGAAAAAAAAACCTAAGTACAAAAATCAATTCCAATTTTCAGTGGAATTTTGAAAAATTAAAAATTTCAAAAAATCAAAACTTGAAAATTTAAAAATGTTAAGATTTGAACACAAGTTAAAAATTCTTCTAAATAAAAAAATAATACACAACAAGATATGAATTACGGAAGAAAAAAATTAGATAAACTGGAAAATAATAATTTAATTAAAGAAAAATGGCAAAAAATTGCGTTCAATTTTTCGTGACAGTTTTTTCCTGTACAGACATCAGTTATAGTACTTTAAAAATAAATGAAATGTGATCGACATTTATCATTGACGGCCCTGTTGGCATAAAGTGTAGGCTCAATGAGCTCATGTGAAACTAAACTTGCATAATGATTCGTTATCTCGCGATGATGTCAGAGAAATTGCACGGTTCTCGTGGCTAATTTTAATTACCTCCCCACTAATCCCCCCGCGGTTCTCATTATTGTCTCATATACTCGAACATCTGCTCCAATTGACGTAAAAAGGATAAAGCAAAATGTTTCCCTTGTTGGATATGAAACGAGAAAAAAAAAGGAAAAGAAAAAAAAAACACCGTTTAAATTATACAATATTCGACGAAACGGATACAAACTTAGAAACCAAAACCGAAAGAAACCTCTATTGCAGAAAAAAAATCTAATTTGCAAATTTTTAGGTATTTTTAAATACAAAAAATTAATTTTTGTATCAAGAAAAAGAAAAAACCAATTCCTACAGAAAGCAAAGATTTTTCTATGCAAAAAGAATTTTTCTTTTTAATAAAAAATACTTTTTTGACAAGAAACATTGATAAAAAATATTCTTTTTTATAAAAAGTAATTTGAATTGAAAAGAAAAATTCTCTTTGGTAAAAAATAATTTTTATTAAAAAGAAAAATACTTTTTGGTAAAAAATAATTTTTATTAAAAAGAAAAACTCTTTTTTGGTAAAAAATATTCTTTTTGCTGGAAAATCATTTTTTTCTCTGATTAAAAATAAAAAAAAAATGAATTCATTGCGAAGAATTGTTGTATTTGCGATTATGTTCATAAAATTCAAACTCGAACTCCTCTCTTAAAGATTTGTAAAATGCGTGGGTGTCATTTTCTCCTCAATTATGCCCACACAAGAACGCTAAATTGCCATCAACTACTTGCGACTAGAAAGTTATAAAACATATAAGCAAATGCACGGATCAATTTAATAGCCGCTAATCTTTGAATTTACTCGAGAAAAAAAAAGAGAAATACTAATTATTGTAAGTACATTACTTGATTAGTTATCGAAACTTCTCCTTTTTCTTTTCGTCCCCTCAATAATTGAAAACTGGAAATTATCAACAAAATTTGCATTTAAACTTAATTAAACAATTTTGTCTATAAATTAATGATTTCTGAAGTCAATTTAGATTAGAGAGGAGAAATTTTTTTTCTCTTTCAGGATTATTTTCATTTCTTTTATTTTTATTACTATTTTTATTTATTCTGTTTTTATTATTTTGATTCATTTTATTTTGATTATTTTTATTTATTTCATTTTTATTATCTTCATTTATTTCATTTTTATTATTTGTATTATCTCTTTACATTTGAATTTCAAAAAAGCGTATTCTACGTTTTGCCTTTTCTTGTATTTACTTTTATCTTTCCTTTTTTATTCTCACCATGGAAAAAGTATAAT